GTCTTTCAGAACTCATTTGGGTAGTCAGTTCGTATTAGCAACACTTATTATTCCCACAGTCAGAGCACTCTTCACTCTGCACACTGGTGGATGCTGGTTGCTTCTCTTGCCTGTCTTCCCCACCAGACAGCAAGCTCCTGGGGAGCAGGGGCTGCTTCCTATTCATCCCTGCATTTCGGATGCTCCCCCCAAAGCCCCGCCCAGAGGGGGCTCTCCATCATTGTTGAGCAAGTGAATAGCTGAAGGAGCAACATGATAACCTATACTCAGAAGAGGAAACTTTACATTGGATAGAAATGAAGAACATTTAATTACAAGCTCCTATAATTACTAGAGTCTTTAAAACAATCTTGGCCAATTCTTCAGGAGAATCATTTATGGAGGGTTTCAAAGTATGCTGTTAGAGCTTCTATTCTTCCCCCTTACCTTTTTGTAATATCTACCAAAAGCTTAATCCCTAAGGATTAGATGTTATTTATTGGCTAAGATACTCAGATATTTTGGGTTTGAGGCATTTCCCGCATCTTGGGGCAACAGAAGGAAGCGGGAGAAGAGATCAGTGAAAACACTTCGTTGCTGAGCAATACTCAAGCTAAGTTCTCACATTTATCGAGTCCTTAGTATATTCCAGGCACGCAGATTCTTTCTCATTTTAGTGTCACAACAGCTCTGTGGGGTGCATACATTCATTTTATCTATTTTTACAGGTAAGGAAGTTGAAGCTTAGGGAGGTGAAGTTGCCCAGGGTCATACAGTTGGCAAATAAATAATGCTGCCAAGCTTAGAGCCCAGCCTGGCCCCCACTGCTAATCTGTTGCCATGGGGCCATCCCAGGCTGCCATCCACCTGTCTCACCGCTACCAATCGCAGTCTCTAAAGTGATCCAGAAAGCTTTTGATACTTTTAACCCAAACATGCATTTTTTTTTTTTTTTGATGCACAGAAGAATCCTAAAGTATTCAAAATGTGCGAGTCCCCATGAAGGGTTCTCCTCTCCTGCCTGGGCTTTCTCTCATGGGATCCAAGGCAGAAGCATCTCCAAATGGACTCTCCGAAGCACAAGAACAGAAAAACTCTGCATTGAGTCAATCAAACCAGAAAGTAAATTTCCCACATAAATGTCTCCCCTGAAAACCCAGCCTTTACAAAACTATTAGGCAAGTGAATTCAAATTGCTATACTAACCCACATACCAGCCAATGCACAGACACCTTCTCAATTGAGAGAAGGTGAAAGGTCATTGAAATTACCACTGCTCTGGTACCTACCAGGTGGGGTTCAGATCAGAAGCTCAATGTTTCTATGGATCTTAAAACTTCTATGGTTCTAGGGAAACAGACTGCCACAGCCCAAATGTCTCTTCATCCAATCACCACTGTGTCCCCACCCAAACCTGTCCATAGCCTTTGATCCTTCTGCCATTAAAATCTACCCATCTTCTGTCTATTTCTTTGCTTTCAGATTTCTAAGGTGACACTTAGGTAATCATATAAATCAATGTGTGCTGATGTGTCCATTTTCAGAGAACATTTACTGAGCATTTCCTATGTGCTCAGTACACTGAGTAAACAGAGAAGGAAACCATGTAATCTCTTATAGTAGGGTCCATGTTTTAATTGTTCCTGAATTCACTGATTCACTCAATAAATATTTATGAGGATCTACCATGTGCCAGGCACCATGTTAGACACTGAAAAATCTTAGAAGGAACAGAAAGAGAAAACACACTTTCTGGACTCAGGTTGCTCACGGTAGAACCATGAAGTCCATGGACAAGTTCAAATCAGTGTGACAAGGGCTATGGAAGCTTAAGGAGGGCAAACCCATCCAGGCTAAGGGTACTGGGGAAGCCTTCTCAGAGTGGGTGACTGCTGGAAAAAAGTCTCAAAATACTTAAGGACTAGGAGTTTTCCCAAAGGGAAAGGGCACTCGGGCATTCCAGGCAGAAGGACCAGTCCACAGACAGGTGGGGTCCAGGAAGTAGCAGGAAGTGGCTGACGACAACGGGCAGCAGTAGTTCAGGATGGTTGAGGGGGAATACTGAGACATGAGATTGTGTAGGTCTCTAGAGAGTCTACACATGCTGTCTTCACTCACTTACTTCCTGCTCGCTCTGTAATCCACGCTAACCTGTTTCTGTCTTCACCATTCCACCAACACTGCTTTTTAAAAATTGAGATATTCACATACCATAAAGTTCATCATTATAAAGTGCATAATTAAATGGGTTTTAGTATATTCACAAAGCTGTACAGCCAGCACCATGATTTAACTTCATAAATTCTTTTTATTACCCCAAAAGAAAGACCCCACAAGTTAGCAGTTACGCTCTATTCCCCTTATCCCCAGCCCCTGGCAACCACTGACCTACTGTCTATGGATTTGCCTATTCTGGACATTTCATGTAAGTGAACTCAGATGACATGAGGTCTTTAGTGTCTGGCTCCTTTCACTTAACGTAATGTTTTCAAGGTTCATCCATGCTGGAGCATGTGTCAGTACTTCATTCCTTTGTATGGCTGAATAATGTTCCGCTGTGTGGATATACTACAGTTTTTATCCTTTCATGAGCTGATGGACATTTGATGAATACCACTGTGGGGCTATTACGAATAATGCTGCTATAGACATTCACAAGTCTGCTTTTTTTTAAAGGTTGCCAGGAACCTCCACGCTGCTGAATTCAAATGGGTACTTCTTTGCTGCTTATATAACCTGACTAAAGACCAACTTCCATTCCCCAAAGCGTCTCCTGTCTGGGTTTTTGTTTCAGCACATTTTTACCCATTCACATCTTTCCCCTGCATCTCTGTCTGGTCCTTCTCTGTCTCTTTCTCCAGCTTTGACTCTCTCCTGCCCATTGTTCACATGGCAGAGGGGTTGTGTCCCTGCCCTCCGCCCCCAGGAGTCAGGTCCCCTCACCTCCCTGCTGGGAACCACACAGGGGCTCCCCTCTGAGAGCGAAACTCAAGCTTGCCTGCACCATTCGGCCCTGGCGTCCTCTCCACGTCACCAGCTCGACCCTCACTCTGCAAATGTGCTCTTCCTCCTGCTTCTCCTGTGGCTCCCTATATTTCATTCTTCAGGTCTCAACTTAGTAGTAGTCTCACAGACACAGAAAGGCCATCCCCTGCCACCATACCGAATGGAAATCTGCACTGAATATGCTTCAACTCAGCACTTTGTCACCTGCGCCAGCCCTTATTCTAAGTAACTGCTTTCTTGGAGTGTGTGCCTTTGCATGTGTGTGTCTGTGTGTCTGCTTCTGACTTTGAACTGTAAGTTCCGTGATGACAGAGACCTTGTCTGTACTACTTATATTTTACTCCCCAGGCTAATCATTTAATAGATGCCCAGTAAGTATTTGTTGGATGAAATGAGGAAATAAATAAATAAAAAGTTTAAGAGTTAACTAGGGTCAAATGAAATCATAGATGGGGATCTATAAACATTTGGCAAAATCTAAAGGGATATAAACTGTAATAGATGACTGCTATTATATAATCAGCATCTATAATTACTATTTACTAATTTACAGAAAGTAGAATTATGTTAAAAGACAAGAATTTGGATTTCTGGACTTGGAAATGCCCAGTTCCCCACCTCGAACTGGAGAATCTGATCAAAGGGTAGTTAGCCTTCCCCATGGGGCTACTTCGTGCTTTCACGCTGTGCCTATCACTTTCCTCCACGTGGAGCAGACACCTGCCCTCTTCTTCATCTAGAACATGCCTTTTTATTGTCCTGTGTTCTTGAAAAACTCATGCATGCTCTGCCCTGCTTGGCCCTTCAGTTCCCTCAGGGACAGCTGGATCCCTCTCTCCTCTCTGTTCCCTCCCTGCATTTGACACTTTGGTTACTTCATGTATGACTGGGTTGTTGACACATTTGCCCCTCTTACTGGACTCTGAGCTGGTTGAGGGTAGAGGCTGCAAGTCATTCATCTCTGATTTCATTCATTCATCCAGCAAATACTAATTGAGCATCTATTATGTGCTAAGCCCTGAAGCCCAGAGCCAACCTAGAGGCTTGCAGATAGTAAACCCTCACTGAGTACTTGAGGGGAACTGAACTGGAAGGAGGAGCCTGACTGTAGCTTCAGTCTCTTCACCAATCTCACAAATCGAAGGGATTAAATTGAGAATGGAGGAAAGATAAAAAATCCCAGTAGACATCATGGGCTCAGATGAGCAGCTGCCATCTACCCAGGGAGGTATAAAGGAAATCTGTGCCTCAAACCCACTGGACCCTCAGAGCAGAAGAGAGAGAGAAATAGGTCTCTATCCAGACCTGCTACCAGAAAGGTCCTGTCTTGGGTATGCTTTTGCCACAAGGCACGAGGAGCAGAGGGGAGAGTGGCAGCAGAGAATGGAGCCCATCTGTGCAGCCTCAGTGCCTTTTCCCAACTTCACTGGTCACATAAGTCGTCCCTTTTTCCTTACAGAGGATCATTGAGGGAGTTGAAAGAAAGGGAAAAAGAAACTTTCTTCCTAATGTTTGTGAAAGGTCAGAAATTCCTACAATCCATGCCACATAGTGTGGACCAAGTGAGCAATGCAGGGAAAGGGTTACTTGGCTCTTCCTGCTGTCATCCTCCCAAGGAAGGTTTTGAAAAGGCTGGATCACTTTTTAAATCACATTTCACATTTGAAGGTGAAGGGATGAAGTAGTTACATTGAAATTGTACATTAGTCAGGACCATATGCATAATTTCAAGAAATATTGGAAAAAACATTTAATGCCAGGGGTGTAAGTTCAGGCCAAAAGGATAGAAAACCACCCCAACACAGATAGCTATTAAATCAAGTATGCTGAACTCTAGAAGGCTTAATGCATTTACAGAGCTTTAAAAGAAAAATCTTGTTTCTCAGCAGAACCTCTGTATAAAGGGCTTGTGTCACTTCAAGGCACTTAACATGAAGTTCACAATGTGACTCATTAGAAGAGCATGATGCCCCGTGACTGCCCCCATGCTCCCACCTCCTACCACTGTCACTTACTGTGAGTTCTTTGCTTTTAGCAAAAGGCCACCAGCCACGCACACGCTTTTGCTGGAATATAGAGATCTTGTTCTCCTCACTTGCATTTTCAAACTTGCTGAGATCACAGGCTTTGGCAGACTTGGCTGCTCGAGGGAAACTATTGAGGTTCATTTCCAGGGAGCCTGTGGAGAGATGCCCACAGTTATGGAAGGGTTTCTTAAAAGTTATGGAAGATCTTTTTGATCACCATTTTCATTCATCCATCCAATCATTCATTCATTCACCCGCTCACTCACCAGTCATTCAATCAGTACCACACTGGATCACAACCATGCGCTAGGTATGGGAGGACAAATATGACCAAGACATGTTTGGTGCCCTCAAAGGACTAATCCCATGGTAGCAGGTAGAACACAAGGGCACAGCTACAATATTTAATGTCCAAGCCTCAGTTTCAGGTGGCATCACTGCTGGGCACCTTCTCCGCTCCCTGCACTCAGCTCCAGAGTCCAGATTATGTGCCTTAGCTTTGCCTGCTTTAGCCCTGACAACCCTGTGAGAGTCCTCCTCCCCCACCTCACCCCCTTCTTTTACTTCACTAAGCCCCTCCAGGTTGGGGACTGTCGTACTGTCTTTGTGTCTACTCTCTAGGACAGGGAGTGGACCTTAGTAGGTTCCTGACACTGGTTTTTCAGTGAGTGACTACAAGGCAGAGTAAGGCATTGCCATGAGAGAGTTCTACATCTCTCTCTTTAACAGCTTTTCCCATTATAAAGTGATATTTGTTAAATGTGGAAAATTTAGAGCATGGACATGAGCCAAAAAAAACGAGAATAGGAAAATTTTCCATAATTTGATTCCCCCCAAAGTTGACATATTGGTGCTTAGCCTCTCTTTCTTTCTCTCTCTCTCTCTCTCTCTCTCTCTCTCTCTCTCTCCCCCCTCCTTCTTTGCCTATGACTATCCTTTCTCCTATACATATAAACATGTATTTTACAGCAACTGGATTTTTTTCACACTCCTTTTTCACTTAATACATCCTGCCCAACTTTCCAACTCATTAGATATTCCCATATTTTGAATGGCTGCAGGGCTATCACTTACAGAGTGCTTGCTATGTATGAGGCACTACGGTTTGTTCTTTAATTGCGTTATCACATGTACAACTCCAGCACCCTCTGAAATATGTAATATTATTGTCCTTACTGTACAACTGAGGAAAACTAAGGCGGGGACCAGTAATTAGCTCAAAGTTTAATGACCTCTTAGTTGTACACAGTAAGACCAACTTAAGTCTGACTGAATACGTAGTGGTCCACCGTATGGACGCTCCATCATTTATTTAGCCAATCCCCTGTTAATGGCTATTAGGGCTGTTTCCAATTATTTTGCTATCACAGATAGCACTGGAATTGTTATCCTTGTAGCTGAATCAGGCCAAGCTCTCCAAAAGCTGAGAAAAAAACCTTGTCATTACTAAGTGCTTGACAAAGCCACTGGCTTACCCAGGAAGTCATCTGAGGACAGCCTTTCAAAATCCCAAACCTGGAGCACCAGCACAGCGGGAGTCTTACACTCCATCTTCTCTAAGGAAAAGATGTTCTCCCTCTTGGTGATGACCATTTGCTTCTCGGCTGGGAGATACTGGAACGGAAACAGGAAGCGCCAGTTGAAGTTGCCCTCTCCGGTCAGGGAGTTGTAATGCACGTCTGTCTCCTGCTTGTCGTCTTCCAGCCCCTTTATCCACCTGGGTAAAGATTGAAGAGAACTTAAACTCTCAGGGTACATTCTTCAGGCATCGCTATAATCAAGAGTGACTTAACTAGTTTTAATGTGGTCACGGATCATAGTATTACAATTATCACATGGTTAGATTCAGATGGAAGTTTCCATTTTAGTTTGAAAGAATAAAACAGGAATCAAGGGATTTAAAACAGAACCAAGACTTATTCCAAGGCAGGTTGGGGAAGTGTCTTCAATTGTTTGGGTAGACCTGAAGCCCCATGCAACCAAGATGGAAAATTCAGGATATACAAAGTGAAAATGTAATCTGGGTACCTGTCACCCGAAGAGCCCTCTTTGTAAGGTGCGCTACCTCTGTAGCTGAGTGTTAGAACAAGGTTACCCACTACAACGAGGCCTCCGAAATTGGAGTGGTATAGACCTGTGCTGCCAAGCCTGTGTTGGGCTGGTGTAGACTTGTGCTGTCGGGCCTGTAATTGGGCTGGTGTAGACCCATTAGGGTCTACGCCATTAGGACTGCATTGGGCTGGTGTAGACTTGTGCTGTCGGGCCTGTAATTGGGCTGGTGTAGACCTATGCTGTCAGGTCTGTAATTGGCCCCCTCCTTGTTTCTGGGCCTGGAAAGCCTGGCACGCCTCGATTCGTGTGGCATGGAGGGTGGGAGGGCTGTCTGTACCCATCTGGATTCCAATCCTAGCTCTACCACTTATCAACTGCACAGCCATAGCTAAGTTTTCAAACCTCTCTGTGCCTTGGTTTCATCTGTAAAAAGGAAGCGATTGTCGAGCCTAGCTTATACGGTTGCTCTGAAAAATTACGTAAGGTAACATCTGAAAATGCTTTGGGTACTGCAAATTGTCTGTAATGTTCTTTCTTCTTAGTGCAATCTGGTCTTTCTCCTTCATCCCCAGCATAATGTAAGTTACAATTAACACATTTTCCCCTAGTACTTTATCCGTGGTGAGTTAATTAATTGAAAAAATAAGTACTTTTTATGCAAACTAATTGATAATCCCAAACCACCTGCTTTCTGAAAGCAGACATCCCTCCTGCCCAGGGCAGGGAAGGGGAGAGTGAAGCCCCTTCTCTTCACAGACGGGTGGTCCCACTTGGAATAAAGGCCCCAATCATTTAGCTAAAGGTGGTGCTCACTCGATCAATATATTTTTGGTATCTGCTCTTAGGCAAAGAGCAAGGCTAGGGGAACACTGGGGAGCAGACAGACATGACCCTTCATGGAGCTATAGTCACAGGGAAAGGGCAGAGAGGAATTGAGTGGGGTGGCAGAAGTCACCAGAGAGAGACATGCCCAAGCCCCATGGAAGGAGAGGTGAGGATGCATCCTAACAAGGGGAAGAAGGTCCGTGTGACCAGAGAGCTGAGAGCAAGGGAAAGTGCGCTGTGGGATGAGGCTGAAGATACAATCATAGAGGACATTTTAGGACACATTTGGGATTGAAATCTGTGTCCAGCAAAAATGAGATATAATCAAAGAGTTTTAAGTAAGGGACTGACATGATTAGATTGTGTTTTGAAAAGATAACTCACAGAGAACAAATCACTAGAGGGCAAGAGAGAGAATGGAGAGCCCAGTCTGGCTGGCACTGGTCCTGGGACTGCAGTGGCCCCAGCAGCAATGGCGGGGAAAAGGCCACAGCAGGGTGTGGTGCAGAGGGAGAGGACAGGCAGTGCCGATGGCTTTTTGAGAAGGAAAATGGACAAGATTTGATGGCGCATGAGAAACGGGGAAGTCAATGAGGAAAGGTTCTGTAGATTTGGGGTTCCTGGCACTGAATAGATGATGGTACCAGCCACTGAGATAAGAAGCTCTTGAGAAGAAAGTTAGGTGCTGTAAGATCTGCATTTTGGTTTCATACTTGTTGAATTTGAGGTGTGCTGTTGAGAAATCCAAGGAAATAGACACATCTGGAGCAGGAATCATCAAGAATGGAAATTCAAAGATGGCAGTGGAAGCCATGGGTTATTTGAACCACTTTATTTAAGTGAATGTTAGATGAAAAAGGCAGAGAGACAAAATAGTGTGAGATGAGAAGAGGTCCCAGGACAATACCATGAGCTGTTTAACTGCTAGAGGAAGGAAAATGAGCTTTCAAAGGACACGGAGAAGAAGCCACCAAGGGGATATGAGGACAACCAGAAACATGTGTCATACAGAAGTTAAGACAAGAACGTGTTTCAAAAAGAAGGAGTGGTCAGCTATGTCAAATGCTCCTTAGAGGGCTAGAAAGTGAGGAATAACTAGTTAGAAAGACAAAAGCCAAACAAAACCATTTGATTTAGCACTGTGGAGACAAGGGGACCTTCGTGAGACCTGCTTTGCTGGAATTCAGGGGAGGAAGCCAGCTAAGGGCTGGCTGAGGGGTGAGCAGGAGGGAAGGAGATGGAGAGAGTGAATAAGCATCTCCTTCACTACATTTTAATAGGCCAGCGTTCTGGAAGTCTCCACCTGAGCTCTCCCAGAATCCTTCTATATCTTAAATCATGGTAAAATATTTTTTTTGAAGACACATTAATCTTTCTAAAATTGGTAGTAAGACAGAAATTTCAGAGGATCTTAATTCTGCTTTTTAAAATCTTATTTATTTTGGGTCATGTTACTTCTATTACTCCTCCTTTGTAATAATTTAACTTTCTCTTATATTGTTATTCTGAAAAAGAAATTAGAATTCTGAACCACTGGACATGGTGTGGCTGCCAAATGCATTGGTAATGTGCATTTGAAGACAGGATGCTTCTTGTTTGGAGCAGGCAAAGAGGTGTGAGGCTGAGATGAGTTTACTACTCCTGAGATGAGTTTTAGCTAAATCCATTTTTAATCCATTTAAATCCATTTTTCTTCTGATTCTGTACCACCTCATCCTCCTCCCTGCCTAGTGGCTAAAAGGAAGCAGAGCCAAACTACGAGAGAGATACAAAATGCTTCATTGCCTGGGTCCTAGGTTGGTATCTTTTTTTAATCAGTAGCACTAGCAAACAGCATGGTAGAAACAGTAGCTTTTGCATTAGCTTCACAATCTGCTAAACAGATTCATCTTTCATCAATGGCACCAAATCCCTACTTCCTTCAGTTTAAAGGTAGATATATTTTGAAAGTCACTTAACAAGTTTAGGTATCCACCATTTAGCTGAAAGATGTCTATATAATAAGATTTCCTTGCAAAAAATACTTTCTTAAGTTAATTCTTAGCAAAATGGCCAAACAAGTCAAATATTTGACAAAGAAAGTGGCCTTATCTAACCAGGTGAGTAAGATGGGCTCCTTCCGTGGGGTGTGGGTGTGGTCCCCCCATGAGGTGTTGATTTGGTCAGGGTTTAAAGAGCTGAGGAGGGAAGAAAAGGAAGGATGGAGTTTGTGGATGATCTTACCCTTTAACATAAATATCACTCGATTTTTGGCCTGTGAAGATATTCTCATCCTCTAAAATGACATCTTCAGTGTTCCAGATAGTCACCCTCAATTCGTACCTGGGGCAAGGGAAGGCAGCATTAGGCTGATGACCTTGAAGGCTGAGTCACCTGGTGTCCATGTGGTTCTAGTATTGCTTTGGTCCACAAGCTTCCTCACATTTGCCAAGTTCAGAAATACCAACACTCAGGCTCTGGGTTCCATCAGAACCAAGCATGCAAGCTGGAGACTTCAGAATCACCCAGGACACGAATCACTCTGGGCAGATTCTCCTTCTATTAACCAGCATTTTTCGGATGAAGAACTTGAAGCTCAGAGGCCCCCGTCTTAGGACAGTGACCACCACTCCTGCCACTGCCATCACCTGTCCCTGCTGTAACTGTCCAGGTGGGAAGTGAGGTTATAATTACCAGGTAACCTGCCAGACAGCAGATCAAACGTCATGATCTTTTGTCCACTTTTATGGTCTCTACAATTATGGGGGCCTGCAGCCAACTTACCCTTTGGGTCGTCTTGGTGAAATGTCAACAGGAGGTCCAGGCTGAGGCATATCCTTGGGAAACATATCCACCCACATCTGCAGACGGCCCTTGTTAAGAAAAATGACTCCTTTAGCTTTGGGAGAGGGTAGGGATGTGGGTAATTGACAGACAGATGGTTTTAAAAGATCCCCTTACTAGAAATGGATATCGGGTATAGCTTGGTGGCTTTATGTTAATAGTTGTTTAGCATACTGTTGACAAAAACAGAACTTACTTTTATTTTTTAGGAATTAGAGCATAAACTAAGAGCAGGTGAAGGGTGAGGAAACCCTTACTGAGCACCTGCTAGGTGGTAGACAGAGTGCTATGTACTTGATACTCATTACCTCATGAAATCTTGCAATATTCCCACTAGGTAGATGTTATTCCTGTTCGGCAGATGGGAAAACATCCTGCTCATGCTTACATAGACAATATCAAGAAGAATCTGTATTCAATTCTTGTCTGTCAACCCTAGAGACCCCACTCTTTCTACAAACTCCCAAGGATTAGAAAGATGATAATACCATCTGTCATTATTTCTAATGTGCTGTAACATCTATTATCTCTGTCAATGCTCACCCAACCCCATTTCCCCCTTTTACACATAATGAAACCAAGGCTCAGAGAAGTTAATGAAGTTATCTGAAGTTCTGTGGCTAATTAGGGCCAGAATAGGGTCTCCCATCCACTGTCTTGAACTCCATACACCATTCTTTACCCGGCTGCAAGGGCTTTCAGAGCCCACACAGAGAGAAGCCCCAGTGGATGCCATGCTCAGCTCTGTTGTATGCATTCTAAGTACTCTGTCAGCTCAGGAAGAGTGTAATCAATGTGGATTGAGATGACCAGGGGAAATTATATAAGAAGGAGAGGGGGATTCTACCACAGCATGAAGGATATGCAGGGTTTGGATGGGGGAGGGACTTTGGCTGGAAAAAACAAGGCTTTTCAGGGGAAGGGAAAGCAAAGGTTTAACATTTTGGAAGACAAGAGCCAGTTCAATGGAGATCTAGGGAACAGTGGAATGATTTATTCTCTAAAGATACATTAATACTTACCTAATCAAAAAGCCATATCTGAGCAGCAAAATGAAAAATCTCAGTAATCAAAAGGTTTCAAACATTTGGTAGCATGAATTTCAGGAAACAACTATAAGCTTCCATATCTGATAATGGTTTGTCCTCTCAACGCAATCCTTCACACATGCTATTGCTAGGTCTACCCCCCAACACTGCTGGGATAACAGGGCAGGTGTTCCTGTCCCACTATCATTGGACTCATATGATTTGCCCTAGTTACACAGTGGGTGAGTACAGAGCTGGGACAGAGCCAGCTTGGGGTGTGGACATAGCTAAGTCTAAGGACTCAAACTGCCTGGGTTAAATCCCAGCTCTACTGCTTACCAGCTGAGTAACTTGGAGCTAGTTACTTAGACTCTCTGAACCTCAATTTACTCATCTTAAAAGTAAAGATCATAATAACTCCATCATGAGGCTGTATTAAAGAATAAGAGGAAGGTGACCCACACTCCCATTTGTCTAGGAAAATCCTGGTGTATGTCCCTTGTACCAGCTTAATTATTAATGGTACCCTCATTCATTCTCAAAATGGCTTCAGTTTGGATAAACAATTCTATGGTCATCCTAAATAGCTGAGATAATTTATGTAAAGGGCCTAGTACATGGAAGGCTCTTAAAAAATTTATCTTCCCTTCTGATTCCTAACTCAGGTCTCCAGTTTTTTTTTTTTTGTTTTTGTTTTCAATATAGCTTCTTTTTGCCAATTCTTCAAGGTAAGCCACCACCTACTGCTTCTCTGAAAAAACTGTGTGTTTGGTTACTAAACTATGTGGTTACAAATATGTGTTGGACAAGGTCTTAGGCATATCAGATGGATTTTAAATTTTATTTATTTATTAATTTAGAGATGGGTGTCTCACTGTGTTGCCTAGGCTGGCCTCAAACTCCTAGGCTTAAGCCATCCTCCCACCACAGCTTCCCAAGTAGCTGGTGCTATAAGGGTACATCATCATGCCCACCTCAGATGGGTTTTGAAGTTTCTCAAATGAGGGGATTTTTTGAAGAGTTTAATAACTCAAATCATATAAAGGAAAAAGTACTAAGTCCAACACTGACTCTGGGACAGGGTTTCTCAAACCCAGCATTATTGACATTTTAGGCTGGTTAATTCTTTGTTGTGGGGAGGCTGTCCTGTGTATTGCAGGGTGTTTAATTTAGGAGCATCGTTTATCTCTGCCCACTATATGGCAGTAGCACCCCCCACCCACAGTGACAACCATAAATGTTTCCAGACACTGCTAAATATCCCTAGAGGAAGAAGGTCAAAATTGTCCTTGGATGAAAACCATTACTCGAAGGCACACAAGATTAACTTTTAGGGTAAAAACCACTTTCCTTGGGGAAGAACACTCCTATTGGGGCCAGAGTTGTCTTGCCCACTACCTGCTCCATTCCTGGCTTATCCTTGTGGTACAGCGCCCGAGTTTCTATGTGCTCAGGAACCAGCCTACACCCGACTTTTGGGATATCCTGCCAAGAGCGTAAAACCCTGAGGGCCAAGTGCTCATAGGACTCCACTGTCTCATCTGTAAGAAAGAAAGACAAAGAAAGAGACTTGTTAGACATGTTCCTGCAGGGACACAGTGATAGGCTGCCAGGTGCATTTTTAAACCCATCCCTTAAGAAAGGTTTATTTAAATATACCAAGGGACAGGGAAAGAGAAAAGACAGCAAACAAGAAAAGAGAAAAAGAGAGGATGGAAAGAGGTGGAGATGGAGTGGAGGGAAGGGGAAAGAGATGTAAAACTCAGAGAGAGGGAATTGAGATGGGTTCACAAGAGGACCCAGAGAGCAGTCTTGGCTCTGGAGTAGAGGACTCCATTCACCCCCTAAATCAGATTCCTCCAGAGTCTACGGATCATAAGCTTGGGTTCCAGGTCTGGAGAAGATATGTTTTTGGAGATATGAAACTGTTTGCTAACATCACAGTGTGAGAGGGCCTGGGAAATCAGGGTAGCCCTAAGCAAGGTGGTGAAGTGAGCACAGTATGTGTTTGTGTCCTTTGTCTTCACAAGGCTGCTTGGGGTCTTCCTCCTACCAGTGCCTGCCCACAGGAAACGGTCTCTAATCTGTCACCCTACCAAAGAAGGTAATTCACGGTGGAAATAATACCCCCCCAAATAAGACAGAAATTGTTGAGAGAATAAAATCTTCTTGACAAAATTTAGAATGACCAAATTCAGCATAGGAAAGTTTAACTTGGCTTTTCAAAAAGGAGCCACAAAGGAAATCTCCTGATAGCAGAGAGCAAATCTCCTTTTCCTAATGACAATCAGTAATTATTGATAGGAATGAATAAGTAATCTATAAACTAAATATTTGTCATAAAGTTCGATCATCCAGGAACTAATCTTTTGAACATAATTTCTGACTTTTATGGGCCTCTCAAAAAGATAATTGTTTAATCACAAAGTGTAGAATATTGACCAAGGAACCAAATCATCTTACTACAATATATTGTGAATAAAATATTTTTCTCAACAGAAATTCATCAGTGTGTCATTATTACACTATCTAAATAGCAATAACTCTGACTGAAAGAACTTTCAATAGGTTCTTGGGATCAAAAGGACAAGGTAAAAAGTCTTGATATCAAAGTGATAGTATCACATCAAAACATCCTGTGCCATGTCCTCAGTTGGGCCCATTGCATCAAAAGTACTGACCCATATAGAGAGAATTTTTAAGCATCAAAAACACGGGTGTGATAGTGCAAGAAATTTTTCATATCATTAAAGTAAACATGGCTTTTTTTCCTCATCCTAGGTTTATGGAAGCCTCTGTGGGATCTTTGTGGTATGGTACTCAAGTGGAAAATCTACTTCTTCGTGTCAAGGTAGGATAGTTATTCATATGATATTTAAGAGGGTAATTTGGGTTGTGCCCAATTATATATGTTATATTCATTTTAAGGCTACTGCCTACCTTCTGACACAACGATTCTACTTCTATGATCTATACTGTAGAAATGGAAATGCACAAGAATATGCATAAGGAACTTCATTGTAGCATTGGCAATACAAAAAATGAACATAATGGAAATAAATGGCTTAGCCATAAAATGGAGTATTATCAGTAATCATTTCAAAGAACCAAGGAGAATCATCATAATCTACTGGAAATAGAAAAAGCATGGTACAAAACTATATGTATGGTATTTAATACATTTATAATTCTCTAAAAATGTGATACATTACACACACACAAGTGCAAGAAAATATGTCAGCATGCAGCATGGTTATCTCTGGATTTGAAGATTATGACTGATTGTCATTATCCTTACTTTTCTATACTTTATACCATGAACACACATTACTTATATAATTAGATGTCCCTCTGTCCCCTAGCCAAAAATGCCACCAGAATCAGGATTTTCAAAAGAAGAGCAACATCAGGGAGTTACCAGTGTCCTCTTCAGTGAAGACAGTTTTTCCAGAAAAGACCTGGTTTCCAATCTGTATTTTCCCAGGGTGAAAGTAGGGTCCATCCAGCTTGTTGTCTTTGCAGAGCTTTGTGAGGATTTCGGTGGGTTTGGATGTATCTCTCCAGGCATTGTATCCTTCTCTGAAAAGGGGAGGGAGGATAGATGGGTGAGGCCTGTCTTCTCCCTGGGAGGTCACACTTTGAGGTCCCCATTAAAAGGTCCTCCCAAGTATAATCTGTATGGTTTCCTTCAGATTTAACTTGCTATTCTGTATACTTGAGGCTGGTGTTTTTGTTTTGCTTGCTTTTATTTTCTCTCTTTTCTGGTCAAATACCTCTGCATATATACAGCTTACATGAAAGACAAGACTTCTGGGCAGGTTGAGAGAAAAATCCTTTGCAGGTAGTTTTGTTTACTTGTTTGTTTGTTTTTTAAGTAAAGAACCTTTCTTTTAAAAAAAATGAAGTGAAAAATGCATAAGAAAATTAACCATTTTAAAGTTGATCAACTCAGTGTCATTTAGCATATTCACAATGATGTGCAACCACCACTTCCATCTAGTTCCAGAAAGTTCTCTACAGCCCAAGAGAAAACCCTCTACCTAGAAAGCAGTTACTCTTCTTTCCCGCTCCCCAAAGCCCTTGGCAGTCGCCAATCTGCTTTCTGTCACTATGCATTTCTTTGCAGGTGACTTTTGTTCCATTGCTAGCAGAAAAGCCACGTGGCTGCTACTGATTCCAAGAGGAAAGCACAGCTCATCCTTTCAATTTCTACATTTCTTTCCTACTCTCTCCTCCCTCATCAAAAAAAAAAAAAAAAAAAAATCATGTTATGGATTCAACATCACAGCAGAAAGTCTTGATGTGTTGTTTCTCTAATCAGTGATTTTCCTTATGGTGAGTTTCTAAATCCTCCCAACCCTTTCTTCTCTTAAAAACTAGCTGTTTGGTTAAAAATTATTAACTTACAAATAAAGTGCTCCGTAAGAGCCTTGACCATGACAAGGTCTGCTCACTTGGGACGCTGGGTTCCTCAGAATCTAACTTGCTTAAGCATTTGAATAAATCAGCATGGCATAGAAAACGGAGCTACACAGTAGTCTTCCCACATTGTGCCAGAGACGTGGAGATTCTGAAAAGGTCACCCAGGTCAGCCCAGAGCCTCACACAGGCCTTTCTGGAAATAGGCATGCTTGTCTTGTTTTATCAAATGACACTCTACAAAAAAGACACCTGCACTCGAATGTTTATAGCAGCAAAATTCACAGTTGAAAAGCTGTGGAAACAACCCAAGTGCCCATCAATTCATGAGTGGATTAATAAAATATGGTATATGTATACCATGGAGTACTACTCAGCTTTAAGAAACAATGGGGATATAGCACCTCTTGTATTTTCCCGGATACAGCTGGAACCCATTCTACTAAGTGAAGTATCTCAAGAATGGAAAAATAAGCACCACATGTACTCACCAGCAAATTGGTATTAACGGATCAACACCTAAGTGGACATATAGGAATAACATTTATCGGGTGTTGGGCAGGTGGAAGAGGGGAGGAGGGGATGGGTATATACAAACACAACAAGTAAGATGTACAACGTTTGGGGGATGGACACGCTTGAAGCTCTGACTCGAGATGGGAGGGGGAGCATGGGCAATATACATAACCTTAACACTTGTACCCCCATAATATGCTAAAATAAAAAAAATAAAAAAACGTTTCAGTGAATAAAGGTTGCAACTCCCCTGACAAGAATTCTGCTCCCTGGCAGGTGCCCTGCCCGGAAATTCTTCCGAACAAGGGCTGCACCACACGTGCCTGTGGCTTCCTTCCCCAGTGTCAGAGTGAGAGCAGCCAGTCAATCACTCCCTGAATGGAACCCTCGCAGGTGCTTGGAAAGCCCAGCAAACACCCCGAGGGCTACGGATTCAGTAGACACCCAGAACTAAAGTGGCTCTCTAGCCTCTGGGAAGAGCAGGCCAGAAAGAGAGACTGTCTGAAAATCAGGCTCTGGAGGATAAAGACACTCAGACTCTGCCAGTGAGAGTGCACCCCTTCTGGAGGGCCATTTGGACATATACATTAGAAGTCTGTCTTTATTTATTTATTTATTTATTTAACATTAGAAGTCTTTAAAACGTACATTTCCATTTAAAGGAGCAATCCACATAGATGAATGAATACTGAGTGAATTATCAAGAGGTGTTCAGTGGCTTCTGTTGAGAATGTTCACAGCAGCAATATTTATAATAGATTATAGAAGAAAAATATAAACACCCTGAAGTTAAGGGAGCCCAATGGGTTATATAAATTTTATAATGGATTCATAGGATAGAATACTATAGAGCTATTAAGATAATGATTATAATAATATTTAATGACATAAAATGCTTGGGATATAAGGGTAAGTGAAATAAGCAGATTATAAAACTGCTTGGATAGTATGAGTCCAACTTTGGGGAAAAATAGCAGGGAAAAAATATTGAAAGGAAGTACATAAGAATTTTTGCATGAGTTATCTCTGAGTGGAATAATTTGATTTTGATTTTGTACTTTTGGTATTTCTCAAATTTTCTACAATGAATATGTATTATTTTATACTCAGGAAAATATTTTAAAAATTACACCATGAAATGTTAGTGAATGTTTTGTATTTTCCTGGCTGGAATTTGTAAAGGTTTTTTTTTTTTTTCTTATGATGTTAGATACAACATATTTTTTAAAAATAAAGCTGATAGCCTACAGTCTGTATTTTAAAAGTAAGCAGAATTCAACATCTTTATAAAGAGTGAGAATTGGGTCCATCCTTCCTTTATTTGTAAAATAACACCTCAATGGGTTGTTTGAGAGAATTGAAGGAGACACTCCATGTAAAGTGCTTGGTTATTAAAAGTGCTTAGTTACTAATGAACAGGGATATTGTGGGCATTTGTATTGTATTAATCATTCTTCTAACATCATTCCCTGCCAGAGAACTCTGCCTACAAGGCACAAGGACAGAGTGAACACATACAATCTAGCTTTTGATTCTTTAAGAACCTGCTCTTAGTTCTAAATCAGCACTGCCTCCCAGCCCCAGTGAGCCCCAAGAGCACTGAACAGCATTTCCCCAAACCAGCCCTGTGGAGATGCAGCCCATTTGAGAGATTAAAGGTGGTCTCCATAAAGATAGAGCATTAGGATGCAGAGGCCACAGCCTGATGGCTATGGCTTCAGAACACCCAGTGTCTCCATGGGAGGAAGAACTTACATTTCATACTGGCTCTGCAAGCCACAGATGGCTCGGTGTTTGCTGTAGAAGCGGTTCTCTAGGTCAATCTTGGTCTCGCCAATGAGGTCGTCTGTCCCAATCATATCATGGTCGTAGATCAGGACAGACAGCATGGACTCCTTTGGGAATGTGGCTTGGATCTCAAATGACCTGTGGTCCAAGCAGAGACTTCAGGAATCAACAACATTTGGTGGCACAGGGAATGTTTCCCAGCTTCACTTTAGCTAGGCTGCTGTTCACAGGAACTTAGTAAATGCTCAACAACTCAGTTAATACTTAGCAGATATTTGTTTGGTTTAATTTCTCATTGAAGTACAATCGATTTCCAATTCCTTTGTTAATTACCAATAGCCAATAATCTCCCTTTCATGGGCCATGTCTTCCAGTCTTTAGCTAGGGTGACAGCATGATGGACAGGGTTTGGGTTTTGATCTCAAATAGGACTAATTTCCAATCTTGGTTTCAAACCTGAACCTTTATGGTTGTAAAACTTTGGGGAAGTTATTTAACACATTAACTGCCATGTGAATTGTATTTAACTCATGCTAGTTTTGAGCCTGGGGCCTCGTGAAGCATATGTAACTCATATATTCTTTACCTTGGGAGCCGCGTGGTGCACAGGCAACTCACGCTGCCATGCTGTAGCATGTATGTTACATGATGGGCAGCCCCCTGGGTAAAACCCTGCAGTTGGTTTGCAAAAATCTCATTTGTCGATGTTCTTATTGTTACAATTAATATTGACAATTTAATTGCATATAACTCTCACAGAAAAAAATAAAAAAATAACAATTTTTTCATTAAATTAGAAAGGATCGTTTTGTTTTCCAAGTTTTTATTCTATTCTTTGTAATAAAACACCATGGCCCCAAGGAAAAATTATTTTCTTCTAGCATAGCAGTCAATGTGTTAATCTGCCTCAACCTCCTTCTGTGCAAATTGGATAAAAATATCTTCTCTATAATTTGGTATGGTGGTTAAAGGCAAGATTCTTTCTATAAAACACATATTTTACTTCCGGGTTTTCAACCGGTGCCCAGTACACTGCCATTCCCCTTCCCCTCCATTGTTGTTTTCACAAGGAATCCCAGCAGGATTTATTTTAAATGAAAATCCTGCTGAGGATGGAAAATCGTAAACACCGAATTGCAGGATTGGAGTGCTGTCTTTCAGGGACTTGCCTTTCTATCTCTGCATTTCTGGAGCTTGCACTTGGCCTGTGGAAAGTACACACTAAATAAATGTTTCCTTGAACTGTAAGGGATCTCAGAAATCAATATCCAATCCTATCATTTTACAGATAAGGAAATGGAAATCTAGAGGAAGTGACTTACCACAGATCATCAATCAGGCCAATCTGGGATAAATGCCAGTTTCCTAACTCCTAGTTAGGTGCTCTTTCGACGATACCACACCAATGCAAGGTGGCCCAAGGAACAGTAAGGCTGTCGGATTTCCTGCGACAATGGATTATCCATGCTACTGGGTTTCTGCATTAGGGCTGATGCTTGGGAATTAAATTTTGAGTGAAACCCATATTATAGGGAAATGCCTTCCTGAAAACAAAATCAGGAGCACACCAGTGTTTCTCCAGCTGTTCTGGACTCTGGCCACTTTGGATGGACTGGGCTGGGAGCAAGGGGTCCAGAGGAGGCAGGAAGAAGGAGAAGGGCAGGCCTGTTATTCCTCTGCATGTCCACAGGCCTGTCTGGGCTGCTGCCCTCAGAGTCAGACCCACTTAGCCCTGACAGTCGCTCTCCAGTGTGGCAGGGACTGCAACCGCAGCACAGCCAGAGCCAATTAACCCTCGTCAGAGAGAAAGAAGCAGAGATGCTGGACAGCTCTAGTGATTGTAACTGACTGAGGCGGTTGTAGTGGGTCATGGATATCACTGTGCAGGGAAGAGACGATCCATGTATCTTCCATCTGAAGGCATATATTGCTTCCCTAGGCTCTACGATTTGGATTCTAAACTGTAATTGATACTCTGGAGGTGTGTCCTAAGGAAGCCTCCAGGCCATCGCCATGACTGTAATCAAGGAAGGACTTAGTAAGTGCCTAACTGCCCCTGGCAACCAGGGCAGAGGACTGAATCTCCCTGGTCCATCTCCCCAAGCTGTATGTGCACAGATTAACCTCACCTGAATTTTAACAAGCTGTCATTCAAAGGACTTCTAATCACCTGGGGGGGGGACTAGGCTAATAACAACTTGTGTGTCAGTGAGATACATCTCTAGATGCCACTGTGGTTTGAGAAAAGATAATGCATCAGGAAATGGGCAAAAACTAAGGCGCGGTGAAGGCACGAAGGCCCTCAGTCGCAGAGCAAAGATGCCCCATTGTTTTTGTCCATATGTTCATTCTTCAATTTATCCATTTGTTCATGTGACATTTATTACACAGTCCTTATGTGCCAGGAACTGTGGGTTTAAGAGATAAGTAAAACAATTTCCTTCCAGTGGAGAAGGGAGATAAGCAAATGGCTAAATAGGGTGGCAGGAACTCGGAGTTCTGGGCAGGTTAGTATGGAAGGTTTCCAGAGATGACTCTTTAGCTGAGATTTGAGGGCAGGTGGAGGTGTGCCCTGCTGCAGACCCATGGAACTTCTTTTCTTAGCCATTTCTCCCACCCAGGTCAAGTTCCCTGATTATTCAGGCTCAAATTGGGGCCCACGCATCTCTCTTTTATTGAGTGCATCACACACGCAATTTTATATCTGTCTGATGTTTTGGCTAATGCCTGCCTCCTCCATGGGGATGTGGGTCCCTTGGATACAGGGTGATACCACCTCTATCCCTCTCCAGGGCATGGCACACCGTCTGTCACTGAATGACTGCCTGACTGGAGAGAACAAACACTTGCAAACCACTCACAGTGTGAGGGTCGCTTGGCTAGACCATAGTCCCCAGTTATTTACTCAAACGCTAATCCAGGTGTGGCTGTGAGGGTGTTTTGTAGATGTGATTAACATCTATGATCAAGTAAAGGAGATTATCCTTGATAACCTAGGTGGGCCTCATCTAACCAGTTGTAAGTCCTTATGATAAAAACAATAATATCATAATAAAGAGCAAAAGCAATATGTATTGTTGTGAGTTGAAGTGTAGATTCCCAAAAAAGATATGTTGAAGTTCTAACTCCCTGTATCTCAGAATGTGACTCATTTGGAAGTGGGCTCTTTATAGAGGTAATCAAGTTAGAATGAGGTCATTAGGGTGGGCCCTCATCCGAGACAACTGGTGTCCTTATAAAAAGGGGACACTTGGCATAGAGGCACACGCACAGAGGGAAGACAGCATTCAGAGGTACTGGGAGAGGCCGCGTGATGAAAGCTGAGTTGCAGCAATGCTTCCACAATCCAAGAGAGCCCAAGGATGGCTGGCAACAGCCAGAGGCCAGGAGGGAGGCTTGGAGCAACCTCCCCCTAGAAGCCCTAGGAAGGAACCCAACCAGCCAACACCAGACTCCCAGTCTCCAGAACTGCGAGAGAATAAATTTTTGCCTGTTAAACCCTCTACTTTCTGACACTTTGTTAAGGAAGCCCTAGGAAATTGACACATGCATGCACCACACGCAGTCTCCTGCTGGTTCTCTCTGATGGAACCCTGACGGGTTCCACAGTTCCTGCCGTGTCACGTCCTCCCTCCACTCGGGACTTTGCAGGGCTGCCCTCTAGAGCACCCGCCAACCTCCACCCCCGACACCCGTGAGATGGTCAGGGGCCCTGCGGTGTCTTCACAGGATTTGTGGCACTCTGTCGTAATCACCATTTATTTATATTCTCTAAATATTCACAGGTGCACTGAAGGTACAGACTGTGGCCTAGTGCCCACTGTGTCCCAGCACCCAGCAGAGTGGCTGACACACGGTGGATTCTCCATAATTGTGAGGAGTGAATGAAGTTGTGCAGGTAGACAAGAAAGGGAAGGGCATTCCATGGCGACGGGACAGCAACCTCCAGACATGAGTGAGCAAGGGGAGGTGGAGAACTCGTTTAGTCGCCCCTAGATCCACTCCTTAGGATCTCATTTCTTTATGAGTAATTGTCAAGGCAGTGGAGACAACAGGAAACCTTCTGGGACCCCATGAGAGCAGTGAAGAGTCACCAAAGCCTGCAGACACGTTTCACTCGAGACAATGCAGAGAGACAGGGTCCCATCAAATCCTGCTAAGAATTGACTGGAGTTTTGCCCATCCATCCATGCATGCATCCATCATTCATTCCACAAATACTTACTGGGCACCTGCTGTGTGCCAGGCCTTATCCTAGCTGCTGGGGATGTTGCACTGACCAGACTAGAGCAAGTAAGTCTCTGCTCAAATACACGTTGGGGAGATGGGAGGTGGCCTTTAAACCCAGGAACACCTCATCCATGTCAGAGACTATGAAGAGAGGTGAAGCAGCACAAGTGTTGGGGGACCCAGGGGTGCAGGCTGTGACACCCTCACACGGATACCAAAGCAGTGAGGTCGTGAGTAGGGACTACTCAGACCCGGGGCCAGGTAAAAGAGCTCGCTCGGCACCCGCTCTCCCTGCTGGGACACTGCGGCATTGTGCTGGCAACTTTTGTCCCCAAGTAATGATTAAATACACATCCGGCAAAGCATCCACACCCAGGGAGCTTCTGGAAGAGGCCCTGCAATGCCAGAGGCAGGAGGGACTATCCCCTCACTCTCTCTTCTTGTTTGCCATGGCCATATAACACAGGTAGTAAAACCAGTCTGATCCATGGCACTGTGGTGAAGGCAGCTAATAAATATGACTGCTGAGCACTTCGCCCACTGAAGCACTGGTCACATAAATGGCAGGAGATGAAAAGGTCATCTCTGCATGAGGGAAGCAAGGGTAAGTTTCCCGGGCACTATCATTCTAGTCATTCTCATTAATCTGGACATGTAAGATAATGTATTGCCTCATTTCCTCAGGAGCAATAAGGTATAAGAGGCTGGTGCTGATCAAATGTCAGAGGGTCTACAGTGATCACAGACTTGGTATAAATGAGGTTATGGAGATTTTATACCATGATCCTAGTTACTCAGGAAAAAATAAATTAAATACAAGTAGGATGTATCCATTGCTAAAATGATTACCCAGGAGGATGGCAAAGGCACTAATGAGCTCTAAGTAGTGTGTTGCTGGCATAGGCGATGTGTTAGGTGCTTGATGTATGTAATCTGCTAAAGGAATCTGAGTCAGGTGTCACTGCTACTGCTTCACAGAAGAGGAAAAATAGGATAAATCATCTGCAGAAGGTTACACAGGTTGTATGGGGCAGAGTGAAACCCAGGTCACCTCAATTCCAAAGGCGCTGCCAGCCAAGTGCACAAACTCAAGCAGGGAACAGCACTGTGTGACACACCCTGTCCTAGGATCAATGAGGGTGGTAGGGTTGCCGTGAGCTGGAGCATGCCTAATTCACCGACACATACACGAATGCAGTGGGTTTGGACACTTTGCAAGAAAACAAAACACAACTGGGGGACACAGTTCACCTTTCTGACCTCAAGGGTCACCTCAAATGAGCAGCAAAATGATATGATGAAAAAATTCCTTTAGTAGGAGATGAAAGACCAAACATCTGTGCCCTTCTCCACCAATTGTAAGCTGTATGAACTTGAATATGTTCCTTAACATCTCTGGACCATGGTTGCCTTGTTTATAAAAAGGAAATCACCTCTCTGCCCAAAAGCAGGGGTCTGAATCCGATGACCCTTCAAAGTGCCTCTTAAATCCAAGATAGAGGAAATGGTTATTAGAAAACTATAGGTATGTTCCACCAAATTCTGTGGGGATCATGGAAAGAGTTGGACTCTGCTCTGTGAATATACGTTTGCTTGGCTGGTTGGCTGGCATCCAGAGCAGAAGTCAGCATTTAACATCCTCCTCCTATTTCTCCCAGACACACACACACACACACACACACACACACACACACACACACACACACGACCCTTCACAGAAACTCAGCAGGAACAAATGCAGAAAGGGCAACACAAAGCAGCCCAGATGGCCACCGACCTTCCAAATACTGGGTTCAGTTGTTTGGGGATGTATTTGTCCCGGTCTTTGATTTCTGTTTTGCCAATCCTGATCACAATGTAGGGATCTGATTTTCCATCTGGATCAGCTGGGCTAAGATTAAATGCCTGGGGGAGAAAAGGAAAGTTTCTTTGGTCTAGTGTTTCTCAACATTGGCTGCACTCTGGGGTCACCTGGGTGCTTTCAAAAATGGGGATGCCTGAGTTCTATCTCCAGATGTGCTGATTTAATGGGCCCTGGGCTTTGGGTTTTTGTAAAGCTCCCTAGATGATTCTAATTCACAGCCAAGGTTAAGAACCACTGCTTTAGCAGTTCCTTTTGCTGTTACAAGAAAGATGATTGGTTTTGCCCACGTTCAACTTTCTCTGGAGTCTTCTCCCCAGTGGAAAGAAGCTCTTGGCTCAGAGTGATGAGGAGTACGGTGGAGCAGGAGACAGAAGGCATGAGTTTGAGTTCTAATTCTATAGTCACACATCTCATAGTGACATTTTGGTCAAGGACAGACCAAATATATGACAGTGGCTCCATAAGATTATAATGGATCCGAACGATTTCTAGCACCTAGTGACGTAGCCATCGTAACATCTTAGTGCAAGGCATTACTCAGGTGTTTGTGTGATGATGCTGCTATAAGCAAACCTACTGCACGGCCAGTCATATAAAAGTATAGCACATAAAATTATGTACAGTACATATAATTGACCATGATAATAAATGACTGTGTTACTGGTTTGTGTGTTTAATATACTACACTTTTTATTCTTATTTTGAAACATATGCCTTCTACTTATTAAAAAAAAAATAGTTAACTGTAGAATAGCCTTGGGCAGGCCCTTCAGAAGGTGTTCCAGAAGAAGGCATTGTTATCATAGAAGATGACAGCTCCATGCATGTTACTGCCCCTGAAGACTTTCCCGTGGGATAAGGCGTGGAGGTAGAAGAACGTGATATCAATCATCTGGACTCTGTGTGGGCCTAGGCTATTGTGTGTATTTGTGTCTTAGTTTTAACAAAAAAGTTTTAAAAGTAAAAAAATAAAAAAGGTTTTAAAAATAGAAAAAACTTACAGAATAAGGATATAAAGAAAAAATATTTTTGTATAGCTGTATAATGTGTTTGTGTCTTAAGTGTTATTATAAAAGAGTCAAAGTTAAAAATTTTTAAATCTTATAAAGTAAAAAAGCTGCAGTAAGCTAAGGTTAATTTATTATTGAATAAAGAAAATATATATATATATTGTAAATTTAGTGTAGCCTAAGTGTAGAGTGTTTATGAAATCTGCAGTAGTGGACAGTGATGTCCTAGGCCCTCACATTCACTCACTGACTCACTCAGAGCAACTTCTAGTTCTACGAGCTCCATTCTTGGCAACTGCCCTATACAGGTGTACCATTTTTTATCTTTTATGCTGCACTTTTACTATACCTTTCTATATTTAGAAATACAAATACTTACCATTGTGTTATAGCTGCCTACAGTATTCAGTACAGTAACATGCTGTACAGGTGTGTAGTCTAGGAGCAACAGACCATTAGGCTGTACCATTTAGGTGTGTGTAATACACTCCATGATGTTTGCACAATGATGAAATCACCTAACAACTCACTCATTTCCCAGAGTGTATTCCCGTTGTTAAGAGACAGATGATTGTATTTCTAAGCAGTGTGTGGTCTTGGGCAAGTAATACTGTCTCTCTGAAATCTATGGGTAAAATCATGGGTGGACCTGAAGGTCCTCCCAGAACTAAAGGTCTCTGAATCCATGATCCCTTCAGTCTTGCATTTAGCACTGGCCAGTTGAATGATGATCTGTTTCTGAGAGTGAAGTCTGATTCTAGACAAGCTGCATCTTAAACTATCAAAAGCAAAATACCTTCCACGGAAAGGCCAAGGTAGGAAGCCAGTGAGGAATAATATTAAAAAGAGGGAGAAACTCTGCAATGAGGAAAGCTGAGGGAGAAACAAGCCCTCATTTAGGATTCTGTCCTACAGATAGAATGGTGTAAGCCTCTATGGCCGGGCATGGTGGCTCAGGCCTATACTTCTAGCACTCCGGGAGGCGAAGGCGGGAGGATTGCTTGAGCTCAGGAGTTCAAGACCAGCCTAAGCAAAAGTGAGACCTCTGTCTCTACTAAAAATAGAGATAATTAGTAGCTAGCCAACTAAAAAATAGAAAAATTGGCTGTGCTGGGCATGGTGGAATGCACCTGTAGTCCCAGCTACTCGGGAGGCTAAGGCAGGAGGATCATTTGAGCCCAGGCATTTGATGTTGCAGTGAGCTAGGCTGATGCCACAGCTCTCTAGCCAAGGAGACAGAGTGAGACTCTATCTCAAAAAAAAAATGGTGTAAGCCTATAAAGCCATCTATCTGTTTAGGGATGTTCATTAGAGCACTGTTTACTAGGCAAAGATTGGAAACAAACCATTTGTTGATTATTTGGGGAGAAACACAACTCAAAATAGCCTGTCCCCATTTCCTCTGGTCACTTCACTCAATTTTAATTCTCTACATAGCAGTTATCTCTGACACTAACCTGTTCATTTATCTGTTCTTTTGTTTATCTGGATATATTCCTGATCCCCACACCACTGCCAACTAGTCTGTAATCTCCAGAAGAGAATGACACTGTCTATCTTGTTCATTACTTTATCTCTAGGATATAGAACAGGGTCATCTTAATATCTGTCAAATGAATGAATGGATATTACATTCATTCAAGAAAATGCCATGTAGCTACTAAAAAGAATGAAGAAGTCCTGTATATACTGATCTGGAAAATGTCCAACATAGCTTGTTAAGTAAGGGAAAAAAATACAGAGGTGGGGAAATTTGAATTCTTTCTTTATAAAGGTTTTAAGTAGTTTTTTATTTTTATTTTTTAGTGTTCTATTAAATTAAAAGATTTTAAAATTAACTTTACCATTTAGTTAATTAATTAAATACTAGTATAAGGGGAAAAACCACACACAATCACCGCTATTAGAAATGTCAATGAAAAGTATTGACTGTCTGTAACTGCAGTCTATTTATCCTACTTTCTGCAACCTAGGGCTGCCACCTTCTGACTCTCAGTTTGTCACGTCCCTCCTGTTCTCAAGTTCCAGCCCAAGCCTCTCCTCGTCTGTGCCTCCTCCTGGGCAGAAACCTGATCTGCATCCCTGGCCTTTGTCTAGAGGGTCGTAGGCACATAAAAGGTGTGCAGTAGAGATTTGCCCAGTGAATAAATAAGTCTAAGGATAAATCCGTCTTCAATCTCTGTAGTCCACAGAAACTTCTCCCTCTCCTCCCTACTATTCATAGCCTCTATTTCTGGCTTCCCCAAGCTGTGTCCTACACAACCATAGTTCTGTAGGATTTTCTGTAGGGGGCAAAAAAGGTATGGGGAAAAAAGTTAAATAGGTTTCTTTGTTTCTAGAATTTTCAGAGCCTTGAATGTGCTAATGAGCTTTGTGAATTTCAGGGGTTAGGGAGGGAAATGAATTATTATAGGCACTATTTCTCAAATTTATTTGAACACATATTCTCTTTCCTGAGGAATGCATATTGATTAGCTCCCAAGGCACAAGTGACCTCCTGAACAAAGTTTTAAAACGTCTGGTCACAACTGTCCTGTGGGTGGGTGTTTAATAGAGACTACCCGGCATTGTCAGCGATTCTTCACACGTACACCTCATTTTCCAACTAGATGGTGACTTTCTTGAAGGCAGAGACTGTGTCCTTCTCACCACAAGATCCCTGACACATGTGTCTGCAGTGATGATATGAGGATGAGGAAGGAAACCTGAGAACTGCATGATGGAAGGACATTTCAATCTCCCCAGCATTCATGAAGAATTCATTTTTATTGTATGTTTCATTTGGGTTTCTTAAAAGGGAGGTAGACAGTGTAAGCAAAGAGTTAATACAAGATTATTACAATCAAATACGATTGTGAAAATCAGGTCCAAGGTCAGGAGATAAAAACAAATCCATGAACCACCAGGGTTCATACAGTTGCTTTGATAGGGTGTCAGATTTGGCCCCGGGCTACCTGGCAATCAGGCCGAAAGTTTCCTAATTAAAGTTTTGTGCTCTCATCCTCAGAAAGGAGGAAGCCTAGAGGAGATAACACTTTGCTTGGAAATACATTCAAAATGAAATTTCTGACTGCAATAGTGCGGAGGCATAGTCATGGGGGGGCAATTCCACAGTGGCAGCTGCCCTGTCCCGCCCTGCTTCTCCCTCTAACTGTCTAGCCTGTGAGCTCCCTGCTCCTGTCCCGTCCAGTCCCCTTCCTGCTGCAGGCCACCACAGGGAGCAGGTAAAACTACACAGAGCAGCTTTATACGCCCCTCCCAAAAGTTGGGAAATGCCCACATTACCAGTCATGCCCCCTGTTAGAGACTGAATTCTGTCCCCGCCAAATTTATATGTTGAACCCCAGCCCCCAATGTGACTGTATTTGGAGACGCAGATCTAGGGGGGTAATTAAGGTTAAATAAGTTCACGGTGGTGTGGCTCTAATCAGATAGGGCTCAGTCTTCACAAGAAGAGGAGAGGAAAAAAAAATAGACCCGGCCGCCCCCAAAAAACAAAAAGACGAAGAGGAGATGCCAGAGATCTCTCTCTCTCTACCTGCGTGATGAGCACAGAGGAAAGGCCGTGTAAGGTCACAGCAAGAAGGCAGCTGTTTACATGCCAGCAAGAGAAGCCACACCAGAAACCACCCCTGACAGCACCTTGAGCAAGAACTTAGAGCCTTTGGAACTGCGAGAAAATGCATTTCTGTTGTATGAGCCACACAGTCTGCAGTGTTTTGTTACGGCAGCCTGGACAGACTATGGCACCGCCTGAGGACACACAAGGACAGCTCACCGCGACAATGTACACCCTGATCAGGACTTTGACGGGGTGGTTGGGCGGAATCCCTTGCTGTATTCTCAGCTGCCCGCTGTCTTCGGAGCTAAAGTCCTCGGGGCTTTTGTAGATGCAGAAGGAGCCCTGGAACCAGAAAGCACAATCCATTGACACAAGATGCCTCTATGTCCCACCAAAATCCACAGAGAGCACAGTGCTGGGGACATGAGCACAGCCTGGGAGTCTGCAGGACCCAGGCTGGAGCTACCCTTGCCAGTCGGATGTCCTCAGGCAGTTCATGCAACTTGCTTGCATCTGAGCTTCTTCATGGTATGCCAGTGAGTTGGTGTTGTACATTAACACTCCCCTTATAGGACTGTTATGTGAAGGGCAGAACAGACAGGACACCAAGTGCCTTTTACATTGGGGGGTGCTGTGCTAGCGCTTCCCCACTACCTCATTCCATCTGGCCTGCAGCATTCATATTTCCAGATGCAGCAACTGAGGCTCAGGGAGTAAAGTACATTGTTCCAGATCATGCAGCTAGTTAGTGCCATAACTAGGATTTAAATCCAGCTTGCAAACTGCAACTCCCATGCTATTTCCAACACACTATGGTGCAACCTAAGGGCCCAGCATGCAGTAGGTTTATAGCAAATGCTGGTTACTGCTTTGTGACATTGGCATGGTAGGTCTGCCAGATGAAGGGCTTGTGTCACTTGACTAGTTTAATCGTCTAGCTAGTAGGCTTGCACCAGTCACACCTTTTGTCGAGAGAGAAAAGTATAGTTCAGTGGTTCTTTTAGGTAACGACTCTGTCTCCTTATATTTTACCAGATAGAGCTCCAATCCACTAGTCACAAACCAAAAATATCTTAAAAGACTAGGGCTAGGTTTTGTGGGGTTCTAGAGAGGATCCTGAGTAAAGATTAAGGGTATTCCTTACACAATTTCATTAATAGAATTGAGTCACATCTGATTATTATTTATAGATAGGGAGGATTAACATTGGAACATTGAACTTGCCTTAAACTTCCCTATGACTCGGTCTCCATCAAGACCATGGTCATCCTCTGTAGACTTGCCTCTGAAGAGCTCAAAGGTTTTCACCCAGTCTTCAAAATTGTTGAATTCACTCTCGAGATCACCATCGTATATCTTTAGAGAAAAGGGAGAAGATTGTGCTAGGAGGAAGAAAGTCTCAGAATTGATTTTCTTTCTTTTTGGTTTTTTCTGTCTCTGGTGTTTGAATCAAGATGCCTGGCATTTATTTAATAAGAAATGCCAAGATTCTCCCAAACCAGCCTTGATATATGCCCCTTGGAAAATCCAAGTGACCACTGGTAATTGGTAATTTATCTTCAGCCAAAGAAGGAACATGGGTTGGCTCAGTATGCCTGGAACTAGCTACTACTCTAAATTTTATAAAACTTTTCTGATAAACTTTCAAATTCCAAGAAATACAGCTAAACCAAAGAGTTTTTTTTTAATATATAAGTACAAATACAACAAACCTTTCAATAGCTAATTGATATCATCGGTTGTTGGATATAGACTATAATGCTTTCAGGAGACTCAAATCAATAATGTTTATTAAGCATCTAACTCTTAACACATATAAAGTGATGGAATATTTGTTTTTATTGTAATGCATATAGACATGCATTTTCCAAGTGCAAAATTATATATGCACTTTAGAAATGCAAAATTGAGTTGAATTTTAGGTTTGGTAATGTAATTAAATTACTTATTTAAATTTCCTATCAAAATTACTTACCCAAATTGATTATCTACATACATTATTTTCATAGCCCAAGGTTTCATGCCCAGAAATATGCTTCTAGCTAATACCCTCTGACTAATGTTTAGATTAGGCTGATGGAGCTAACATCAGTTTGAGTTAAAACTCATGCTATTTTGAGTTGTGTACACATCTTGATGATGTCTACTTCCTAGAAGTGGGCCAAGAGGAACCCAAACATTGCAAATGACTTTGCCAGATCCAAACTAAACAGTGGAAGTTATGCCTTTTCTCAATATGAGGGTGTAGAGAATGGACAATGAACAAACTTCATTGTCTTGGCTTACATGCTTGTTAAAGTTTACTTCTTGGCATTAATGATTAAAATGGAGACAAAGTAAATTAGTTCAAACAAAGGCATTACGAGGGGTGATCAAAGCACTAACAGAACCCCATCCATGGCAGAGATGCTGGAATCCACACGCACCTGCAAGACGGCCAGGTTGGGGATCCCATCGTCTTTGGGTTTCTTCTTGAGCATCTTGTCTTTCTTCTTCTTCGGGCCGTCTTCTATATCTACCACTACCTCATCTGGCTTTGCCTCTGCGGATATCAGTGGACATTGGATTTCTCAACCAGTTGAGATGAGAAGGAACAAAGCCAAGCTCCCTCTTTCCCTTTGCTCTGGAGTATGTCATATGTCACAACCCTTCTTTTTAAAAAAGAAATAGTAGCTTTTCACTGCAGGATTGGCACATGCAGTCTGTGTACCACATGATGGCAGGGGATGCCATGCATATATGAATGCGATGTCAGTGGAGGCCCTGGGGCTGGGCAATGTGCTGGCTTGTCCTGTATATGTAAGGACTCATGAAACTACGCACAGACAGGGTCAGACATTTGCCCCTTCACCCAATTAGCAAAGAACAGACCCAGGATTTGGATTGACATCAAAGCTTTTAATTATACTCTGTCTCATCTGTTTAGGCACTTGAGATTCATCTAGTTCAACATGAGTTTCAAATATGTGAAGATTCTTGCACAAATTCATGTCAGTGGGATTATCCAGTCATTTGTGAGCAGCAGGCCTTGGTGGCGGGGGTGGGTGGGGGAAGAGTTGCAAGGGATGGACTTCTAGCTCTGCTATTTTCTAGCCGTGCAACCTTGGACAAGTTACTTGACCTCTTTGTACCTCTGTTGCATCATCCGCAGGATGAACATACTATTCCTTATGACACGAGGTTGGTCTTACAATTACATGTGCCCAGTAGGACTGGTCTGAGGAACTGGTCCATGCTCTGGTGTTCCTATTTCTATCAGTGTCAGAGGAAACAGCACCGGCTGCTTGGTGTTACAGTTGTACTTAGGCCGAGACCTACTGATGGCTTGAATCAAAGTGTGGTCATTTCAAATTCCAGGCCTTTTTCATTTGAGCTTTTGCCAAATCAGATCTATTCAACCCTTGTCGACTGAGTTTTGGAACCTAAGTCCAGGTCTTTGCACTGACCTCTGTTAAAGGTTATCATGTTGGATCTCGGCCTGTGCTCCCAGTGTGCTGCTATTTTTACTCTGCTGTTTCTGCATCACGACTGTCAGCGTATGGACTTGGGCCAAGGGTCAATTCTAGCACTGGATTCAGGAGTGCTGGGAGCTGGTTCCAGTCCAGCTCAAATAGCTGCATGACCTTTTTACAGTGTTGTCATCTTCCCAAGATTGTTTCCTTACTCAGGAAAGGAGGGAGTTGATCTCTAATGCACTTCCCATGGCTTCCATTGTATAATTTTCTCACAACAGTGGCCCTATTCTATATCCAAATGTCCCCAGGACTGCTACGTACCTGTGTTACCTTTTTTCTCCTTGGGATTGCTCTCCTTTGCCTTTTAAAAAGAGGGAGACAAGATTATTGACACTGCCATGTCTGGTTTATTAACCTTGACTGCTAACAATTCTAATTCACTTGTCCCAGCCCTCTGTATTCTTGAGATGTCATTTTAAAAGAGGACTCAAACCATCCCCAAGCAGTCCCCAAGATGAAGCCTCACTGTAAAGACCTGGGGCCTGAGTGCAGTGGATTTCCCTGCCCTAAAGAAGAGGTGTCCACACATCTAAGAGAAGTGCCACCAAGCTGTAGACATCCTTGTCCTCAGCCAAGGAGAAAGCCAATTCTCTCCCCACTATTTTTCTCTCTCTCTGGAGCATCACCCCAGTCTGCACCATGAGTTTTACCTGCTGGCATGTTGGGTCCCTGGGGCGGTACCAGGGACTGGGGAGGGTGGCAGAGAAGGCGGAAGGCTGAGCACCCACAGGAAGTGCTAGTGTCCAACGCAGCAAAGGGGAGAGTTGAAGGCAGGGACTAACATTTGCTTTGATTATTTACTATCCATCAATATTTGTGAACTAGTCCTAAAAGAAACTCTCATCTTTCCAAACTAAAGAATCAGAGGAGTTTCTACTCAATTAAATATAATGATCATATCTAATTTTTCTTTCCTTTCTAACATGGAGATGAGAAATCCTACCAAATTCAGACACCACTGAGCTTTTGCCTGTCTCTCCAGCCCCACTTCCTGCTGTTTCTCCAGCTGTTTAACTTGATCCTTGTCTTGTTGCACACACATGAGGCCCAGCTCTTGCTCTGGCAACCCACTGACCTCTACCTTTACTTTGATAATTTCCCATGGGAAGTTAGAATTCTGCTGGAGGCCTGGGGCCCTTTGACCTGGGTATCTCCACACACACCTGAAGCCCCCCTCACTCATGCCCACCTGTCTAAGAGATCCTGTTCCTCCCTGAGTCTGACTGGGGGGCAGATCCTCCAGATGCCGTATGGGACACACATCCTGGAGCTGTGTCCTAGTGCTAGCTCCAGCCAGAGGATAAGAATTTAGTAATTCAGGATCCCTGGTCTTTCCAGGCTTTATTTCCTTCTGTAGTTAACAGAATCACACCTGAGTAGGGCCTACATATAGTAGAATTTAAAGAGGGGTCACATAAAATTGGGGATGTGAGAAGGTGCTGTGTTTTCTTATCGAGTCCCTTGACTGTCACAGCCAGGAGAGACTCTACCTTCTGTGCTTTCTTCAGGGAGGCATAATACTTAGACCACCAGTCAATGACATTTTCAGCAGATTCATCCGCAATGGTCCTCTTTCTTCTTTTAGTGGACCTCCGAGAAGGCTTCCTGGCGTCCTGCTAAGGAATGAGGGATGGCTTATTAGTTAGGCCTCGTTTGGCTGTGTGCTGGTGGCTGACTGGTTCCCTGAGGGAGGGAATGTGTAGGTACCCACTGGGATACAGACAGAAGGATCTGCTGGTTGTGTGATAGCAGCTCTCTGTATTACTTTAATAAACACAGGTTTAATAATCTGTTCATCCTTCCATTCACTTATTCAGCAAATAGTTATTGAGCGGATGTGAGGTATTGAGCTTGACATTGAGGATGTGTGGGAAATTGGACATGATCCCGCATTGGGTAGCTTAGAGTATAGCAGAGGAGATGGGCATGCAACAAATGAATGCTAAACTATACAATATAACATGGTACGGCAGAAAGGGCATTAGCTCCAGAGAGACCCAGGTTATAAATTAAGCAATTAATATAAATTTTATAATTCTCAATTTCCTCAACTAGGGCCAATAATACCTGCCTACCTTACTGTTGTGAGGAGTAAGTAACATAATATAGGCAATTCCCCTTTAGCTTCATTCCTGATTTGAATGGGTGCAAATAAGTGACACCTACAACATAAGTGATGGGTGGCAGAGAGGAGGCATTTGTGGGAGAGGATGCTTGTGCTGTTGGAGGATATCGATGCAAGACTCATGGTGCATCCATCATCTGTTCATCCTCCCAGACATCTCCTGGGTCCCTACTATGGGCCAGGCATTCTATCTAGTGCAGGGGATGTAGGGATGTTGAAAAATCATCTCTGCCCTGCTGGTGCTCACAGTTTTATGGTGCCAACAAATACTGAAACTGAGAATTCCAACATAAAGTGGGAGGTGCAATGCTGGGAGAGAATATGATGGGGGGAGGGGAAATCACAGAGCATGGATGAGATGGGGACAGCTCAACCAAATATCTATTAATCTATCTTACTCTTTTTTTATTATTATTTCAGCCTTTACTATTTGCTCGGCAGGCAGTTCCTTAGGACTTTCCTAAAACAGTTCTCTTTAACTCAATTGATACAACAGGATTTTGCACTCAAATTTATGACTTAGAAAGATAAATTATAACTTTGTTTTGTGGTTCTTTGTGTACTTGTCCATCTCCCCTTCCAGGATCTCAGCTAACTGAAGATGGGTCTTACTCCTCATTAGAACCCAAAAGATGCATCTTTTTGGTCCCATATGACCTTGTACAAAGCAGGCTCTAAATACCTGTGGAATAGGCCTAGATAAAGAAACCACTGTCTTTCCAGGTTAATGAATTAAGGAAAGTCTGTTCAGTTAAATATTACTGTCATAGTGACAAGCAAGCACTTTAACTTCATACACATTGATTTTCTGACTCTACAATGCTGTGAAGTGAGTATTAATATCCTCATTTTACAAAGGATGAACTGATCCTCAGAAATGTGAAGTTGTATGCCCATTGTCACATAGCTGGTAGGTGGGAGGATTTGTGTCTAGATCTTCCAGTGCAGACTCCAACAAGCCTTGTAAATATGAAGAGGAATTACAATCTGACCTTGACTTTTCCATCGTTTGGTGGCTCCGGGGCTGCAGGCTTGTGTTCAGGCTCCAGCATAGGAGATGAGTCGGGAATGTCAATGATGCTGGCCGGCTGAGCTTGGGCAGAGTCAGGTACCACTGTGGGTGGCGGCTCAACATCCACATATATGTGGTTTTCTGGGGGGTCCTGGGAGGAGCTGAGAGGCTCAGAGGGCTCAGTGGCTATTGCCGAATCTAAAATGGATGGAATGAAAGCACAGTGGGTCAGGGGACTGGGCTACAATAGAGGTGGTCATTTCAGGGTCCTAATGCCAGGAATTGGACCGATCTGGGTTCAAACATGGCAAGTTCCTAACATTTCTGAACCTCATGCTCCTTATTTATAAAATGACAGTAAAAATACCCATCTCATAGCAAAAAAGCCCATATAAAAAATTTATAAAATGACAGTAAAAATGAGATCATGATGTAAGGCATCTGATGCTTAATAAGTCACAAATTACTGTTTACATTTGTTATTGATCCCTCAGAGTAATTTTATTCAAGAGTGGTCATTTGGGTCATGGACATGAAGGTTAAGGGCCCAAGTCCTCTGTGTTGATTGTCGCCCCCAGTGTGTTAATCTTGGGGGGCTCTGGAGGCTCCTGAGAGCTGTTTGTCCCCTCGGCATAGGCAGAACTCTGGACATGTGAGTACATGTGCTTGGCAGGGAGCAGGGGTATGTGCCCATGCTTAGGAGATTCTCCACCGGGCTGTTGATGCCACAGAAAGGTTATAACACTGCTCTTCACTGCCAACGTCTGACCTTTCAACAGGGAATTCAAACCAAAAAACTCTTATAGGTATCTATTCTGTGCTGGGCACAGAGACAAGGCAACCGGTGGGGCAGACTAGAATACTCAGAATTAGACAGGGAATGTGTGGCAGCTTTATTTATGAGAAAGACAGCAGTACAAACCAACAGGGAAGGGAATGGCCTGTTAGCATTTTGGGGGAAAATGGTACACTTATATGGAGAAAAGACAGCAGTACAAACCAACAGGGAAAGGAATGGCCTGTTGGCATTTTGGGGGAAAATGGTGCACTTATATGGAGAAAAGACAGCAGTACAAACCAACATGGAAAGGAATGGCCTGTTAGCATTTTGGGGAAAATGGTGCACTTATATGGAGAAAAGACAGCAGTACAAACCAACAGGGAAAGGAATGGCCTGTTAGCATTTTAGGGAAAAATGGTGCACTTATATGGAGAAAAACGCAGTTGGATCCTGCTTAACATCATATATAAAGGCAGATGGATGAAAGATCTGAATGCAAAAGCTAAAGCCGTAAAGCAAATGGAAGAAAATATAAGATAATATCTCTGTGACCAAAGGGGTGAGAAAGGGCTTCTCGAATAATACTCTAAAACTACAAACCACAAAGTTTAAAACATGGATGGGTCTGATTACATCACCATTAAGGATTTTTGCTCAAAGATGGGAACTGTAGGCAAGGTGAGTGGTTATCACACTAGGAAAAGATTGAAGCAATCAATACCTACAAGCTATAGGATATTAACATCTAGAAAACACAAAGAACTCACGAACCAAAAAGAAAATTAAACGAAACACATAAAACATGGGCAAAAGCCATGAGCTGGCAAGTCACAGAAGGAGGATTAAGATGGCAGCAACGATATGAAGAGATGTGCAAACTCAGTAGCAATTAGAAATCCAAGTTAAATAAAAATGAGAAACTATTTTACATCTACAGAGTAGCAAGAACTAAACCAAACCAAAACAAAGGCCCAGAGAGTTGGATAATAGAGAACATTGTTAAGGAGGAGGAAAATGGGGCTCCAAATGCAGTAATGGTAGGAGTGTAGACTGGTGTAGACTGGTGTAAAGTGGTGTAGACCAATACAGCCCTCTGGAGCGCCCTCTGGCTCTACATAAAGGAATGACATGTTCACATTCCTGTGACCCAGCAATCTCACTCCTGGGTATACATTCCAGAGAAATTCCCACATAGCATCTTCCTTCTTCCCTTAAGGAACACACACAGAATATTCATCACAGTGTTGTTTGTGGATGTGGGAGGTGGAGGCAGCCTCGGAGTACAGCATAAGGGGAAAGGAAAAGTAGAGTGTGGTAGATGCAGCAGGTAATGAATGTACACACAGCAACGTGGATAGATCTTAAAACCCAGCATCGAATGAAAAGAATAGGAAACCAAATGAAGATTACAGCATAACATCATTTATGTGGATTAATGGATTTAAACTTTACAAGGATGGTGGCATGGGGCCTACAGCGGGGAGGGCACTGGGACTAGAGATAGGGAAGTCGGTGTGGGAAGACAGTGCATGTGACAAGAGAGAAGCCGTGACTAGATCAATGACAATTGTCCGGCATGGAACTGAGAAGTGCAATGAACTGAATTCCGTGTACTCAAGGTCCAAAATGGAACAAACTAAAAATAATATCAAGCAGAAAGTCAAGTAAACCGTCAGAGTAGAGGCAGGAAGGAGATTAAGTCACAGTCAAGGAAGGCTTCTTAGAGGAGTTGACCTAATGTGAGTCTTAAAGTGAGAGTGTGGCAGCCAAAGAAAGCAGAGGTGACAGCAGGAGCACATTCAGCAGAGGGAGCCACCCAGACCCTGGGCTATGGGGCATCTTCTTTGAGCTGGGGCCTGTAGCAGCCCCCTGCAGCCACCATGACTTTATAGTTGCAGCTCCAAAATCTAGGAGCAGCTTCCTACCTTGCCCCAGCTGGGTTCCATCCACCTGTGAGATGAGGGCAGGGGGCTCTCTGGATTTACACAGAAACTGCTTCAAGCAGTTGATGGTGTAGGTGCCCACAAGGGTGCTCCTCCCAAAAGCTCTCCAGTCCACCACGCAGATGCTCAGGGGCGGGTGCAGAAGCTCGTTCTCCGGCAGCTCCTGCAGGGAGAGTCTGGGCTGAGTGGGAGGCACCCGCCGACCTGTCTGTGGGCAGACCCAAAGCAAGCCGGGCATCCACCTGCCCCCTCATTCCTGCCCAAACCCCGGGGCTTGCCAAACCTCTGGAACACCGTCTTCCCAAGCCAGGGAGTAATTATCCAAAATATCAGGGGTGTCTCACTAGCAATTTATCCTCAAGTTTAAATTGCAAAAATCCTTCACTTCTGTACTCTGTCTGGCAGTGATTTTCAATCCTCTTATTTTGTCATTATCTGCCAGCAGAAGTCTCATCTCAAATGACAGTTTACCCAGGCCCAGCATATCAAACAGATGAAAGTCAAGCCACTCAATATGGAACTGAGGGTGAGGGGACAGTGCCCTGGCCACTTGTCTCCCCTGGTGACCCCCGAAGGTCACTGAAGCCTGATATGCAATGTTTGCAAATACTGTGCACATTCTTTCACTGTGGTCTTTGCTAATTTAGAACATGCACCCAGTGGAGCTGGCTGGCTTGCACAAAGCAAATCTTTTCTGCACAGTTCCAAATCAGAGCACAAAAAACTATATTGAAATATTGAAGAAAACAAAAGAACAGATGTCAAACATCACTTTAGAAGCGCAAGTTCATATGTACACTATTGATGTTCTAAGTACAAATAACCATTTAAAATCCAACCATTAAAACAGGTCTCATTAGGGTATCATGTAGGCTAGTGGTTCTCAAACTGTGTATCACAATCACCTGGAGGGTTGCTAAACCAGAACCAACTGGGCCCCGCCCGCAACAGTTTCTGGCTCAATAGAACAATGGTAGGGCCCAAGAGTTTGCATTTCTAACAAGTTTCTAGGCGATGCTGCTGTTGATGAATTGGGGGCCACCTTTGGGAACCACTGTTCTAGGCAAAAGTTTGTCAACCTGCTTCGATTTACTGTATGATGCACACCTGGAAACTTCTAACAGAACAACAAATGTCTATTTTATCTCATTCTGAAATTCTGGCTTTTCACTAGATTAGACTGTTCTTTCTTGCAGGTAGTGGACATCTGAAACTCCAAAACACCTCCTCATCCCACGACCATGAAAGGACAGGTCCCTCTGCGGAAATGAGGGGAGCAAGCAGGTCGAGAGTGCAGGGGGCTCGCACCACTTCAAAGGAGTCTGCCTGGATGTTGAAGTTGGGGTTGTTCTTGTAGCTCTGGATCACGCAGGACTTCACTCCTCGTCCCCCGCACTCAATGAGAGCCTGCGGCCGATCCACCGAGAGGAGCTGCACCTTCTTCATTTCCCGAACTCCCCAGAAGAGCACCTGAGGGGAGGACCAGCAGAGCTGTCACCCATGGACCCAAGGAGGAGCCCACACACGCCCTGGCTCTGGTGAGGGCAAGTCGGACATGCTCCCAGAGAACCCCAGGATGTTCTTCCAATATCCTCTTACCAGGCAGTTCCTTGAGGGCTCCGTCTGGCCAAGTGCAAGCTCGACTGGGTTTGTCTCTGGGTCTCCCACCCATCCCACAGTACCCCTCCTACAATTCAGGTGGGGCTGCTTCCCTTCAGTCTGAAAGAACCACCCAGATCCTCCCTGAACCATACCTCCACTCGGTATTTACTCAGCACTGGCCGGATGTTGGCAGGAACAGGGTAGATCTGGGCGACGTCTGGTGGATCCACGGCAGGGAGCCCTTGCAGCCCAGATGAAGGGACCTACCGCACAAGACAAGTCCTGTCAGAAGGCTGGAGAGACCCAAGGAAGACAAAAGTGCCACACCATCACCCCATCAGTTAGATGTTCACTGTTTTGCCAACAAAAGTAATGTTTCCAGCTTAAAATGCAACAAGAACCATGCATTTTACCACATTTCATTATTTAGTAATTGATAAATGCATTAATTGACAAGGGTAGCCAACACTTAGTGAGCGCTTAGGATGTGCCACGAGGTTGATAAGTTATCTTTCAGTAAGGTCACCATAGAGAGGGAAGGGGAAAAAGGTAAGTCCAGCAGATAGATCTTCACAGCTTGATCGAGTTGCATGGACTGGAGGAGGAGCTTTGATTGGATTTTGACCCTTTGAGTCTTAACTATCCCCTCACTGCCAACTTGTCAAGATCTCCAAAAAAGCCATAATGCAACTACTAGAAAAAGAGATTCGTGTTTAATCAGAGACTACATCTTAATCGGTGAAACAGAAAATCAAGTCTTTTGAAGACATAACTCCAGAAGGAAAATGTGTCACTTTTTATGCATTTGGGGTTAATTAAACTTCAGGAGGACAATTATTATGTGTTGATGAAATCTCACACAAAGGACTTGGAGAGCTCTACAAGAAAAGGGTCTTTCATTGTGTAGAGCATCTTGCACTGCCCTCAAGACCTGGCTCAACACATCCATTTTTCAAGAAGCCTTCTTTGATTTGATTCCAGCTAATGTGGCCATTCTCCTACCCTGAACATCCTTTAAATGCCCTCTATACAGGCTTGGTGCAGAAATTAGGGGACTGAGTCCAGAAACCAGGCTCTACTGTGTGACCCTGCACAAGTCACTTACCCTCTCTGAGACTCAGATACTGGGTCAGACAACCCTTCAAGCCCTTTGGGAATCAGATGTTCTACTACACATTGCTTTGTAGTGGGTGACTGTCCTCCTTGGGGCTGTTTGTCTGCCTGAACAATTTACAGGGACCTGGCCACGAGGAATTCTTTGTTTACTTCATTTCATCCCCCAATCCCTCAAGCGGTGCTCCATACATAGTGAGTTCTTGACAAATGTTTATTAACTGACATATTAGCCACATATGCTAGAAAAAGCCTAATTGCTCCTCAAAATCTACAAAGCGCAAACATAACACCATTTCTTTTTTATAGACATATTCTAGTTGGCAACGGCAGATGTGGTTAAGCTAATTACAGGAAAGCTCAGAGGAAGAAGACAGCAGACACTGCAAGTGCAAAGCAGGCTGGAGATAAGGAAGCTGCAGGACGCACCAGCCCAGATAAACGGGGAAATGGTGAGGGTGAATGCCCAGTTCTGCCTGGCAGTAAGGAGGTGAGCAGTTTCGCCTGCAAGCATCACCTCATTGGAAAGGTAATTGCTCCTCTGGCTTCAAAGATAAAGCCACACAACAGTGGTGCTGGTGGTGTGGGAGAGGCCCCTCTGGATGTGCTTTTTAAAAAGCATCATATGTTTCCTTCTCCTGGGGCTGCTCAAGTGTTGGCCTGGGAAATGCCCTGTAGAAGCTTTGCTCTTAAAGTACCTGAAAGATGCTCGTAAGAGTTCAACACAGCCCGAGAAGGAGCCTATAACGTGGTGGAGATTGCACAACTTTGCTGCCAGCCACGATTAAGCTTTGTCACAGTGACACGGGTTGACTGCGGGCCTATAAAGCCGCACGTATACGGTTACTCAGCACGTGGGACCAGGGGGTAAATAAGGGATTGTTATGAAGGCGAAATAGTAAGAATTGGGGGCAAGCAGGATGGGTTGCTCTAAAATCCCAGTGAAGATAAAATGTCAGGACCTCAAAGTAGGTCCCGCTTTAGGGTCAGGACAAGGGTGAACAAAGGAGGCACAGAGGGTGCAAAATTGAAGGAGGACTCACACTAAGGTCACGCATTTTTAGTCCTGTCCATTGAACATCACTGACACATTTCTCTGTCTCCCTCAGCTCATCGCCTGTACTCCTATTACGTCTCACCTTCAGTGCCGTGGTTAGGGACCAGTCTTGGGCTCTACAGTTACCAGCTGTGTGAACTTAGAAAAGTTCCTGTGTCTCTGAGACTCAGTTCTGTCATTTGTAAACTGAAGATAATGATATCTAATTCATAGAATTGCTGTCAAGAATTGCTGTGAAAAATTGCTGAGACAGCATGGAATGTACTTGGCCCATTTTCTGCACAAAGGAAATTTCCTAGGAGTAAAGATAAGCTGGAAATTTACTGATCCTTGCAAAGTTTAAAGCTCAGCTTCAAATAATCTTAATCTTTAATTGGATCTAGATGATCTAGGATGGCCAGTGGTCCCAAACTACCTCAGAAGTAATTTGAAACCTTTGGCAAGAAAAGAGCATCAGCCTCGGCTCAACAATTCTATATATTGTTATACACAATGTCTAGCATGCAATAAAATATGACAGGCATGGACATAAGATAATGTGATTAAAAATTAAGAGAAACAATAACTGAAGAAACAGACCCACAGAGGATTCAAATAATGCAGCAATCAGACATAAATTTTCTTGTCTCTGTTCAATAAAAGACATGATTAAGAATTTTAGCTGAGAAATGAAACTAAAAATAAAAAAGAATAAAAGGAAATTCTATCACTGAAAATATAGTTACTAAAAAGAAGAACTTAGAGAATGGGTTAAAAGAAAAAGATGAGGTTCAGATGCAGGCAGAGGAAATGGCTGGAAGATAAACGGTTATTATGGATAAAAATAAAGCTCAGAGAGGCAGAAGGACAGAAAATGCATAAAAGAACATGAGAGGCATAGAATTTATAATTAAAAGGTCTAACTTGGTGTCACAGAGAAGAAGAGAAAAGAAGTAAGGTGTGGAGAGGAGGAGAGAAGAGAAGAATGGAACAGAAGTAATATTTGAATAGATAATGGCTGAAAAATTTCCAAAACTAGTTAAGAATATATCAAGCTACAGTTTCAAAATCTCTAAAAACCCAACAGGATAAAAACAAAGAAAATTTCTCTTTAATACAACATAGTAAAAGTGATTTTTTAAAAAACCCAAAGATTAAGAAAAAGATATATTAATGAGATGTGCACTGTCTGGGGGATGGTCACACTTGAAGCTCAGACTTGTGGGGAGAGGGGGGCAAAGGCATTATTTAAAACCTTAAAATTTGTACCCCCAGAATATGCTGAATAAAAAAAAAAAAACAACCAGAAGAGGAAAAAAAAATAATAAAGACCATTTTCTAAGGAGCAAGAATAAGAACCAACTCCTCAACAGAGAAAGGGCAGCCCAAACAATAAAATGATTTTCTTCAAGTTGCTGAAAGAAAACCATTGCCAACCCAGGCAAGCAAGAAGATCCAAGAGGAAATTTAATAGTCCTAAAGTCAAATGGTGAGATTGTATCAAAGCCAGAAACAGATCTGCATGTCTTCACCAAGATAACATCGCAACAGGGAGCACAAGCCAGGGAAGGAATTTAGACATCAAGCCCAGTGAACATGCTGCCTTGCTGGCCACCAGACAAGGTAAGCGTGGTCTCCATGATAAAGTTGGTGACTTGAGGAGACTGTCTTCAGGATTTGAGCAGGGTCTATGCTGGAAGTTCTTAAAAAATGGAAAGATCACCTGCTTTCCTTCCCTGACCCCTCTCAATAGCCTCTTTCAGGGTGAATGGCTTCTGTAACGTCATGGCTAGTAGATCACCTGTCTCTGTCTTATAAGGACTTTGCGATTATATTGGGCCCGCCTGATAATCCAGGATAAACACTTCATTTCAAAATCCATAATTTAATCATATCTGCCAAGTCCATTTTGTTGTGCAAGCTAACATATTCATAGATTCTGCTTCTCCTCTTGCCCCTTCAGAACACATTCAATCTGCATCCACAAATCCGTTCTTGGCTTCCCATGTCTCCCAGAGTAAAAGCCAAAGTCTGGACAAGGCTGCATGTGGTCTTCTCCCCCAACCTCATCGTCTGCCCTCTCCCCATCGTCACTCCACTCCAGCCACGCTGGCCTTCTCAGGTGTGCCGGGCGGACGTAGGCTTCAGGGTCTGACATTTGCTGTTCCTTCTGCAGGGAAGGTTCTTTGCCCAGGTATCTGCAAGCCCCTTTCCTTCCGCAGGTCTTGACTTAAATCTCACGCTCTTAGTGAGGTTTCCCTGGGAGCTCCTGTACCCAACACACCTGTGCCCACTTCACATCACACACCGCTCCAGCTTTTCTCATTGGTTCTCACTACACTGCAACATACATTAGAATTTGCATATTGTTGCTATGATTTACATAGTGACGTCTATTGTCTCTCTTCCACTGTAGTGTAAATCCTATGAGGGCAGGGAGAGCTGTTTGTTTTGTTCACATAGGAAGATTCCTTAGGAAGGTACCTGGCACAGAGTAGACAATCAATGCGTGTTTGAATGTATGCATGAATGAGTGAAGCAGTCCCTTGCCTTCAAAAAAATGACAAACTAATGGAAGAGATGGCCTGAAAACAATTGAATGCACCATAACCTGAATTAAATAGGAAAAAAGTGTAGGATAGAAGAGGAGAGAACACTGATTTCGATTGAGGTAGGGCAGGGAAAGCTTCCTAAAAGAGACACATCTTGTTCTGGACTTTGATGATGACTTTCACAGGTGAATGGGGTGGTGGTGGCTGGGGCAGGTGGGTGGGGAGGCATTTAAGAATGAGTAAAAGCAGAAAAGTAAATTTGTGGTATGAGATCAGGGAACTCAGAGTAGTCTGGTATAAAGAGGCTATAGTGTGTATAAAGTAATACACTAAAATATGAGGCTGAAACAGTAGTTTGAGAACAAATTTTGGGATAGCTTAAAAGCCAGGCTGCAGAAATTTGACATTATCCTATGAGCCAGATTTTCTCCTCATAAAATATTAACAGTTATCATGAAAAAAAAAGTTTTGTGGTCAAACGTATTTGGGGAATACTGAGTTTTTAAAAAGAAGTTTAAAAAATACTTTATTACAGGACTTCTCAGAGCCTTTACCATGGTAATGGACATTTCAAGTCCCCAAGAGAGATATAATATGAACCATTTCTCAAACTTTCTTTTCACATCATTTGCAGGAACTGATGTTCCAGAAAAACAGACTTTGGGGAATGTTCCCGGATGTAAGAAGTGGATTTCTGTGAAGTGGCATGACCAACTTGTATCCTGGAAGGAATGTGGAGGATGGAGTGAATGAGAACAGGAAATGAGGCCAGTAAGCCAACAAAGAGGCCAATGCGACATTCGGATGAGAACTCAAAGAACCCATGGGAACAGAGAGGATGGAAACAGTTCAAGAAGCAATCTGTGGGGCAAGCCGGCTGTGGATTCAGACGCAGTGCACAGAATCAAGGCTGACTCTGAGTTTTCAAGCCAGGGCATCTGGGAGGACAGCAGGGCAGTGAGTTAGGACTGGGGAGACCTAGGCAGCTAGCTTGGGTAGAGGAAAACAGTGGAAGAATGCATTCCGTCTGGTACACACAGAAGGACCAAAGTACTCAATCCTTCTGAGACAGGGAAGCGTTTGGTAATGGAGATGGAGGAGCTGGAGCCGCCAGCCACAGATGAAAACAGAACAGCTGGTGACAAAAGAAGGCATTTTCCAGCCCCCGTCTTCCCAGCATGTACGCGATCCACAGGCTAAGTCGGTCACGCTGGTGATCTAATTACTTTTTGAACAAGTGATCAAATGAGAAGAAATCCTAATGAAACCCTAATGAATTGTATCTCTTAGGCTGCTTACCCCTGACAACGCTTCCTCTATTAACTCTATTAGCTCAGCTGTCAGGGAGCAGCGGGATCTCTCACCAGCGCTCAGCTCAGCGCTGCGGGAGGGACGATTCTGGGGCTGCAGAACTCAGACAGCCAAGCCCTTGGCCGGCCTTAACGATCAACCACTCCTGCCCCTCCTTGACAGATGAGGGGTCTCGGGCCCAGACGAGACCTTATTAGGGCATTCCGGGCAGTGAAAAGAGAGTTGACTGAATTCGATTCAGTTAACCTTGCACTTCAGCTTTCTCACATGCAAAATGGGACTGGGGGACTAGATCTGATTTTCCCAGTCAGCCATTCCTGTCCTTTTATCCAGTGAACATTTTTTGTTAGATATAGTTTTGTTTTTAAAAAGGAAACTTCGTATCGCTAGATAAAATAAGGACCATTTGTCATAAGTGAAAATTAGCTTTAGGAAGAAAATTAATGAAATAAAACAATGTTACTGGAATATGCCATGTGAAGCATTTCTTAACTTTGTCTTTACTATATTTGGAGGGACTTCTTGGTGTTCCAAGAAGCAGGCTTTGGAAAATGTTTTGTGGGTCTCATTGATCTTTTTGAGGAGACACAGCCTAAAACCTGTGCTCTCTCTTAAAAAGGGAGGTTGCAATTTGAGAGAGGTATTATAAACAGATGAACATCAAAAGTGACTTTCTTCTAGAAAGTCATAGTTATAAGGATCAAGATGGCCAAAACTCCCTTCATATTGATTCACCCTTATTTAATGCTGGTTTCAACCTTAAAACACTCATTGGCAGCCTAAAATCTCCAGGACTTTCACTTGAGAGAAGACTGGACCAGCGGTTTTGGAGGTTAATTTCAGTTCTGATACTCTATTAATATATTTCTGTGCAACACACATTTACTTGGCTAGAGCTGGTTCTATTAGAATCTCATTTGATTTTAAAATTTGTAAGACATAGATTGTTCTAGTCCTACCTTCCTACCCTCCTAGGCTGCAACCATTATGGAACTGGACCCAGTGCTTGAATTCCTGCTCTTATATCCCTCCAAAACCTCAAAAGCTCACCCAGCCTCAGTTCCCTTGACAGAGAGCTCACTCTTTCTCCAAGGCAGCCTTTCTATTCTTAAAAAGATCTCCCTTAAGTAGAGCAAGACCCAGACCACAATCAAAGTCTTTGATAAGATGGGCTTAAGAACTCATTGCTGTAGCTATAGGCAACCCCCAGGTAGGGTTTGGATTGGAATACAAATGTGTCTCACCCCAAAGTGTGCTCCCCGGCCTCCCTAGCTCTGCTGGGAGCCTGTCTGTCTGGGTTCTAGGCTCTGACCTGCCATACTGAGCAAGTCGTTACTTTTCTATCCAGTTTAATCTAATCTTTTTACCTAAATAGATGGTCAGATTGGACATCTTGCTTTACTATTCTCTGGTACCATCATCGTCATTGTTATAACAATAAATAGCTATCTATTGAGAGTTTATTCCATGCCAGGCATGTTAGCTAGATTGACTATCTTCCCTATTTTGCAGGTGAAACATTGAGTAGGTAGCTTACCCAAGATCGTACACCAACAGGTGGTAAAATTGAGATCCCCGCCACAGGATAAAGCTCTAGCACCTTCCCTCTTACTCACTCTGCGTGTTAAGAATGCGTGCCTTCTAGTTTCTCCACTAAGCAAGTTTTGGCTTAATTTGTTGTTTTCTGATTTGTTTTTTAAAATCAAGATTTCTGAAAACCAGGCTTGCTTATAGATTGTGTTATGGACTGAATGTTTTGTGTCCCCCCCAAAAAATTCATGTGTTGAAATCCTAACCCCACTGCGATGGTATTTGAAGGTGGGGCCTGTCTCACAGGAGGGTGATTGGGTCATGAGGTCTGAATCCTCATGCGTGGTATCAGTGCCCTCATAAGAAGAGGCACAAGAGAGAGAACTTCTTTCTCTCAGCCACATGAGGATACCCGACACACTGGATCTGCCAGCACCTTGCTCTTGGACTTCCCAGCCTCCAGAACTATAAGAAATAATGGTTTGTTGTTTAAGTCACCCAGTCTATGAAATTCTATCATAGCAGCCACAACAGATTAAGACAGAGGGATTGGTGTGACCAGAAGGTAAAGTGCCACCTGCCCTGCTTATGCCTCAGGGAAGGTCAGGGACAGAAGTCTTTCTGGTACATGCCCAGCTGCTCACTTATCTTCCAAGTCCTTCCTATGTCCTCTTTGGTCCTCTATGGACAGCCGGACTTCAGGGTCTCAGCTTCCCTTCCCACTGTCCTGCTTCTGCTTTCTGAAAAAGTCTTTCCAGACACAAGTTCACAAATTCCCCCAAGGTCTTAGTGGGAAGGACTAAGAGCTCTTTGTCTTTGGGGCACTGTGATACAGTGTAAGGAGCAAAAGACTTTAAAGGTCTAAATTCAACTCTCAGCTCAACCACTAATCAGGTGTGAGATGAGGTGTGTCAGCCAACCACATTAATCCTCAGTTTGCTGTTTGTAGAATGGGAATCGTAATACCTCCCTCAGCAGGATTGAGGGAGGTCTCGAGCCATGAAAGATATGCAAGGCAGCGAACACAGCACTGGGCATGCAGTGAGAGCCCAGAAAATGTTTGCTTCCCTCCTCTTCCATTTCAAAACTTTCCTGGTCTGCGTGGAGCTCAAGGACTTGCACCTAGGGCTGCTCTAGCACTATTGGCCAAACCCACAAGAATCTTTCATCCTGGGATTCTCACTTAAAAACTCAAAGATCTGGGACTAGCCCAAGTCACCTGAGTTCTTACATGGCACCTCTCCAATCCCCAGAAGGAGACACATCCAGACGTGAGATAGCAGAGGGATGGACCAGGGACAGCTCACTGAAGTGGCACTTCTAGTGGGGCCAGGCAGACCAGACAGACATCTAGTACAGGTGCCACCTCTGGGCCGCTTACCTGCAGCAGTTCAAATGTGGCGAGGAGGTCCCCTCCAGAGAGGTTCCCACAAAAGACAGGGTGATAGCACAGGCTGGGTGGCTCATAGTCCTGGTCAGCTAACTTCACCATGGGAGCAGCCACCGTGGCACCCAAGTATTCTGGCTTCCCCTAAGGCAGAAAGGAAATAAATGTTTTCCCCTGATTGTTACCTACCTGGTTCTGACTTGCATCAGAGCAATTTTGCAAACAATCTTCACAAAACCATCAGCATCTGCATCTCCCTCTTGCCCCACTGTCTCATGCTCTTCTTCCTCCCAGCTCCTTGTACCCATTTCCACAGGCTTGGGGAGCAGTGTAGTCCCCTTGGGCTCCCAGTGACAACTCCAAGGTCATCTTTAGAAGTATATCTCTCCCCACATAGTGAGCCCAGTGGGATAAGGTTAAAATAATTGTCTAGGGTAGACTGGAAAAGGAAAAGGAAAAATAAGGTGGCAGCCAACATTCCAAAGGATCTCCAGGGCAGGGGACCCTTGTGGTTGGGAGCGTGAGCTTTGGAGCCAGGCAAACCTGAGTGTGAAATCTCAAATCTGTCACTTTCTAGCTCTATGCCCTTGGGCCAGTTACTCAAATTTTTTGAGCCTAATACCTAGAAAAAAAAAAGTAAAAAATAGTACTTGTTTATAGGCTTATGAGGAGTGATGTAATGTCTTATATTCCTTGACTAGCATGCAGCTAGTGCATAATACATAGTAAGATGATAATGATGATGATGGCGGTGATGAGGAAGATCATTATGTTTAAGTGATGGGGCAGTTCTGCCTTATTATCCTAAAAGAGGACACTCAAATATCCTCATAGGTATGTATATGGGCCTCCAGTTTCTGTAACAACTATCTGATGTTACCTCCTTCCTCTTCCCCTAGGCCTGCTCCCAGGAGCCACGCGGGCTGGAGCTATCACTTTGTTGTGCTATTTATTTATCTCAAGGTTTGCTGGAATGTAAGCTCCTTCTGTGCAAAATTGCCTGCTTTATTCACTGCCGTGTCCCCTGGCACAGGGCGAGTCCTCAGTGCATGCTTGCTGAGTGAAAGCTGCTGGATAAATGACCTCCACAGTCCAAGGACAGTCCCCACGTTCTCTTTCAGCTGGGGCTGGGTTTTAGCAGCCATACTGCACCGTTGCCTTTGGACTCGTGAACCAGTGCTCGCATCCCCAGCTGTAGAAGGAAGCATGGTTGAGGTGCAAATGGGGTCTTAGTTCAGCCACACTTAAAAGCAAACAAAGCCGTCTGCTGGTGTCCACTGTCAGAGACAGACCTGTTCCAGATATGAGCAGAGTTAGAAAATGAATGATCTGCCTAACAGCTATTTGTTCATCATCGCAGCTGGGGATGGTTACTTCGACTTAGCCCTGGGAATAAAAGAGTAAACATAAATCCAAGCAACCGATTTTCCAAACATAAATTAATTTCTTACAGAGCCAGCCAATTCTTACGAGGACACAAGCCACCAGGAAACGAGACCAAAACAAGGGTCCGAAAGAGTCCAATTCTGATAATCTGATCATCACCACATCTAGGGTCCCATTTAGCTGCAGCCCACAACTGTGAACACAATTTTTGCATGTCTTTCTCCAGGAGGGAAGCGAAAACTTTTATATTTTTCTTTCTCTCTCACAAGACAGAAAGGAAAGTGTCAGAGTGTAAGCTTGATTTCTCTGCAAACGGCTTGGCTTAGGCTCGGGTCAGGAAAGGCCATGGCTGAATGGAGATCTAGAAGGGACATGGACAGCAACCAGGCAGCGAAGGGAAGTACAACCAGCCCAGCCGGTTGGCTCCTACCACTGCTTTTCAAATGGAGAGTAAACACTTAAGATGGGAAGTATGTTGTTAGGAACAAAATTGAAAAGGTAGTTAATTTTGTGGCCTTCCCTACAGAAAGTCTATACCACATGCTGAATAGTAGAAACCAACTTCCATAAATATGTACATCTAGCCCCAGTTGACAGATGGGGGAATAGGGCCCAAAGTGACATGAGAGTGACATGAGAACCAGAATATGTGTGTATGGGGGGCATGGCCACGCTAGCCTCCACCACGTGTGCAGGCAAGAGTGGGGACGAGAGACTGAGTTCAGGTCTCCCACTCTGCCTCCAACCAGCTGTGACCTTAAAGAAGGCATTCGACCTTTCTATGAACCAAGAGGGGGCTTCATGCTCTCCAAGGTCCCTGCTCAGCTTCTGTGATTCTCACATCCTATTTCCTACAGACCTCGGCCCGAGGCAGGGCTGTCAGGAGTGCTCCGAGCAGGTGGAAGCTTTAGGAAGGCTTTCCTGGAACAACTGTTATACTTAATATTTTGTACTCTACAACCTCCAGAGGAGGTAGAAACAGCAAATACAATAAATACATCTTTGCCTTTCATTTTAGACTTCTTAATTTTAAAACAGGGAAAAGAATATTTGTCTCAGTAAGTTAAAAAAAGATCTTTCAGTAAGCATTTCAATCTATCCAAGGCTGTAGAACACAAACATCCTTGGAGAGAAAGAGGTTTGGTTTATGACGTGAACGTCATAACAGGCTAGAGATGAATGCGTTGTGCAGGGCTTAGAAGCAACCACTAGGAAAAAGCAGAGACCCAGTTACAAAGGCTGAGTCAGTGACCATATTCATCCACTTCCTTCCAGCTGGGCAAGATCAGTAAAAACCTCCTGTTTTCAAAAGGCACAGACATTCTTGTTAAATGGCAATAGGACGTGGAACTAGCTGGGGGCCAGGTACAGCTGCAGGTTGCTTTATACAAGTATCATATTCCTGAAGAAATGTGTCAACTGATTTTGCAGATCCAATTTTTAACTGCAATCTAAAGGGGAATCAGTAAAAAAAAAAAAATCTTTAATAAAACAAATGATCACCAGTTTTTTGGGTTTGGTTTGTTTGTTTGTTGTTTTTATTTTCTTTTTTGCTTCTGTGAATTGTCTTGGGAGGTCAGGTTTGCCTCTAGGTACATCTAGAGTCCTGACCACTCACAGTGTCAGGACTTCATTTACTTTGAAATAAAGTGAGCTAGTTCGATGTGGCACTTTTTACGAGGTGCAGCCAGCACTGGCCCAGGGGACACTCACCACCGCATCGCTGTCGTACAGTTCCACCACCACTAAGGGCGGGGACTCTGCCAGCTCCTTCTCGTCTCCGTGCAGCACCACGTCATTGAACAGCAGCATCTGGTTCCAGGTTGGGGACAGGGTCTGGGAAATGACCTGGAAGGACAAAAGAAAAGCAAAAGGTCGTACTATTGGGTTGCAGGGGCTCTGAGGTCCATTCCACAGACACACATGCAGAGCAAAGAGAACACACCATCGCCATGGTTGCTCATTCTGTCAACGTCCCAGTGACCAGGTAAACTTGCAGCCACCATGTACCAAATGCTAGGGGATACAAAGTTTCCCTGCCCTGGAGGAACTTGCTTTCTTAATAAGTTTCAATGTTTACCACCCTCTCTGCATATATAATTGCAACTTAGTCCTCATAGCAGTGTCAATGCTTATACTAGCTGCCATCTCTTGAGCACTCATGGTGTGCTGGCTACTGTATTTTACATGCCCTGTCTCATTCAAATCTCACAGTAATTCTGGGAGGTGGGTTCAGTTATTTATACACATTTTGCAGACCAGGAAACTTGAGGCTCCCTTGTCCACAGCCAGTAAGTGGCAGAACGAAGATTTGAGCTGGATCATCTGACAGCAAAGCCCAGGCTGCTAACCTCACCCACTCTCACCACATAGATGCTAATATTGTTTCCATTTTATTCAAGGGAAAGCTGAGGATGGGGGAGATTAAATTATTATTTAAGAGCAAATACAATTTTGTCTTCAAATACTCTAAAGTTGGGTATAAAATCTAATATTCCTTATTTGAAATTTTACTGTTGTGTGGATATTTACTGACTGTATTAAATAGACCATGATCTTCAAAACAACTCTCAACAATGTTTTGCATGACATCTTCCATCCACGGGGTTTGCTATGGCAGCAAATCGTAGCATTGATAGTTGTCTGCACCCATTATACAGATGGAGAGATCAAAGCACAAAGAAAACAATAACCTACATAATTGGTCTAGAACCATGAGTGTCTCACCTAGAAGTGGCTCACAGCCCCCTGCCAGGCCATTCAAGTGGTGCCTTCAGAAGCGAGGGCATATGTGGACTTGCATCCTATTCTCTGTTTAATCAAATATTTGAAAACATGCCAGTTTCACAGAGCGAAAGATCTTAGGACTGGTGCACTTTGCACCTTGGCAGAAGCTGCCTCATTACTATGGGAGGCCTGTCCTGGACAGAGTCCAAAACCACATTTCTCTCTTGCAGGCAAATGAGTGATTTCACAGGTAAATGTATCACAGCAGCTGTTGGGTCCTGGGGACATTTCCATGGCACCTCTGAACTGCACCTTTCTCTGTCACTATACAATCCAGGAGGGATGGGAGACAGGCCTGGCCTGGACTCCAAAGTCCACATAAACCTGTCATCTCAGAGTTTTATATCGAAGCATCTCTAGGCACGGCATTAAGTCATTTGCACTGTGGTCACGAAAGAGTATTTTTATTGCTCTTCTTTATGTGGGTTATAAAAATATTGCGCATTTTCACAATTTCCTTCTCTTCTTGCTTTTTGCTTTTAGAGTATTTTATGCCTCAGACACAAGGAGGTTTTAAACATAATATTTCAGAGAAAGTCCAACTTTTCCAACAGGAAATCAATGGCTTCAACCAACCAATAAACAGGAGTTACGGACTTGCAGTGCAAAGATACCCTGTGTCAGTGACTGACATCACAAAGAACAATGTGTTATGTTGTTTTCAAAAATGGAAATGTGATCTATTTTGCAGCATGCACCTGACAGTGATACCAAAGCAATTTATGACCGCATCTTTCCTACAGAAATACAGCGATGTCTTCTTAGCACTGGACTGTAACTGCTTCTTGATAAGATTCATAGGCAGCATTCATTCATTCATTTATTCATCATATATTTATTCATAACCTACAATGTGGTAGGCACAGTATTAGGCACTAAGGCAACATTATGCACATAGCAGGTGCTCAAGAGCTATTTGCATGAATGAATTAGTGTGTATTGATCTGTCCTCAGAGTTGCTCCCATGAGTAAAAGGACCATATGACCACCTTCGAGGGGTACATTTGCCCACTTCTCTGCCAAGGTGCCTATGATTAGCCTAATTTCCTAAGGACTCCCTTAAAGAGTTATGCATCATAACTGGGTTAAGAGATATTATTTGGGATGTTATGGTAGCACTTAGCTGACACTTTAATGAGGGAGTCAGCTATCATGGACAAAGTAGAGCTTTAGAATCAGATGACCCTGGAATGAGATCCTAGTTTCATTACCTACCCCATGTCCAACTTGAGCAGGTGATTTAACCTCTTCAATCCTTAGTGCTCCTTATTTAAATGGGGTTAGCACCTACCTTGTGGAGTTATGACCATTGTCTGAAAATATTAAGTGCCCGGCACTCAGTAGGTGCTCAATAAATGCTTGTTACCCACACCACTCCATCCCTGCCTGCACTTTTTTATAAATGAGTGAACATCTACTGAATGCCTGCCACGTGCCTTACCCTGCACTGGGGTAATCACGTCTACCAAGGCATCTTGATGTCCTCAGGACTAAGCCTGGTGGTTTGAAACCTCAGGGCCCAGGCTGCACCTGCTAAGATCCCCTCCCTTTCTCCTCTACCGCTCCTGCTCAGCCACTTAGTCTTTCTTCCTCTTTTATCCACAGAGCCTTTGTCTGCGGGAGCTCCCTCTCTTTCCCTTCATCCTTCAGTCATAAGGTTTGTAAGTCCCATGTCCTCAGTGACATCTGTAATGACTGGATTGGCATCTTTGATATATTTTGTTCCATTAAGTCACTTTATACAGGATTGATCTGCAGGGCCAGGCTTCAGAGGCTTCTTCTCCCTGAGCACCGTGTGGTCCGTTCAGATGAGAACCACGAGGTAAACAGTGGTGCTTAGCTATGACTGCAGGGGCGTAGGCTTAATTTTCCCCATCATGAAGAGTGCATGAGGGGACACGTCACCTGCAGATCGGTACCTCTTGGCAGCACAGCACTGAAGCAGGAGAGGGAAACCGGGACCCCTTCTTACCAGAATGGAAGCAGAGTGGTTAAGCAAAGTGCCTTTGGAATTGGACAAATCCAGGTTTCCATCTCGGCTCTACCATCTTCTAGCTATATTGTCTCTGAGCCTTACCTTCCTCCTCTGCAGAATATGGGCTCTAATAACACCCCTGCGCTGCAGTGAGATGCAGCAAACAGTGTACATAAAATGCTCAGCATCGTGCCTGGCACATGAGGAGCTTTTAATAAATGAATGCTATTATTATTGACAAAAATTAGGTACTTGGTTCAAAATTATGGAGGCAAAGTCCAGGGCTTACCAGAACCTTATTTTCCCTTTCACATGATTATTTGATAAACAAAAGCCATCTGGTCCTTTGAGATATGGATCTAAATCAAATGAAGATACTGTATGGCGACAGAAAATCGAATGATAATTACACAGCAGCCCAGGGAGCTCACTAAGCCCCTCTCCACTCTGGGCCTGAGGTCACCTCTGAAGGCCTGGATTCCACAGTCATCGTGGCTTGTGGAGGAAGGCTCCAGAGGCCCGCCCTTTGAGAATTCCCTTGCTTTTGGTAGGAAGCCTCAATAGCAACAATAACAAGCAGTTATGTAGAAGCCGTTTTAAGCGAGGCACTGTCCTGCACGTTTTATTCTCTGGGAAGAATCTACAATGTTATCATCCCTATTTCACAGACAAAGAAATCAAGACACAAAGAGGGGTTTGCTGATAAATAGAAGAGCTTGGATTTAGCCTCAGGCAATGCAGCCCCAGAGTCTCTACTTATAATCACTGCATCATACACTACCTCTCGAAACATATTAATAGGAAACAGAAAATAGTCTGGTGTCTGCCTGTTTTCATGCTCAGTTACTGAATGAGGATGAAGTCACTTTCCCTCTGAGGTTTCTCGCAACTCCCCTCCCAGGCAGAACTAACCCTCCTTCCACTTAGATCTTGTAGGAGTCCGTACAGAGCTTATCACAGTGTCGCGGCACCTGTCTGGAGGACTGCATCACACCTGGATTGCACACTGTGCAGAAGCAGAGCCTGGTCCCTCGCAGCTACCTGTCACAGAGCCAGCCCTGGACAGGTGCTGGTTAAATGAATGGGAGGCTGGTTCATGCTCTTAGTCTGCGAGTCATAAATCAAAACACAGTCTAATCGATCATCCAGGTCACGGGCTGTGCCTTGGAGAAAAATGTTAGCCCTCTCAACATCAGCCAATATAATGGCCAGCAGGTATCAATCATGTTATGCACTTAACTTGTTTCTTCTTCATGACAGCCCTATTTTAAAACAACACACCTGAGGTTTAGTGAATTCCACTCTTTGCCCAAAGACATGCAGCCAGAGAGAAGATGAGCTAGAAAGTAACCTCAGGGTGCTTCGTGTTTTTCACTCATGGGGTCTTAACCCCCTGAGAAGGCAAGTCTTTACCGAGCTCCTCTCTCTCCAAATTGCAAATCAGTGAGCAGAGCAAATCCCTAGAGAACATGATCTTTTGAGAAAAGCACCTTATTGAGCTCTTGCTGATTAGGAACCCTTTGCACATTTCAGCACTCAGTGCAGAGGAAAGGGAGAAAGTACAGAGGAAACAGACATAGATCAATTCTGTGGCTTGAATATTTGTCCCCTCCAAAATTCATGTTGAAATTTAATCCCCAGTGTGGCAGTATTGCGAGGTGGGGGCTTTAAGAGTCACTGGATCATGAGGGCCCTGCTCTCACAAATGGATAAATCCATTCAAGGATTAATGGGTTAATGGATTATCATGGGAGTGGGACCAGGCTTTATAAGATGAGAAAAACCTGAACTATTGATAAAGACTTTCTTAAATTTTTTTTTAAAAAGGAAGACCTAAACTAACAGTTGAGCATGCCCAACCTTACCAAGTGATGTCCTGCACCACCTCGGGACTCTGCAGAGTCCCCACCAGCAAGAAGGCCCTCAGCAGATGTGGCTCCTCAACCCTGGACTTCCCAGGCTCCATGACTACAAGAAATAATCCCTTTTCTTTACAAATTACCCAGTTTCAGATATCCTGTTATAAGCAACACTAAATGGACTAAGACTACCCATTGCCTTTAATACTCACAACATCTATTATGAATAGTATTGTGGAGAGGAGGGGGATTTTGAAAGACAGACGAGTTACAAGTGTGCAAAGCTCCCCAGCTGCTAAGTGCAAAGTCTAGGGCTTCCAGACCATGAAACTGGAAAATTTCCTCCCCACCAAGACTCTTTAATCGTGATTGGATCATAAACCTCATGCAGGTTGTCCATGCCGTTTCCTTGTTTGCTCCTTCCCCACTACACTTGGCCTTGTGCCTGGCACTTCACCAGGTGCCCTAGGTGTGCCACTTTCTGTTCCTCTTCCCCGGTCCTCTTTTCCTCCCTACTTTCCTTCTCCTCATGGACTTGCCTCCCTTTGCATTAGGACAGTAGATTCAGTGGAATGCAAGGCCTTCCCCAGGTCAGTCCTTGGCACACATTTGCTTTGCAGTCTGAAACAACTGCTCACTCAGAGATGCAGGTATTGGCAGCATGCCCTGTTTTTTCTCTCCTGGGCTCTGACTCAGGTCACTTGCAGGCTGCGGGAAGAAAATAGGCTGGTCTCTGATTACCTTTGTGGTCTGGCAGTGGGAAAGGAACGTGACTTTGGCAAAGGGGTCTGAAAGTCCATTGCTGTCAGCTGCGATGAGGCCCCGGGCTTGGTACATGTGAGCTCTCAGCTGAAAGATGTGCCGGGCTGTGGACAGAGCAGGAAAAGGGGCAGGCGTTAGTGGGCTTCTCGGGAAGAGCATGTGTGAGCCGCGTGTGCGGGTGTGATGGTGCGATGTGCATCTGTGTGTCTGCGGACAGACGAAAGGAGACCCCCAGCGCCACCCTCCTCTGAGGCTGGAATGGAAGCTGTGGAGAGAGGGAAGAGGGATGTTTACCGGGTACCCTGGAGCCAGGCATTCTCAGTGCTTTCACCTGGCTGTGTGTCTTTATCCCTACAATAACCCTGTGAAGTACAGATAATGGTCTCCAGTTTGGGGATCAGGAAAATTGCCCACAAAAAAAAGCTAAAATACTTTCCAAAGTTTGCAGAACTAACATACACCATAGCCTGGACTTTATCTGTCTGATTCCAAAATCCTCTTCTCTTTCTAAAAATATCACATTTAACTCCCTAATAATTCTCCTGTTTACACTAGTGTGTGTTGTGTGTGTGTGCGCACACGTGTGTGAAAGGGGCTGCTCCACAGTTTCTACTTCAATAAACACAACATATGTCTCGAGTCATCCATTCACCTATTTTCCATTCAGCCAGCCAGTGCCATTTTGAGTGCCTATTGTGTACAGTTGTGGTCTTGGTCTGCAAAGATTCTCAGGTGACTAAGACATTCCCTGGCCTGGAGATGAGCATCCAAAGTACAATGACAGGAGGCCAGGGGTCAGTGTCCTGCGAGGACACTGGCAAAGGACGTGGGGGTGGGCAGGAGCGAGCGCACCTGCTGGCCAGGATGGGAGGCAGAGAGAGGGCTGCAGGCTGGGGCAGGTTGGGGTCAGTGGGGAAACCTCAGGTATGAGTGGAGTTAGCCATATTCCTTGGCCTTGCTTTCATATACACTTATTCCTTTTAACTTCCTTCCCACTCCCGCTCTCCTGGCTCTCCCAAAGGCCCCATGCTCAGTGTGTGTCTGTGCTTTTGTGTTGGTGTGGGGACTGGTACGCAGGAGCCCATTTGAGTAATTTGAATATAATTTGAATAACTCTACTTAGTCAAATTAAGGGTATAATACCCTGTGAGTCTCCCACCCAACCCCCCACAGTGCCACGCCCAGGCTTATCTCACAAGTCCACACAGGGACTGGTCCATGGTGACTGACCCTCCTTGTGCCTTTATTTTCTCCTTTGTAAAGTGAAGGGAATGATGGTTCCTCATAGGCTCACTGTAGGGGACTGAAGGGCTGAGGATGGTGCCTGGCACATGGGAGGGACTTTGAAGTGGTGTGAGATGCTGGTGTGTTGTTACTATTGCTCGTATCCTGTGCTGGTGAGACACAGAAAGCACCTGCCTGCCCGTCACTGGGAAAGTAAACAGGAAAAAGGTCAGGGAGCTGGGTACAGCAGCTAGGAGCAAAGGATTAGAGAAATACACAGCAGAATGGATGGATCTCAAGAATCTAGTGCTTGGTGAGGAATGATAAAACAGCACAAGATATATAACACAATACTATTCATGTAAAATAAAATATGTGCATACAAGGGAAAAATTCATATTCACTAAAGCAATTCAAATAAAAAGGTCAGACTCTAGGGGAGGTGACACTACCCTTTAAGCAGAGCCCTAAAGGATGGTGACATTTGATAGGCAGTGAGTGGCTGAAGCAGGATGAGTCAAGACAAGGTCAAAATCACCACACCATGTAGGAGCCAGGATGTAGTCTAGTTTGGCTAGAGAGTCCAGGGCTCCCAACAGCTGTGGTCATATCCCTGAGGACTTAGGAGGCCTGAATGAGGCATTGACACCTAGCTTAGCAGGCAATAGGGAGCTCTTGGAGGTGTGTGCACAGAAGCTGATAGCAGTGCAGAGGTTAGGAGCATACAACTATGAGTCACACCAGCCATGGACAGAAGAGATGTCAGAGAAGGGACCAATAAGGAGACAACACTGCCCCCTTTGGGAAGGAAGCTTAGGGGCCAGATCTCATGCACCTGCAGAGGGGATGGAAATGAGGGGGAGGGACATTGCAGCAGGACTTGACCCCTGACCAGCAGGGAGAGGAAGGGCAGGGAAGGCCAGTGTGCCAAAGACTGTCATGAGACCCACACATGCTTCTGTCCCTCCAAAGGGACAGAACCAAATGCCACTGTCTGGCTTCATGGAGACCATGCCACTGGTCAACCCTATGCCACTGTCTGGCTTCGTGGAGACCAGTGTGGAGCTGAGGAAGCAGCAGCCATGGCAGTGCCCACTCCAATCCTGCAAAGGATCTGGAAACCTGAGTGCTGCACACTTCTTGGTTGAGTCTAGGTACTTATAGTGCAAAGCTCTCCAAGCTCTGATCAAGTCAGGGGGACCAGAAAGGCAATTCCTTTGGACTCAGTTCTAAGTCTTCCCTCCATCCCCACCTCTGTATACACCAATAAACGCTAACATGATAGACTGAGTCCTGATGACAAGAGAGCCCTTTACAATGACAATGCTGAATGATGGAATGTTCTGCACATGGCACAGGGATTTCCCGGTAGGAGTGTGTCTAGAGATGGCCCATGTGTTCCTTAGCATGTTACATAGTTTGGCAAATTTCTCAGCTGGCCACGAACTTGGAAATGGCTCATGCTGTGAGAATGTCCACCAGCTGCTCCTGAAATGACTAACCCTGGAATTTTAGCAGACCTCCCAATGGCAGCCACATAAGCAATGCACTGCACTACTCCATTTACTTAGGCTTTTGTTTTTCTGAAACCTTGGGTCTTATAAGTTCCATTCCTTGGACAAAACTAGTGAACTAGTGAGCCTCCTTGCACTTGGTCAGTCTACCTCTTGTGCTATGGCTCGCTTTCCACTTGTGGCTGTTAGAGACGTGTCTGATTGCCCCCACTTGGGGGCCAGAATCACCTCTCACTCATCTCTACACCCTCTGCTAGTTTTCCCGCCATGCCTTCTGTATATAGGTGCAAACTAATTATTTGCAGCACGGGCATTTTCTAGAGCACAAAATTCTCCAGTAGGTATGGCAGGCAGCCAAAGCCATCAATGCCGATGCTCAGCAGAAAAAGTTTATTAGGTCACTCTGTGAAAACAGCACACTGCTGAGGATCAGAGAGCATTGAGAAAAGTCTCTCCTCTTCTCTGAATTGTTAGTGGCTGGGACAGCAAGCAAGTCCAGGTCCTTGGGTCTTTAAAGATAGTGTTTATAAAAATAGGAAGATAACTTGATGTGGATGGTTTCATCTAAAGACAAAAGCTCTCCAAATGTAGGATGGAAAGCAGTGGAAAGAAAGCAGGGTTTGGAGACGGTTTGCTCCACAATTTACTAGCTGTGTGATCTTGGGCAATTTCTAAGCATCTCTGATACATACTTTCTCCATATGTAAAATGAAGAAAATTCCCAGGGTTGATGTGAAAAATAAGTGAGATCTTATGTATAAAGTATAGGGCACAGTGCTTGACATATGATAGGTGTTATACATTTTCTAAAAAGACAGCGTTCTTACACATTGACATTGGGCACAGAAACCATGAGCTGAACCATTGGATACAATCTCCAAAACCTTGTCTTCTCTGACTACTGAGCAACTTAGATTCTACTGACAGTCAAGGTCAACCCACATCAGAGGAGCCTTGTGCAACACAGGAAACCTGAGTGTGTAGACAGTTCTCCAGTGTTCCCAACATTGGCTCAGCTCCAAACTCAACTTCAGTAGAAGCGAAGATAAAACTGCAGTCTGCTTTATCTGGGTTCAGCAGCAAGAGATTGTGCAAATTGAAACAATTTGGAGGCAGAAAGCAAAATGAATTGTAAGACATCAATATTTATAATAAAATTTAAAACGGTATCAAAATGTAAACATGATGGCATTCAGAGAAAATAACTGCATAGAAAAAACAATCTCATAACTCATGCTGAATTTCTAAAAGCAGCCAACCCAAGACCCAAGCTGGAGAAACGTGAATGACCTCACTAATAGCAGTCTGCACTGGGTCACCACTGAGAACTGTGAATGCCTGCTGTTTATGTGTCAGAACCCCAATGCCACGGAAAAAGAAAATATGCCTTAATTCCACTGGTCATATCAGCACAAGAATTTACTGATATTTCTTTAAAAGACATCTTCTGCTTACAATGTCAGCTCAATCTACATAGTCTGCCTGCAGAGAAACTCAAATTGCTTCCTCGTCATTCACAGAAAAAAAATGTTCATTACAGATGTGTTTAATGACTTAACTTTATTCTTTTTAGATGAAACATTGAAAGGTATGGAAGAACATGTGGAAACTATTATAGAAGGCAAATAAGTTGATCTTAAAATAAAGTGCAATCAATCCATGCATGCTGCCCACCTGTCTTCTCAGAAGCTCACCTGAGACATCAAATGACCCCTTTGCCCTGTGGGCACCATACCTTGGTAGAGCAGGTTGGCTGGGGGGTGATTAGCGCCAGCCACTTTGGAGGGCATTTCTGCTTCATAGCCTGCTGGCAAGTTGTCCAAAGCGGCACTGGAGTGTCTGGTGGAGCCCAGCCACAGGTACACGTCGACTTTTGCCTGCACCGACCAACCAGAGGACCGTTTTCCAGGAAGCTGGGGAAAGGTCACAAGGAAGACTTCCTGTTAGTAGGAGACAATTATGGGCTTCACTCCTTGAGAGAAGAGGTCCTTCCTGGAGACACACTTGGAGGTATGTTCAGAGAACAGTTCTTAAGTGCTGTTCTCAAATCAAAATGAGAGCAATGGTCCCAGTTGCCACAACTCATAACTCCAAAAGAGGATCCATTTCTAGTGGGACCTGAAGCTTAATCATGCATTGTGATAAGCAATTCAAGTCCTGGATCATTTAAACATAATAGGTAGATATGTTTATTGCCCCTGTTTTCTAGGTGAGGAAACTCTGGCTCAGAGAGATGAAATAATTTACCTAAGATCACTCTGTTTTTAACAGAGCCAAGACTCAAGCCCAGAAGAGATGATTCCAAATCTATACTATTGACTCTGGACCCCTTAGACTGCCCCTTCATGACACTGAGCTAAAATCTCCTTCCAGAAACTTTCAATGGCCTGGAGTTACAACCTGAGTTCCTACCTCTTTGCTTCATTCAGAAGAAACCCAAGAGGTCTTCTGTAAGTCAGGCCTTCATGTGCTTGAAGGAACCTACCTGGCTTACCATGTTTTTCTTTCTGGCTAACCACCTATAACTCCTTCATTCCTTCCTCGTGCAGTGTGGTTGGTTTCTGATTCCCTTACTACCCTACTATCTCTGCTTTGAATGTGCTCAGATTTGTGTATTTATATTTGTTTGAATTTCTATGCTTATCTTTGTATTAGTGTGTGTGATATTAGTTTGTATTAGTGTGTACAAGGAGTGTGTGCATGTACACACCTGTGTGCATATGCATATGTATATGTGTGTGTATGTGTATGTGCGGGGACATGTATTCTCAGTATCTGAAGGACATAACTCAACACTGATAGTGTGGCTCCTTTGTTTCTCAGTCACCACGATTAGAGGACTCCCTGCCCTCAGCCAAAGAGTCCCAGGGCCCAGCCCTGGCTGCATTCAGGATTGCTGGCAGGGCCATCATCCCAAGAGTAGCCATGGCACTTTGAGACATTGCTACTTCTCCAGATTTTGTTGACGCTTCTAAGCGCCTCTTCTTAGTGTTTCTTAGAATTCCCTGCCATTACCTTCCTCTTTCTTCTGCACCACTTCCTTTCCATAAAGGATCACAAAATCCTAATATGAAAGGTCAGAACGTGCTCTGACAATTTTCAAGTCCCTTGTGGAGAATCTCTGAATCCAAAATTGAGCATGGCTGTTTGCCTTTCAGGCTTGCTCTGTGGGTTCCATAAACAGATTTTGGGCAACTCAATTTAGCAACTACTGCAAGTGAGGCCGGGACCTTGCTGAGGGGGTGAGGGCAGGAGGCTGTGGAGTGTCTAAGACTCAGTGCTGGCCCTCCCTCTAAAGCTCACAAGGGGGCCGACTTGCATTCACTTACTCAAATGCAAAGACAGAAAGCACCTAGGGAGCAGAGAAGTAGCAGCGGGTATTTCTATCCTTTCTTTAAGATTCAAATATTCACCTGGGTTTTAACTGGTACTTTGGAGTTAGATCCCAGAAAGAGAAGAAAGAGGAAAGTGCGTAAGCAAAGATTTGGGTAATATGAGCTAATACATTTAGTGGTGCTTACTCCGTGCCAAGAATGGCGCTAAAAGCTTTCAAAAAAGAAGAAATAACAACCAGTGAGTATGACCAAGGATGATACGGGCAAGGCTGAAGAATCTTGCTCAGTATGTGCAGCTGTTGACATTTTATTCTTTAGAGAGTAGGATGCCATCATTTTTTGAGCTCAAAAAAATCTAAATAAGGTCATTTTGTTGTTGGTAAAGGCAACCACTCTGTAACCTGTAATTTTAAAAATTGTATTAAGACAAATAATCCTCAATCCATCACTTCTCTGATAATAATAGCCAAAAATGTATTAACATTTATTTAATAAAATAAATATTTATTGAAAGCCTAAGGCTAATTTTTTGCAATGAAAGCAATCTCTCTGCCATTTGTAGACATCACTGGGCCATCAACTCGCAAAGGCAGGAATTTTTGTCTGTTGGACGGATGTCCCTAAAGCCTGAAGGAGTGCTCGACACCCAGGAAGCATGCAGTAAATATTTGCTGAGTGTTTATTCTTTGTTTGCATTTCTAATAACAATGAATTTAGTACATGTTGAACACTTACATTGTTCTAGGCCTTGGTCTAATGCTTCTTCTTTCCCACAGAATGCTCTAATACCTGCATGTTATTACCAAGTTATACATTACCATTCATCTTCACAATGACTCCGTAAAATAGATACTTTAATAATGTGTATTTTAAAGGTCAGAAGACAGAGGATCAGAGAAGTTAAGACAATTTGTCCAAGGTCACAGAGCAAAGCAGGGTTCAAGCCAAGACTCAAACCCAGCTCTACCTGGTCCCAGTGTTCCTCATAAAATGTGTGCGCCTGGATTGCCTGGGTGTCTGGTTAAAGTGTAGACTCTAATTCAGTTGGTCTGGGGTAGAGTTTGGGAGTCTGCAATTCTCCCCATTGACATCGATCCTGCTGGTCTACAGACCTCAGTTTTAAGTATTTGAGCAGCAAGGCTCTTTATTTACTATACAACATTGCCCCAAGTAGGTCTAATAGTCTGTGCTGCTTTTTTTTTTTTTTTTTGAGACAGTCTCACTTTGTTGCCCAGGCTAGAGTGAGTGCCGTGGCGTCAGCCTAGCTCACAGCAACCTCAGACTCCTGGGCTCAAGCAATCCTACTGCCCCAGCCTCCCGAATAGCTGGGACTACATGCATGTGCCACCATGCCCGGCTAATTTTTTCTATATATATATTAGTTGGCTAATTAATTTCTTTCTATTTATAGCAGAGACGGGGTCTCGCTCTTGCTCAGGCTGGTTTCGAACTCCTGACCTCAAGCAATCCGCCTGCCTCGGCCTCCCAGAGGTCTGTGCTTCTTAGAGTAAAACAAAACAACAACAAACATCATTCATTTCTACTGCTGCTAAACAACATGTGTGTATGTGAACTTACGATTAGATCCCAAAACTCAACTAACATCTTGTGAAAGTGTTCATAACGGCCACTGCTGCACTCCTAAAGTTAGCAGCTTGTATGTTTCCTTAAAAAATAAACAAACTGAAATTGCTGGCAAGATGATGCAGAGTGTCTCACTTAAGCATCCAAGTGGGGTTCACCCAGCATTACTGAGCAATGACCCAGGTGCTTTCAGAACCATTAGCCCCTTTTTAATTTCATGTGCACTTCCATCCTCGTGTGTGTCTGCCTTCCTTCCCCTTCCCCACTCTCCTTCCTCTCTCTTGTGCCCCGGAAGCTTGACCAACCACAGAAAGGCCTTTCCTTTTGAGAATAGCAAAATGAAGGAAAAAAGAAAACACAACAGAGAGAAATAATTAAAGAATGAAAAAACGTATCAAAAAGCTATGATCACCCATGTGATCATGTTGCATGAGACAGCATGCTAAAGGCTTAACCTTCCCCAGCCCGCCACCTCCCACCCACCAGGATCCTGGTACACCCCGGCAGGATTAAAAGGAGGTGGAAGTCTTGGCAAGTCGGAGGAAGGAGAGAGAGATGGTAATTTGCACAAACTCTGCTGGAGTTGGTCAACCAGTACTAGTGAGAGGAAGGCTTGTTCGTCTTACAGAGGATTTACTCTGCAGCAGACCCAGAAGGGTGCCTTTCAGCCACCCCTTGCTGCTGCATCCTAAGAAAGGCTGGATGGAAAGCCAGCAGCCTGGAGAAGAAGAGATGGGCTCAGGTATGTGCAGAGATAGATAGGATGGGGACAGAGAGGAGAGTAAGAAGAGGTGGGCTCAGCACAGAGAGGCGACTCAAGAAGAAAAGAAAAGGAGGGTTGAGCTCTACGTTCCGGGGCTCAGAGTGCACCCCACCCCTTCTACAGGAAGGGTTTCCTTTTGGTAATTAATTTCCTTCCTCACATTTCCAGCCACCAGGTGTACAGTGAGGATGAGATTAAAAGGGGAAAACCCTGATTTTTTGGATGGTGGGTTGAGCTGAGTTTGGCAAAATCTGCACCGTCATTTTTAGTAGCATCATGAATATATTTAAATTAGAGATAAAGAAAGATCATGGAACCAGGGACCATGAAATCCCGAGTGCAGTTACAGATCAACCGTTACTTAGTCACGTGACTATAGATGAGCTACCTTTGTTTCCTCTGGATTAATATTCCCCATACTGGGCCTCTAGGAACAGGAGTCTCCTAAAACTTGTAACTAGCTATTTTGGAAGAACAAACCTGGTAAACGTGGGTTTCAAAAGTTAAAGATGTTTCCTGACTGCAGGACTTCTTAGAACCTTCTGCTTGTTAATGGCTCCTGTGAAACTCTAGGAGTTTCCAAGGGTACAGCTGCAACCTCCTAAATGTATTTGAACATACATTTATAGAGCCACTCAAAGGGCAGCTGCTCTCTAGCATAAACTTTAAGAAATCTCTGGCCTAAAGAGTTTAGAGATTTCCACTCTGTGTTTTTTCCCTACCTTCTATTTCCCAGCTAGGAAACCGGAGTCAGCGGCAGGTGAGGGACGTCTCCCTGGTGCAGCCCTTGCTTTTTTCAGGCTTACCAATTCAGTGGGGAGAAAGGGCCATAAAAGGAGGTGGTGGGTAGGAGCGACTTAAAATCAAGAGTAACGATCAAAACAGGAATGAAAATAGTTTTGCTGAATCATCTTATCAATTCGTTTCATCGGGTTGGTATAATCGAATTCAACACGATTTAGAAAGCTGTTCCCCAAAGCAACGCCAATGGTGAAAAGAGTATATAGATAAAGAGGTAAACTGAGGCTAACAGATGCATTGATAAAGATAACAGACAGAGGCTGGATGCCTCAGGGCAAAAGTTCTGCATTCTCAGTTACGTTTATCCTCTGGCTTTATTTGACAACTGTTCTTCGTTCTAATTTTAAATAGTGCCAGGATACATCAAAACATTTAGGAGCGAGTAATGTTATACCAGGTTTTTTTTTTTTAGTATTTTTAGCACAGGGCCTTTGGAAAGGATTTGCTATTTTTAAGACAAATGTGTCTTGCCTCCCTAGCATTCCTTGAATGGAGAAAGTTAAAGAAAATCCTTGATGATTGTGGTGAATGACTTGGGTGAAAAAAAATTTCTTTTTTCAGTTACAGTTTTACAGCATTGGTTTTAAAAATAATTTTACAGATGTGTCAGAAAATAGCATACAGAGTCCCAAACAGCTCACTGGATATGAAGGGGACACACAGCTAAGTCAACGATCTCTGCGAGGTTGGATGTCCAGTTGTGTGACAGCTAGCATTTGTTGAGTGATCACTCTGGGTGGGGCACAACTATGTGTTCTTTGTTTACATTTATTCACTGAATCCTCACAACCACCTCCATTTAATGGGTGAAAAATGGGGTGAATATTCTTTTCCACTTGAAGGTTGAAGAATGATAAGTAACTTGCTCAAGGTCACACAGCTAGTAAATATTGGCCCTGGAATTCTCTTATGGGTTGAATTGTGGTCCCCAAGATTCATATGTTGAAGTTCTAATCCCCAGTACCAAGAATGTGACCTTATTTGGAAACAGGGTCAATGCAGAGGTAATTAGTTAAAATGACATTGTGCTGGATTAGATGGGCCTGTAAAAATGTAATTGTCAAACCACACTCCTGTTGTCAGTTGCTGGTAAGGGTTAAGGCTTTGGACCACATTTTTCCGCATATTCACTCATTTCTACTTACTGGGATAAAAATTTCTTGGTAGTAGAGGTGAAATACTTGTATGTAATCCAGTATGACTGGTGTCATAAAAAGAACGCCATGTCAAGAGACAGACACACATAGGAAGAATGCCATGTCAACACTGGTGTTATGCTGGCACAAGCCCAGGAACTAGGCAGAGATAGGAGAGAGGCCCAGAACAGGTCCTTCCCTAACATCTTCAGAGAGAACATGGCTCCACCGGCACCTCGATCTGGAACTTCTAGCCTTTCGAACTGTGAATTACTAAATTTCTGTTGTTTACTCCAGTTAGCTTATGGTACTTTGCTACAGCAGCCCTAGGAAACGAATACTAATTCCAACCTAGATTCACCTTATTTCAAAACCCATTCTCCCACAATTCAACCATAATATACTCAGTATCTGTTGACAATGCAAAGGATGAACAACACATTATGGACATCCATTTAGGGAACTATTTCCCTGTCATCTCTGTCTTTGTGGAGCCTTATTTTATCCTATGGAATCAATCTCTTTCTTTCTTTCTCTCTCTCACTCACCTCTACACTTCCCCTGCGTGAACACACAGACATGGTAGCCCTACAAACACTGACAGACCTCTTTCATGCTGTCAAATCTTCTCAGCTCAGCTCAGCATCACTGTCTCTTTACCTGTTCCTCATGCGGCATGCCTCTGAGCCTTCTCACACTCCCTCTGAGGCAGTAGAAGAATATTATTACATTGTAGCAAGAAACCAGAACTGAAATTGTCAGGACAGTCAGCTACAAGTTTGGAAAATTTAATTGTCAAACCACACTCCTGTTGTCACTTGCTGGTAAGGGTTAAGGCTTTGGACCACATTTTTCCACATATTCACTCATTTCTACTTACTGGGATAAAAATTTCTTGGTAGTAGAGGTGAAATACTTGGGATCTCCAAGAAAGGTTCAGATTTGGAGCTACAGATAGTAGAATCCACCCAGAGACGTATGTCTATGAGGGCTCACTCTTGAGGCATCTGGGGACCCTGTCTTCATGAAGGCAGGACCCCGAAGTTGAAAAGACTCATATTTCTACAATTTTAAAGTCGCCAGGAATCCTGAACTAGCAGTTCTGTTCCTCTGGTAATTTTCTTTGAAACAATTTTTAAAATATAGGTGAATTCATGTGAAAAGATGCCAGGGACAAATTACACAATAGAAAAGGTAGTGAAGAAACAAATAGAAAAACGTTCATTCTTATTAGTAGTAATCAAAGATGTGAAAATTAAAGTAACCTTGAGGTACACCCAAGGTGAAAGAGAAACTTCTATGTGTACAGTGATGTAGCCATTGGAAAAGATTCTGCCTCAAGCTGGTCTCCTAAAGTGCGATTCAAATCAAGAAGGGGAAGATGCTCCGGGTGTCCTCATACCTTTGAAGGCATCTGGCAAGAGGTGAGACACGAACATACACTAGAAATTCTGAGCTGCTCCAGAAAAAACAGGAATCTCCCTTCATTTAGTCAAAAAATGGCGCAGACTTACTTTAAGGAAGTGAGTTTTCATCTTGCCGCAGTGTTTGCCCATCTGCTCCGCGACGGGGGAGTAGAGCAGGTCTTTGGAGGGGATGCGGGCATATGCCACTCTCTTGTTGTTGCTGAGCATCCAGATGAAGACATCAGGAATGGTGTGCTGGGGCTACGGGAACAGAGGGGAAGGGATTTGCTCGGTTAGTACCAAACAGATGCACTTCCAGAGTTTTGTTATCCTGAAACAGTCCCTCTTCTGCAAAACAAATTCTATGACTGAAATCGTGTACATACTTAAACATGTGTGCAATCGAGCAAGTTAAGTGCAGCTTCCTTGAGAAGAGAGTCTTTGGCTGTGAACTGAAAGTACGTAGAAACCCACAAGCCAAACGGCTACTTGTGCTATGAGGACATGCAAGTTGGACCCATGATTCGGCTGGCGTCTTTGGTGGCCTGCTTTTCTCTATCTGTACAACTTCCCATGGATTTTTTTTTTCTCAAACTTGTAATAATAATCTATCATCAAGCCCCAGACCACCTCAGAGCCAGGCAACATTTCCAGAATATTCCAATGGAAAAGCAAAAACAAAAATCCATGAATGTCTTTGAATGATTTTCTACTTGCTCTTAAGAAAGAGAAAGTAATTCTATAAGGAACTCTATACTTATCATATGATTTTCAAGTATGTTAGCCCCATTTTGGGTGGTTATTCAGGAGAAATTTGACTAAATTGCATAGTTAATTGGACTTTAAAGTTGAGCTAATCAGGATAGGAAGTACAAAATTCCATGCCAAGTGGCCATTGTTTTATGAGTGTTTGAAATGCACGTTTCTGAATCAATATAACTATCAAAACAAAAGGAGGTATATTACTATAAAGTTGGTTGTAACTTTCCTGAGCTGGAAGCAGATGTTCTGTCTTTCTGATCTCTAATGCTCAGGTATAATTGGTACCCAAAGGGGGCGTCCTTTCTCTCTTGATACGGAAACAGAGACACAAGGATGGAGATTTTCCTGGACAAGGGTTGGTTAGTCACAGACTTGAATCCTCGTTTCCTGGTTTGAACCTTCTGCGTCCTTATAAAAATTCCCATGTCTAATCGCTGCCTGTCTCACTGCTTATTATGCCTCCAGGGAATGACTGATTTGCGACAAGAATTACAACTTTCGAGAACAATAGAAGCAGTACATCTGTACCTCTCCCTGAAATCTTCCCACACAAATGTCTCTTTAAGAGGTTTCTAACATTTACAGGCTTCAAGAAGAAGTTTCAGTATCTGACAGAGCAAATATGAGGGCCTTTTTTTTCTAGATCATTCTAGATGTCACCAGAAAACACTGTTGACAACCCACTTTTAAATGAGAATCTGTTTTGACCTTTACTGGATGTGAATTTAAATCCTCTTATAGTTGAAAGCCTATCAAAGTTCTTGTGTTTATCTTGACTTCACTTGAGTCCATGAGGGAATATGCTTTTTATTTTGCTGAATACTCAGACTTTGTGAAAAATCAATAAAGCTGCAGATGTTTAGCTTAATTTAAAAATCTCTTCTCTCACCCCTAAACTAATAGTGCCCGTTCAGCTCAGCAAGGCTAGGGAGAAAACACTGATCCATCTTTCACCCTTATCAAACACCCAAACCTCACTAAGAAGACATTCAGTCTAATCTCCCAAATGAAGTTTGCCTTGAGAGTGGATTACCTCATCAACAAGAAAGCGGATTTTTTCTACGAAGTTTTGGGCTTCGTGGATCATTTCATCAAGAGATAACTTTTTCTTCTGCTGCTGGAGGATCCCCTTGGCCTCCTTGGACATTGCCTCCTAAAACAAGACAAGAGTCAGTGTAGATCTTTCTGGAGATCTGGACAACAAGTACTGTCCTGTTGCTGAAGGGACTTGAAGGTTCTTACAAGCTCCACACAGAGCCACTCACGCGGGCTGGTCCTGTGTCTGCCACTTAATGGAAATTTCATAGGACTGTGGAGGCAGTGAGTGTCACCTCACCTTCACTTGACAGGTGAGAAACTGAGGCCCAGAAAGTTCAGAGGCTTGTCAAGTTCACATAGCTGGTTATCCAGGACCTAAATCCAGGCTAACAACAACAGCTATAATAATGGCAACTAAAATGTATTGAGGTGGTACGCGGTGCCAGGCCATGTTCTAACCACCATATCAATCTTTGGTTCCTCCTCGTAACAATCTTGCGAGGTAGGTGCTGTTATTCCCATTTTATAGCTGAGGAGATAGCACTGCAGCTACTGAGTGGCAGAGCCAGAGCTGACCCCCATCTGAGTCCAGGGTCCTTGGACTCAATCACTGCCCTCACCACCCCTTCCCAGAGGTAGGGTGGATGTGTCCAGACCAAGAAGACATCATTTGAGGAGCACTGCCAGGGAGCTCGGCATGCGTGGTCGGAACATCCGAAAGTGTTTATTTTGATTAATTTGTTCAGCCCACATTTACATGCTTAGGAAAAAAACAAACTCTTTACAGCGACTTCTACAGCCCTGTGTGAATTGGTCCTGCCTACTGGTCTGCTTCATTTTATGGCATTCCTTCCTTGCTCACAGTGCCCCAGGCACACTGGTCTTCGGAGGTCCTACCCCTAGAACATGCCAGGTTTGGTCCATCCTAAGGCTGGTATGCTTAGTGTTTCCTCTTGCTCAAATGTTCTTCCCAGACTCCACATGGTTGGTTTCTTCTCAACTTACATGCTATCCCTGTATTACATTCCCCCATGTTTTCCCGATCACGATGGCTTTTTGTAACTTCCTTCATAGTCAGAACCTGTAATCATTTTTATGTACTAGTTGGTTACCTGTCTATCTTCTGTCTTCATCACTAAAATGTAAACTTCACTAGGACGGGGACCTCTTCTGTCTTGCCCTCACCTTGTATTCTCATTGCCTAACAGAGTTCCTGGCACATAGCAGGTATTAAATAAGTGTCTATGGAATGAATGAAACACTCAAGTTCTTCAAAGTTGAGCACCAAGTATTTCCAGCTTTATGTTCCCAGCACAGTGTTTGGCACATTGGAAGCCTCCTGTTGATGTTGATTGGAAGAACCGAATACCTGCTGTCTACCAGGCACTGTGCTGGGAGCCATGGCCTGAACGTAGGGGAGGACATAATGCTTCCTTTCCCTGAGGCCTTGCCATTTTGGTGAGGGGAAAGTAATACACGTAAATAATTAAAATGTGTAAAACATTGTGCTACTAGGCAGGGGCAAAGCTGGTTTCATGGAGGATTTGGCATTTGAGTTGAGTCTTAAAATGTGAATAGAAGTCATCAGACAGAGGGAACAATTACACACAAAGGTGTGTAATCAGCAAGGGTGACTCAAAATTGTTGGAGCATAGATATATGGAAGGGACTAATGAGTGGGAAAGTTGGGATTCTAGGTTGGAGCCAGACATTGACCAGCCGTGCATATCATACAAAAAGAATTTGGACTTTATCTTATGAATGATTGAGAGAATCCAATAATTTTTAGCAATAGTTATCTGATCAGGCTTGTGTTTTAGAAAAACTATTCTGCTTGTGGTATGAAAGATGGATTGGTGGAAGACTGCTGCAATAGTCTGGGACAGAGATGCTGAGGAACTCAGTTTAGGGAGTGGTTCTGGGGAGGAAGAAGTGGAGTCAGTTCCAGATTCTTCAAGGAGCAGAACTGATAGGACCTGGGGTCAACCCGACTGTGGAAGTCGAGGGATAGAGTCTTCACTGTCTGGATGGAGCAGTGAGCGTAGCTGGCAGTGCCAATACAGAATGTGGAACAAGTTTAGGTAAGGTGATGGATTCAGTAAGATACATAGAGTCTGAGGTGATGTGAGCTAGGCATAGAGATGTCCACCAGGAGGTCGGAGATACAGGTCTACAGACAAGGAAAGAGGCCTTTCAATACACAGATATTGAAATGTGGGCTTGTTTAGGCCAGGGACTGGCAGACAATGCAAAGACGGAGAACTCTGCAGAAAACATGTCGTGCAGGGACACTGCAGAGACAGCACTTCAGTGCTCAGGAGGAACCAGCACAGGAGGAAGGTCTTACAGACGGTGGGAATCTGGCCTCTACCAAATGTTTTGAAGGACAGAAAGGAAATATTCTGGAAAGAAGGATGAATGAGGTATGAGGAGTCTTATGTTTTAGCCTCTGGACTACTACTAACTAGCTGTGACCTTTAGAAAATCCTTTAATCCTTCCAAATCCCACTCATATCTTTAAAATGTCCCTGAAAAGTCAAACACTGAGTAATTTTCTTTGCAGAATTGTCATGGCATCACACAAAATGTCCTTTGGTGCCATTGCTGGAATTGGAGTTACAGGTGAGATAATTCAGGGTCTGACTTGGTCTGGCATTTCCAGTCGGAATTCATTGAACAAGGGCTGAGCACCTACAAGGCACCCAACATGTGCAGGTCTGCAGGACACAGAGGGTATCAACTACTGTCCTGTTCTCAAGACGTGCTCATAACTTGCAACACAACACTTAATGAGAGGACTAAGGATAGGGAGAATAGTTATTTCTTTTGGTTTCTTGGCTTGTGGGGCAGATGGCCCAGTGAGTTTATGGTCTTTTCAAAATATAAGGGTCAAGAAAATGAGCCCTGGGAAACTCAATCAGAATAGAAAGTAGGACCTGTGGGCTTCTAGCTCAGCACCTTTGTAAACCTTCCATAAATGCTAGTTCCTTTCTATCTCAACATATATGCCCTTCTCACTCTTGTCTCTACATCACACAAATGTATGACCTTTAAACCCTAACCTCATCTGGTCTATGACCTATGCGTTATGCATGAGGTTTATTTTTAAAGCACATACTTTAACTGTGTCCAAAGTATAAATAGATTTCCACATACCAATTCCTGCCAACAGAGTGTAAGTCGTTTCTTATCTAAAGTGGTTTGGTTCAACATCTTGGGCTTCTTTTCTGCTTCAGAGATAAAGGCACTATAAAAGAAGAATAACAATTTTGAAACCTACTTAGTGAAAATCCATTTATATAATTCCAGAGATTTACAAATTCACTTTCTGCAATACAATGGAAAGCTGAGGAAGCCATAGAACCAAGATTTTTAATTTAGGATTAAGCAATGGCATTCCAACTTTTCTAAGAGATAAAATGAGAATTGGAAATGATGCCCAGATCCAACATTAGTTCTGGGAAATAAAAGTTTCTCCATGTTAGTTTTTTTCAGTACCTCTCAATTGTGATTGCTATTAAAATTCTTTTTTTTTTTTTTAAGACAAAGTCTTGCTTTGTCACCCTGGATAGAGTGTAGTGGTGTCATCATAGCTCACTACAACCTCAAATTTCTGGGCTCAAGTGATCCTCCTACTTCAGCCTCCTGAGTGGCTGGGACTGTAAGGCACACATCATCATGCCCAGCTAATTTTTTTTTCTACTTTTGGTAGAGACAGAGTCTTGCTCTTGCTCAGGCTAGTCTTGAACTTCTGACCTCAAGCAATCCTCCTGCCTTGGCCTCCCAGAGTGCCTGGATTACAGGTTTGAGACCAATCTCTAAAATTCTTAACAAAGAACACAATAATGCAGTTTTCCTTCATCTTAACACACACCAAAAGTTTCCAAAAAGTTGTATGTAAAGCAAATATTTTAGACTCCATACTGAGATATGTCCCCACATTTTGAAAACCATACAAAGGACTGAATAGAAACATGTTTTGGAAATGAAGTTAAAAATGTTTTCAATAGGAAAACAGTAAAGATTATGACTACAATTCAAGAAGAAGAAATATAAGCAGCCAAAAAACTTGAGGAAATAAGATATTGTCCTCATTAGTGACAACTTAAATGCCAATTAAAATCAGTACCATTTCACTCATAAGAAATGAGTAACATTCAAGTTTGGTGAAGATGTAGGGAGATAGTTACTCTTCTATACTATTGTTTCTGAGTGTGATTTGTTACAATGTTTTAGAGTCTATTAGATAGCACCTATCAAAATTTAACTATGTACATAATTTGACTCAAAAATTATACTAGATTTCTTGTCCTTCAAAAATAACTGAACAATTTGGCAAGAATAAATGTGCACAATAATGTCTATTGTAGCACTGTTTACAGTAGCAAAATAAAGGGCCAGTTAAATATGTCACTAGGGACTAGTTAAATATACATGACACATCCATGCAATTGAATATTGAGGATGTCTGTTACATGCTCCTATAGAGAGATGCCTGTGATATATTATTGAGTGAAAAAGCAACCTGCTTAGCAAAATGTGAGATATCACTTGTGAAGAAATATGGTATTTTTATGAGTGTGTATACATTGAGGGTGTGTGTTTGCAAATCCACAGAAAATTCCAGCAGGATGAATAAAACTCTTCTCTCTGGAGAGTAGGATTGGAGAGAGAATTGAGACAAATGCTTCTACTTGATACATTTCTTTCTTTTTTTATGATGAGCATGCAGTCCTTCTGTGATGAAAACATCAATTATAAAGGAAAAGAAAAGGAAAATCTAAGATGCCACACCTCCCAGTGAGAGGAAAGAAAGATCCCATACCAGGATCTAACTGCCTGCTGGCAGTTAGAAACCTCACCAGAAATTCTCTCTGGGCATATTAATAAAGTTACATTTTCTCTTAATTTTTTAAAAGAATAAGAAGGCTTATATTTTGAGGAAGGAGTCTCATTGGCCATTCTGCCTTTCCTAGGGGCGCAAGGAATTCCTTTCCACTCTCCAAAATGGATCAGTGCAGGTAGAAGTGGCTGATGCTTCTGATCACTCTCTTTTCCCCACAGGGGAAAATAATCAGTTTCCCTATCAACAGTGGATTAAGCAACCACAGCACATGCTTCTGTTCATTCTCCATCTTTAGGCCCAATATTCCTGCTGGCTGTGGCAGCCTCCTTACCTCCATGTGGCCAGTGGCCTGTCCCTGCTGGGGGAAGCTCTGTAAGTCCAACTGCTCACCTACAAACAGGTGTGGGGAGCAGGAAGCCCCTCCTGACCTCCCATCCAAGCTGAGTTCTTAAATCCAACTTTCCCAAATATAAAACTAACATTTTGATCTCTGCCTGGCCCTCATAAATATTTTTTCATTTGGTTGTAAACTTGAAGAAAAAGGGGCATGATTAATTATCACCCCAAGTAACGCCATGACATAGAAAAGTTACTGAGCTATTAATTTGCTCACAGTCTCTAAAAATATGACATTATGAAGCATTTTAAAGCCACTTAAAGAGAATTGCAGGTGGTACTTAGCTCACAACAGGAGTAGCACTAATATATATATAGCTTTTATAATGAAAAACAGAAAAGAAATAAAGATGGAAAAACTGCCCTATTTATGTCTTTGCTTTCTTGTGTGTGTGTGTGTGTGTGTGTGTGTATAAATTAAAAACGGTTGGATAGTTGAGAAATTGGGAAAGACAGAATTTATAAAGCAGAACACCAGGATTTAGCTGTTCCCTGTCTACTGGATCCTGTATTCCATCAAATTAATTTCCATTCTCTTTTCATGAGTCCCACCATAACAATCTCATTTTTGGGCAAATCTCAGCCTGGTTAACTTCAAGAGTTGGTCCCGATTACTTCCTTATGGGGTCAGCAGCCTCTCAGCTGATGCTCAGTGAGTCCCACCTCCTGCCATTCATGCCACTGAGTAATCCCCTCCTGGTGAATGTGGCCTGGACCTAGTGACTCTCCTCTAACAGAATAGTCAAGAATGATGGGGTGTCACTTCCAAGACTAGGTCATGAAAGACTGTGACTTCCATTTGGTGGGCATGTTCTCTCTGCCGCTTCTTGCTTGCTTGCTGTGAGGAAGGTAGCTGGCACACGCAGTGAGGGCAGCTTGGAGAGGCCCACGTGCAAGGAATCTAAGGTGGCCTCTGACCGACAGCTAGCAAGGACCTGAAGTCCTCAGTCTGACAGCCCACGAAGAATCTAACTCTGCAAATAACTGTGTGAGTGGTCTTGGGAGTGAATCCTTCCCAGTTGGGCCTTGATATGACTGCAGCCCCAGTCAATGTCTTGATTGTGGTCAGAGAGAGGCCCCCATCCAAAGACCCAGCTGAGCCACACCTGCATTCCTGACTCACAGAAACTGGTGGATAATAAATATTGCGGTAAGCCACTGAGTTTTAAAGAACTTTGTTACTCAGTAATAGGTAACTATCTGCCCTATTTTTGATCTTTTCTTATATTATCTATCTCCTGGAATACAGTTATTAATTGGTGCTTATGGGTGTGTTTATATGAAACATTCTATTAAATAGTGTCAGAGTGCAGAAAGCAATTCCCCAAAATAGGGTGCTCCAGCATGCTGAGTTCTGCAACAGTTAAAGGCTTCAGAAATAAGCCTCGGAACCAAGGTCTCTCTTGGACCTTTCCCACATCTTCTTGTCTCTCTGATCTTCTTTTCTGAAGCATCAGGAGGGACTCTCTGGACTCTCTGGAATGTCCTATCTAACTAAGAAAGCTTAAATACCATTGTCTTAAGACTCCCTCCCTAGAGATTTCATCAAATAACTAGGAAAGATCAACCACTGAAGAAGAAAGAGATGGGCATCATCACCACACCCAGACAGATTTTCCATCCATTCTTCCTAGGGCAGCTCCAAGAGATCAGCTGGACTCAATCTGCATAATAAGACAATTTTGTTCCTGTGCAGCTCCAGCCCTCGCCATCCCATAATGTCTGCCTCCCACCTTCCTCCCGGTGCATTCATCCTCCCCAATAATAATTCTCCCTAAAAATACTGTCCCTCAAAAAAATTATTTTCATTCCCCACCTCTCCCTCCCTCTTCTATGTCACTGTACCACCCTGGGTAATTGCATAATCACTCTGTGATAGATGGAATGGATGGAAAATCTGTCTGGGCGTGGTGATGACCCCCCATCTCTTTCTTCTTCTGTGGATGATCTTTCCTGGTTATTTGATGACATCTCCAGGGAGGGAGTCTTAAGACAATTGCATTAAAGCTTTCTTAGTTAGGATAGAAAATCTCAGAGAGTCCCTCCTGATGCTTCAGAAAAGAAGATCAGAGAGACAGGGAGGTGTGGGAAAGGTCAGAGAGAAATCTTAGTTCTGAGGCTTATTTCTGAGGCCTTTAACTGTTGGGAATTATTAATAGTTTTGTTCGCCTTTTCTCCTATCAATCTGCCTTTTGTCAGTTGAATTTTAGCAAACCTTCAGAGTGTGAAGGGAAAGTTTCCCATTGGCCCTTATAAGAATATTTGATACAACTTATCCATCTAATGGTCAAAGAGTTACTGAGTATCTACCAAATGCAAAAGCGTCATGCTGGTGTGAGATTAAATAATTCAGACTTAAAGCTGTTAGAACATTAAATATTCTCAGCCTTGAGAAGAACATGGCTATGTGGCCTGAGTCATATATCATGCAATTGCAACTTCTACTTTTTCCTGAAAAAGATTAGGAATGACCAAGCAGCACCAGGGATAAGATGTCCTCAGAACATTATTCTTCCTCATGAAATAGCAAGCTGTACTAATAAAACTGCTGCAATGTATGCACTGCCTTGTATAGAAATTATTGCCACCCTGCTATAACTGTTTCTGCCTATATGAGTGAAACTTTAGCTTCCCCACTTGGGGTACTGACCCCCATCCCTTTGGTGTCTGTATGTCCTGGGTGGTCATCCTCAAGCTTTGTGCTTGAATAAACTCTATACTAAATCATGTTTTATGAATCTCATTATTTAAGGTTGACACTAGGCACTAATACTACTAATATTTTTCTTTTTTCACAAATAATTTCTGCAGTAAGTCTTTCTTTTCTCTTTCCCACCTTTGGTTTATGTTTTAGTTGTTTAAGTGTCAGAAAGCAGTAGTTAGCTCATAAGTACCAGCTAAATTACTGAACAAAATGAAGATGGATATAACACGATAAAATGCCCAGCTGAATGCATGTGAAATTGACTATTCTCTCAAGGTAGTTAAAAGCTAATTCCATAGAAGCTCATGTTTGCCTATGCCAACCGCCTCTCCCAGTACCTGCTTTGACTGATGAAGTCACTGAGCACTGTTTTCATCTTCTCTTCCGGTGCCTCCTCTGAAATCTTGATTAATTCTTTCACTTCTTCTATACTTTCTTCCTGAAAGCAAACCACAAGGATGGAGAGGTGAAGGGTTGGAATGAAACATGTGTAGAGATACTGATTGTAACACCCCAGAAATAATATTTAGCAAATTTTGTTTTGGAAATGAAGGAAGATTTCCTTCATTTTCTTATGCTTTAGCTGAAAAATGCTACTGCATTCTAACTTTGGACCTTCCTTTTCTCATGTGGAGTTGGTCTAGAGACAAGTCTTCTCCTATATTGTTCAAACTCATTTTCTGTTACAAATCCATTCACTAACTGGGTACTGTTTATTTAGAGTCTACCCTCTGGGGAAAGCTTATGTCATGGGGAATATCTAACAATGTAGATTAATTAGATACAATTACCAAAAACTACAAAAGCAATGTTCAAATCAATTTGTTATATAGGAATATAATCATATTGAATAAACTCTGAGATTAAAGGACTACCCATTCTTCTAATATATGAATTTTGGCCAAGGAATGGTGCAGGATGTATATGGCAATGACTATACACATGTATACTTAAGAATTTCACTTTTCCTTTTGGGCCTAAATTCTAAAATTCCATTCAGTGGCTTGGAGAAAAATGCTGCCCAAGGGGACCTGTACATGCTGCTACTGCTTTAACAGAATTTACAAAAACTATATTCTCTGCCACATGCCAAAGTCTGGTGCCTGGAGACATATGTTCCCCTCTTTATACTTTCACTGCAAGAGCAGGCAACATTGTGGAGTGGTTAAGGATTTGGGCTCTGGGGTCAGACTGCCTTGGTTCAAATCCAGACTCTACCACTTACAAGTAAACTATCCCCTTTATGATCAGTTTCCTCATCTATAAAATGGGATAATAATAGTATCCAACTACAACGCTGTAGGGGGTGCAAACATCTTCAAACAGTGCTTGGTGGTTAGTAAACATTCAATCCTGTCTATCACAGTGATTGGCTGTGATATGCTAAGCATGACACTGAGAAAGGAATTAGAAATGAGAGCTATCATGGCCTCTAGGAAAAATTCTTATTTGTTTTGTCAGGACTCTTGGAGATACACTATCTGTTCTGTCTGTTCTCTCTGAAGGAGAGGCAAGACCAACCTTACAAAGAGAGTCTGTGGTTTCCACATGGTGTGACCCTAGACCAGGCCTTCCCAACCACTTTCAGGAGGGATAAGACAAGGGTTGCCTGGTGAGGTGTGTGTGGTAGAGAGTAGAGGACACTCCCCACAAGATGTGTGGGAGGAGGAGGGAAGAAGGGCTCACAAAGTGGAGGGGCAAGGCACCAAAGAACTGGAGTTCCCAACTTTTCTCTCCTCCCCAGGGGTCAGGTGGGAGGACCTAGCATTTGTTGCGTATTGGCACTATTTTAAACACTTTCACACATTCAATTCCCCACATAATTATTTAACTCTTCTCAGCTTCCAGGTGTTATGCTAAATGCCATAGAAACTGTGGGAAATAGTTATTGAACAAATAAACACACAAATAAATTGAAATTACAGTAAGATGTCCAAAGGCAAAGAGCAGAGTGTTATGGGAGAGGATAAGGGGAGAATGGGGTCAGAAGGCTTCTCTGAGGAAGTGCTTTAAACTGAGCCCTGGAGGTTGACTGGGCACCACAGGAGGGGAACGGAGGGAAGAGCAGCCCAGGTGGAGGGAACAGCATGGTGGTGGCTTTGAAGCTTCAGAGAACTTGGTTTCTTCAAGAAACTGGAAGGAGACCAGAGTGGTTGGAATAAAGTAAGGGAAGAAGAGCATGGGAGAGATGGAGCTATCAACAAGGCAGGGCTTGATCTTATACAGAACTGTCCCCCATCCTAGGGACTTAGGATTTTATATTAATTGAAGCCAGAAGCTATCAATTTTGTGAGAAAGACATCAATCTCCTGCCCTTTGGAGATTAGGAAATCAGCGTACACCTAGGGCCTATAAGAATAAGAAGCAGAGTAGGTGTGTGAATTTAGATAGCTTGATTTAGAGTCCAGGGATTTTGCAAAATGTACCCTCATTCCCCTGGACCCACATGGTAGGATCCATGTGCCTTCCAAATGCAGCGGCCTCAATTCATTTGTATATAAACTGAGGTCAAGCTCCTCTACCAGGTGGATAAAAAAGTCTCTTTTGCTCCCAGCTTCCCAATAGTCAAAGCCATCACCTGTCAGAGTCACCTACCAGGAGGTCCGCCATTTTCTCCAGCATGTTAGACCAGTGCAGCCTGAATGTCTGGTCTCCCCAAGAACTGGCGAAATAGACACAAGGCTTCTTAGCGTCGAATGGCAAATAGTTGTAATTCCTATGAAAACACATTAGGTCTGGAAGTTAGTTGGCAGTCAGTGTTTCTCAGGTAATCACAGTCATATATTCATGATTTGTATGTGCTGGATCGGATGGGAGAGGATTGGTGAAAAGAGTATCAAACTATTGACACCATCTTTAGACTGTAGTTAGGGACTTGCGAGAAATGAACAACAGTATGTGTCTACAATGGAGACGTATTCACAGCTACCATCAGACTCAGGAAAAAAGTCCAGAAATGATTACCAGAGGGCATGATGTATCAGGCAAGCCTTCTTCAAGGATGGTTTTAAATGGGAGAGGAAGGAAACAAGGAAAATTGACTTTTTTAAAGTATCTACATGCCAGGAACATGTAAAAATCAAGCGAGATAATGTGAATGCATTTGTAAACTGAAATTGCTAGAGAAATGTAAGAGAATAATAATATTATTAATGACAGTGGAGGCATATGTCCCAAACTAAACTCCAGCATTCCATGGCTTGCCATTCATCCATTCTTTCTTCCAGCCATTTTTCCATCCACTCGTGTATTCATCCATCCTCCCACCCAACCATCCTTCCTTCCATTCATCTATCCATGCATCCTTCCTTCCATCTATCCTTCTATCCATCCACCATTGTTTCATCCATCCATCCTTCCATCCATTCAGCCATTCATCCTTCTATCCACCCATTCAATATTTATTGTTGCCAGGCCTTGGTACTAATAATGCAGAGGACTCACTTGGCTAGGAAGGGACAAGAGAGGTAGCAAAGTCGCTAAAAGGGGAAGCTGTGGAGCCAAAGGGAATGTTTGAGGGTGGCAGTTGGAAATGCTTAAATGCTGATGAGAAGGAGATAGTTAAGAGGGGGATATGGAAGACAGAAAAGAAGAAGCTAATTTGTAAATTTTGTTTCCCAAGGAGGAAGGGGATGGGCATGGAGGCAAGTAAGGTGAGAGAAGTGTGACAAAAATTTGAGAAGCTCCCTAATGACAGCTATTGTCTTGACTAGGTTTTCCCCAAACACTTTGTAATTTCCTCACAAACACCTGGGCTGTGAGATGAGCACTGTTGAAGGAAAGACAAAGCAAAGTTCTTAGAATTGTTGTGATGGGACAGGTGGCCCCAATAATGTGGACCATGTTTGGAGCAATAAGCCTATAGAAAGCAGGAGGAAGGGAGGAAGGGGGATGGTGGAGAGAGGGGGAGAGAGAGAGAGAGAGAGAGAAACAAGCTTTGTTTTCATTCCAAAAAGCTAAAGAGAGCTTCAGCCTAAAAGAATGGGTGATTGTTGTTTATTTTTAGCTCTTCCACCCAAATTTCTTTTGAAAGAGACAATAAAATTAGCAAAGGTGCCCCATGGTCTCTTCTGCAGAAAATAAACCAGCAGGTGTTTACTCGGAAAAGAAGCCAAATAAGTTCTTGGCAGAAAATGAGGTTGTTATTACAGTAGCAGAACAACAAGAAAATTTAGAAACCAAACTTCTCTCTTTATTTTATCTATTTTTAAATTATTGCACTGAGAATCTTACAATGAAATATATTCCTACCCAATATTGTACTTTACCCCAGGGTTCCTTTGGTTTGGGTCATTTTGTGCTAATGATGTTTGAGGCCTTTGTGTCTTTGGTTCTCAGGGTCCTGCTAGTCATACTGGGTCTGTATAGACCAGCATCCAGATGTTGTGGCTTCTTAGGCAAACTGCAGTGCAGGCAGAGGGCAGCAGATGGGAGGGTGCCATGCTGCCAGTGGAAAGAGGAGACTGCCAGTCTGAATGGCTGTCCTGACACAGGACTAACCAGGCAAGGGTAGGCCTGGAATCTGAACATGATGACCTGCCATTGGATGTCCTCTGCTCCAATCTCATTCCTGAGCTCCAGCCCCATACTTAAATTGTATGCAAATACAGGCCAGGTATGGTGGTTCACGCCTGTAATTCCAGCACTTTGAGAGGCCGAGGTGGGAGGATCACTTGAGGCCAGGAGTTCAAGACTAGCCTGGGCAACATAGTGGGTCCCCATCTCTGCAAAAAAATTTAAAAATTTAGCCGGGCATGGTGGTGCATGCCTGTAGTCCCAGCTACTTGGAAGGCTGAGGCAGGAGGATCACTCCTCCCAGGAGTTCAAGGTTGCAGTGAGCTATAGTTGTGCCACTGCACTCTAGCCTGGGTGACAGAGCAAGACCCTGTCTCAAAATAATTAAGAGAACAGTTGACAACTTTCTAGTTTGTGGCTTGGAGGACTCAGAGAATGGTGGGATCAGTAGATGGTACAGGGAAGATAAGAGAAGAAGAAAAGTTGTCTGTGAAGACAGCAAGCCTGGTGAGGGACTTGTGGGACGCCCCCGTGGAGGTGTTCAGATCTGCTGCCCAGGAAAAAGCTGTCTGGGGAAATAGATTTGTGAGTCTCTGTTATCCTAACAGATCCTACAGTTCAGTTCACAGAGGGTATCTAGACCAAGAAGTGCAGAGAGATTGAGGAACATAGTGAGGTGGCCTTGTAGGGTACAAGTAACATCTCTGGACTCCATTCTCCACACATGCAAAATGGGGACAGAAATGTGCTATTATGAAAATCCAGTAAGATCATGTATATTTTACACATAGCACAAGATTTATCAATAGAAGACTCTCACTACATGTGGCTTTCCCTTCTTCTCATAAATCACTTGATGACTGCTTGACACCACTTTTAAAAACAATATTCTGCAATTTTATTTCTCTTTGCAGATGGAAAATTTACATGGATTAAAGAAGATCAGAGAGGGTGCATTTGGTGCCCTAGCCGCTTTCTGAAATGATCTTTTGTGGTGTCTGACAATTGTTTTTTGAGTTCTTCAGTTTGCAAATGACTGTGGCAAGAATAAGACAAGAAATGATGTATTCAGTATCCCACCAAACTGAGTTTACATAATAGCACAGAACCCAGATAAATATAATAACTGTTAATAGGTTTGAGATTGAAATTTTAAATTCTGACCATCCTACCTTGTTATGCTTCAAAGTTATAGAATCATCATCATCATCGCTGCCCTTAAATGAATTACCTGGGTTTGTCATTTGGGAAGTGTCATGTTACTAAGGATCTAGTTGAGTACTACTAACCCTATTGTCCCTGTTGACACCTTGCTGTCATAAAATAAAATTTGTGTTTCTGATTTTAGGGAAGAACTGAACGAGACAATCCCAGAATTGGGCCACATCCCACCATCACAATCCTTGGCTGTTCTCCCCTGCTGGGTCTCCTACCTGTTCCCTTCCGTCACCAGCGGCTTCTCTGGGTGAGTGGTGGAGGCCATAGGGAGGGCAACATCATGGGCTGCCTCCTCTCGTCCTTCATGCAGCAGTGGAAGGTCTTCCTCAACTAATTCAGCTGACTTCTTCCTACTCCCATGATGGGACCCTCCATCAATCAGGTTTCCAAAATTACCTGCAGAGGCAGTGGCAAGGGGAGGGGGGCCAGGTGTCAGCAAGTAGAATCAGTCCACTTGGCATAAAGGATCCAAGCTCACGTTCTCCCAAGACAAGGAAATAAAATCTCACCATGAAGGTGGAAAGAGCAACAGTCAGACCAAAGAAATAAGATGGACAATGACAATGAGCTATCATCTCTACTTACCTTATTTTCTCTTCAGTAAAAACTACACAAATTACGAATTAGAAAATACAGCCAAGTCAAAAAGAAAAGAGTCACTAGAAATCACAAAACTCAGCTATAGCCCCCCCCTTTTTTTTAACATTTTAGTGTGCATCCTTCCAAAACTTCTTAGAGATGTTGGTAAAGAATCATTGTAGACTTGTTATTTTGTAATCCACCTTTTTAACTCAGTAAAATATCATGAACATCTTTCCAAACCTGCTTCTTCTCTAAAAAGAGACTTCTTATCTAAGTCCCCAAAGACAGTATCATTTTGGGGGGGAGGGGGGAGAGAGAGAGAGAGGGAACATGTGGGGGCAAATAGGAGAGTTTTGTGCTACAAATATCATTGTATAAAAATAGATACCCCTGGAGGTATATCAATATCATTGACCTGTAAGTTTTACAATCTGATTTTCAAATACTTAAAAATATTAAGATGAACATTTACCTCTTTTGAGAGGAGCCCCCAAAGCAGCCATGTTCTAGAGCTGGTCAACTTTGTTTAAAGCAAAAAAGGCCCAGGATCAAAAGCCTGTGACCATGAAGACTCCTTAACTTGGGGAGCCTTCCTAACTCTTCCCCATTGGACTCCTTCCCTGGGCCTCTCTTCTCCTTTCCAGGCAGGCTGGCTGCCACTACTCTGCATTCTTGCAGTAGATGCTATTGGTGTCCTCCTCAGCCATTTACCGGGAAGGGACACCCAACCCCCAGCTGCTGAGATGGCTGCAAACAGCTCACAAGAGCCACCTTGCCTGGAGAGCTGCCTTCTGTGATGGAGACTGCCTCTCCCTGGAAGATCACAAGGCCCCTACCTGTGCCTGAAGTCACTCACTGCTCATATAGGGATGTAAACACCCAGCCCCCTTGGCTTGGAGGGGAACCAAGTCTGGGGTGCCACTCATGCTCCAGAGCTCTCCACAGGGCCAGGTTAGGCTGTGGCTAGTCCCCCTGCCCTGGGAGACCTCCTGTGTTCCTTTCGCCCTCTTGTACTGAGAGCACGCCATCAACACCTCGCTTGGACAAGAATCCCTCAGGCTTTGTTTCTGGGGACCTGGCTTAGACAGGTCCCTAACACCACGTGCATATGTCTATCACTCCTCTACCACCTCATTTTCAAATAGTCTACTTAGATGTCTGTAAATGTCTTGAGGATGGAAACAGTATCTTGCTAATATTTGTGTCTCCACTGGTCATGGCACAAATGCAGGGTCTTGATTCACCTTTGGTAAATCAATGACCTCAATGTGTTAACATGTCCATAAGAGTCTTTCTCCCCAGTCTTGTTTCAACTTATTCTCTCCTTCCCTTCTCCATTACTCCTACTGTAGGAGTAATAACAAGACCCAAGGAGGCATAATGGCATCCTAGAAAGAGGAGGAGATTATGGAGGTAGGTCTTTCCTGCTCACATTCTCCAGCTGTGTAAGCTGGATGGTTATTCAACCTCTCTGGACATCCATTATGGCCGAAACCATGGAATTGTGGCAAATCAATCACAAAGCCAGAGCATGATAGCAGAGGAGGAGGATAGTTAGGGGGTGTTTGTAACAGCACAACAGGGAAGAGGTGTGAGGCAACTGGAAGTGTGTAAAGGGATGAACCACGTGGTCTGAGATGGACAGAGAGGGAAGTGAAACAGAAGAAAGGATTGGGTAGATTCATGAGTAAATGGAAGATAGGGTAAAGAAGGATGGAGGTTGGGGGAGGGGAGATAACAGGCTGTTGGAGAGCAGGAGTTCAGAGGTGAGGGTCCCCGTATGCTAGCTCACTGCCATCCTGCAGAACCCAGTCCACCAAGAGACTTCGCCGCCTATTGGCAAGTTCTTCCTTAGACTCCAAATCGCCCATTTTTCACATCTGCCCTTGTATTCTTGATCCCACCCTGGACCCCCTTCCTCCTCTCTAGCTGTTAGATGCTTGAAGCCAGCCACCAGCTCTCTCTCTGTCCCCACCCCAAACCTCTCTTCTTAGAGCTGACCCTTCCAGCTTCCTCTGCCTTCCCTATAAAGACGCAAGTTCCCTAAATGTATCTCCACCAGGTCATGCAGCCCTGAGATTCTGTGGCAGGCCTCTAGTTGGATGGCTCAAAAGGGCTGGATTCCATTCCCATTTCCTTCTGCTCTGTCGAAAGAGCTGCTTCAATGTGCATGAAGACCTTCTCTGATGGAATGCTCTTTCTTGGAATGGTTTCTCCAGCTGCACCACAGCCCAGAAAGATTGTTGGGAGTTGTAATAATAATATCTTTTATATACATGGCACTTTGTATGCATTAACTCATTAAACTTTTGCAACGACTCCATGAGGCATTATTATTATTCTTATTTTACAGATGAAGAAAATGAGACCCAGATAAATTAAATGAGCCCAGGGTAATGGAACCACAATCAGCACTCCAGATCTGTCTGAATCCATAACTATACTCTCATTTTTTTAAAGTGTGAAAATAAATCCATCCCTTATATATTGACACAAGGGTAGACAAGGAATTGTTCATTTCTTTCTGAGGTGCAAACCATTGCTAGAGTGTTATCACTTTCATGTAAGGGACTAATTCATTTATTCAAGAAATAGGTCTTTAAGTCCATACTATGTGCCATGCTCTGTGCTGTCTGCACTTACCAATAGAAACCTCAAAGCTGATGGGTTTATCTCCAATCTTCCGATCAATCATGGTAGCTTCAAAAAATGCTCCAAAGAGTAAAAATTCCTCCTGTTTTTCTGGTGCAATCTACAGAATGAAAAAAAAAATTACTAGATAGAACTGGATTTTTCTCACCAAGAAGCTGATTTTAGTTATGCTGACTTTGTCCAGCATAATTTATAGGCATCTGAGTTTCTGTTTCTGTCTGAAAAGGCCCAGCATTTCCCAGATAATCAGACAGGAGAGAATCAGGACCCACCAACTGCAAATCCAAGTTCAGCTATTTATCTAGAATGATGTGGTCTCAACCTCCTGAGCTTCTACCTTAAAACAAAATCTCCTTCTAGTTTAACAAATAAGCTTGGCATGTATATCTTTCTAAGACCCTGCTGGTCAAACACAGGCTTGGGATGAACTTCTGGTGATCAGGCTTTTAGAAAGCAGAAGATCGAAGATGAATTACAGGATTAAATCCTTACACTTGAGCACAACTTTATGTCTTACACGGCTTGGTCACATACATCATGTTGTTTGTTCCTCCTAACAACCTTTGGAGGTCAAAATTTGGATCATACCCAATTTACAGATAAAGGAACTAAGGAAACTAAAGCTCGAGGTCGTCAAGTAACATCCCCAGGTACTCTGACCACAGACCCACTGTTCTTTGTGCTTTGTTTTTTGTTAATTAATTATTTATTTATTTTTAGAGACAGAATCTCATTCTGTCACCCAGGCAGGAGTATAGTGGTACAATCTTAGCTCACTGTAAACTTGAACTCCTCGGCTCAAGTGATTCTCCGGCCTCAGCCTCCTGAGTAATTGGGAGTACAGGCAAGTGACACCACACCTGGTTAATTTTTATTTTTTTAGATGGGGTCTCACTATGTTGCCCAGGCTGGTCTTGAACTCCTGATCTCAAGCAATTCTCCCACCTTGACATCCCAAAGTGCTTGGATTAGAGCATGAGCCACCACGCCTGGCCCCTGTGCACTTTCAACTAGAACATGTGTTAACCCAATGCCTTGGGGCTAACCGGAAGTCAAACCACCAAATAAGCAAGCCTGGAGGAAAGGGGCAGAGGGTTAGGCACATAATTAAGTGTTGGCAACCCACAGGCATCCGGGGTGGGCTATGTGCACTGTGGTTGCCACTGTGAGGGATGCAGAGCTCCCAGAATCACAGGTGCCTCTAAATGGAAAATGGTCTTAGGTTCATCTGCTCCTCCTTCTACATTTTACCTGAATAAAGTAAAGCTCAGAGAGACTAAGGGGCAAGGTCACACAGCAAGCTAACGTCGTCTAAGACTTGAGGTCTGGTTTCCAGCAAGGCTGCCTTCCCAAGGCACCTACAGTCTGGAAATTGGACCATATAGCAGCTCATAAGACAGGAGCCATCACAAGGGAATACACAATTATTTGAAAATGACGCTTATTGATGTGGAAGAGGCTGATGTTTTAGGGAGCAGATGTTTCAGGACACAGTGACACAGCATCACATTTCTGGTGAAGAGGTTGAGTGAGCTGGAGCCATTCGGTGTGTGCTTCCTGGTTTTGTGATTGGATTTATTACTTAAAACTCTGCAGAGAAGTCAGTAAGGTTAATCTAAGGAAATAAAGCAGTTGGCCCCAGGGATCAAAAGCCCCACTGAGTCAAGAGCCCTAACCCATGTCCCTCAGAGACCCAAAGGGTTCCTGCATCATTAGGCAACAGGTGACCCCTGCCTTCACACAGGAGCCTCCTGGGTGCTGGCAGCCCCAGGAAATATTTCTATTGACCAGAAAATGTCACACAGGTTGGGGCTCAGTGCTGGATCTCACTCACAGAGCACACACCCTCCTACTGCACCCACTGGCTATAAATTAGCCTCTTATCTCACCTTCTTGAAGCTGAATTTACTCTCTAGGAGGAGGTGAAAAGCTACCCAGAGACCTGGAGGGAGAGTAAGCTATGTAGCTCACAAGAGGGACCTCAGGTTCCACAGCCAGGAAAAACCCTTCTTCAACTCTTAACCTTGCCACTTCCAAGCTGGTTGACTTTGGGCAAGTCACGTCCAGTCTCTGGGTGTCACTTTCCTTGTCTGTGAAATAGGCCTTCATAAATAGGGTCCACAGGGAGGAGAGGCAGCAGAATTATCACTTGTGCGGAGCTCCTAGTAAAAAGCCTACAAATATAAACCCCATCGACGGTAGTCATGACGCGTGCTTTGACAGGTTAGAACGGATGTCTTACTCCCACTCATCCTTCCAGGTCCAGCTCCAGTGCTTCTCCCTTCTGGAAGCACACTGTGATTCCTCAAGCTGGGAAAATGATGACAGCTAATGTCTACTGACCTCTTATTATGTGCCAGATGCGATTAAGGATTTTACCTGCATTATCCGATGTGATTCTCACAAGTATACTAGGAAGGGGGCATTTTCATTACACCCACTTACAGATGATGACACTGCAGTCCAGTGAGAGATGAAGATATCTATTCAAAGTTACTAAACATGGCTAATGTCTAATTATTGAGCATTTACTATGTGCCAGGCTATATTCTAAGCATTTTGCATATATTAATTCATTAAATCCTCATTGAGAGGTTATGATGTAGGAGATTATTATTGGAAATAAGCATAAGGCAAGTAAATCCCTTGCCCAAAGATTCAAGCAGAGAGGCCATTTCCCCAAAAGCCAGGCGGTAACCACTGTACTACACTGCCAGTATTTAAATCCAACTGTCTTACTTGGGGGCTCAACATTTTAATCATTATATTTCACTCACTCCAGGAAATAACAGTGCTTTATCTGTGCCTCCTTAATGCACTTATCACTTTCTTCTTCCTGTAACATTTATTTTTTGTGCCTTACCTCTCTTCTATACCATAAATTCCATAGACTTAGGTTCTATTTTTATTCTTACCAATGTTGAAGATGATGTTTAAACAAGAAGCTACTCAAATTTAAAAATGAACCTATTTTTTTACACTGGCTGCGCTCTGAGAAAGTTTGGCACAGGAAAGACAAGCTTTGATGGTGACGATAAGGGTGAGTTGGAAAAACCAGCATCATGGGATTCCTTGATTGTCCAGATGTGCAGTGAGGGCATGGCTGCAGCTGGGGAGATCAGAGCTTTAAGCCAAGAGTGGCTAAAAAATAAGAAGAAGCTGCAAGGAAGGGCATCACCATGTTGGTGAGGACAAGCTCTCAGCTGTTCAGGTGTGGGGAAGATAAAAGCCCAGTGTGATGGCTTTAAAATATGTCCAAAAATTCTTGACTAGTCCTCCCCTCAAAAAGTGAAACCTAATTCCCTTCCCTTTGTGTGTGCACTGGACTATGATTCATTTCTAATAAGTAGAACATAGCAGAAATGTCGGTACATGACTTCTGTGGCCAGGTCATGAAAGACAGTGTCAGCCTTGCTTCCTCTTGGATCACTTGCTCAGGGGAAGACCAGCTGCCACGTCATAAGGACACTCAAGCAGCCTGTGGAAGGATCCACATGGTGAGGAACTGAGGCCTCCTGCCAAGAGCCAACAGGAAATGAAGGCCTTCTGCCACGTGAGGGAGCCATCTTGGAAGTGGATGCCCCAACCATAGTCAAACCTTCAGATGACTACAGCCCTGCCAACATCTTGACTGAAACTTCATGGGGGATCCTGAGGCTGAACCACTGAACTAAGCTATTCCCAAATTCCTTATCCACAAAGAAAATAAATGTTTGTTCTTTAAGTGGCTAAATTTTGAGATAAATTGTTACACAGCAATGGATAACTAATACCCAACAAGGAACTAGCCATAAAGAAGAAGCCAAGATGAAGAGGTAAGATGGACAGAGATAGGATTTGAACGATGTCTAGATTTTTCCTCCCTCCTGTCACCTTCTACACAGTAGCCACTATAGCCCCCTGGCCTGTAGACAAAGGTACTTTCTACCCCACATAAGTTCCCAGCCTCCCTTGCTTTCTGCTCGAATTTACTTCTTCAGGGAACCTCATCAGAGAATCTTAAAGATAGTGACTTGGGTTAAGAAAATCTCTTTCCAGCCTCTTTATATAAATTCTTGGTGATCTCTGTTTAGAAAAGAATAGCCAGCCTCAGCCCACAGCAGGAAAGATTAGCACAGGGATGGATGCAGGAGATATCAGCTTTCTAAGCTGCCCACAATTTCTGGTGAAATCCAAAGTCAAGTTTCCAAAGTTGGCCTATATTCTGAAGAAATACCCCCAAACACCTGTGAAGACAATGCCCATTCTCCAATTCTAGCCACAACAAACAGGCAGCACACATTTCCAGAGAATATTTCTCAATACAGTACGTGAGTTCAGAGGGAAGAGCAGGGGAGGTCCACAAAATTCCCCAGGTCACAAACGACAGGGTAGAAAGCTCTGAATAGCTTCTCCCTGGTGGTGGGAGCAAAGCAGAGTCATATTGATAACAACAAGAAATGCATTGCCTGCTTACTCTGAATGTGCCAAGATTTTGCTAACCATTTTGCAACCATTTCCTTGTTTAACTCCCAGATGATGTCTATGATAGAGAGACTATTACTACCTCATTTTGTTGGTGAGTAAACTAAAACACAGAGAGGTGTTAGTATCAGAGCTGTAAGTAGAAGCAATCCCAAGATTTCCAACCCTATGTTCCGACCTCTCCCCTACACTGTCTCCTAAGATTTATTAGATCTCAGCAATACAAATACATGGCTCTTCCAAGGCTAAGGTGACTTGCCTGCTACTATCCTTTGGTCTGTCTAGTCTGTCCGGGGAATGAACAGCTCTGGGAGATCAACCGTCTTCTCCCTCTCCTACCTGAAATCATTGTCTGGTTGACCTGACAAACACTTTTAGAGGCAGAATTGGCCAAGCTGAGAGCTAGAATCTACCCACCTCCACTACTGACAAAACATGAAGGTCTTTCATTTGCTTACCTACAAATTATTGTTGCTAAACTAAATAGTTGAGAGGATATTCACTGTTTGTATTCCTCTTGAGATCTACTTCCCATTATATAGAACAGAGCTGGAAATTGTGAACATGCTCAGTGGTGAGTTATAAGCATTCCCTGGAGTTGTGATTTCTCCCCAGGTTTGGGGCAGGGAGGAGGTTTCTCAATTTCTTATATCCCAGCTTGTCTCCTACTCTTCCTCCTCTTCATCCCTCATCCTATGTTATCTCACATCCAATACATACTTGAAGAACGCAGCTAAACAGAGTTAGGCCACAGATTTAGTTTAGTCAATCTCCCACTGCCCGCTCCCACCAACTCTTCCGGGGCACATTTGTTTCTCTTTCCTTGGGTTTCCATGGGAATCCTTGTTTGGGGGACTCTGAAGGAATTATTCCATGAGCAGACGGCTGTGATGTGCGCACAAGGAGGCAGAGGATTTGCCCCAGAATGCAGGGCTGGGCCAGCTCAAATTTTGCAGGGGCAATAAGACATGTGCCGTCAAATGCCTTTGGGAGCCTGTGGCAGATGCCCTCTCTGCTCTGGCTCACCTCACAGGTAAGTACGGTACAGCAGTGCTCAGACCTACCTCCGGGGGCACGTCGAAAGGTTCCACCTCAACCTCGGTTGAGTTAGTTTTGTCTGAAGCCTGCTGGGATTTTCCATCGTCAGTTTTGTCAGCCTTGTCTTTATTTGAGCCTTTGGAGGATTTGGAGTCTTTGTCCTTGGAAGGCAACTTGAGCTCCTTCAGGGCCTTGGAAAATTTAGACTCTTGCGCCCCTCCCGAGAGGATTTCCACAGCAATTTCTACCAAGATTCTGCCCCTGAATGACACACCTTCCCCAAAGCCTTCGTTCAGTTCCTGGTAGTCATCCATCAGACTGTGGTTCCTGGGTGAGCCATACAGATTAATCCAGGCAGGTCCGAAGGTAGGCAGGAAGCCTAGAAAGACCCCAAGTTTTAGTTATCTGATTACGTTTTCAAGCTTATTATGGTTTTGCTTTATGGATGTTGCACACATTCATTTAAAATGTAGAATATGCAAAAAAGACAAAAATTTATAGAGTATACCACCACCAAAAGACAACCACGATTGTTATTTTGCTGTATTTCCTTCTTGTCTTTGTTTATACTTGATCATAGTTGTAATAATACCATAAATGCCAACCTGCATTCTGTTCTGTTTATTCATTCATCAAATGTTTATTGACTCCTAACATGTGCCAGGCACCACTAGACACTGAACATAGAGCCCAGTGGAGAACAAAATAGATACATTAAACAAATATTTATATTATAAACATTAGGAAGGAGATACACTTTGTGCTGCAAGAACAAATAATAGGCTGATGTAGCATGGGGAGGATTTAGACAGGCAGAGAGAGACAGAGAGAGAGAGAGAGTGTTCTGGACAGATGGAACAGTATTTGTCAGTTGCAAAGGAGCTTGAAGCTAGAGAGGATCTGTGTGAGGTGAGTTTGGAGAATTGGGTAGGTCTTGAGGTCTTGATAAGGATTTTAGTCTTTACCCTAAAAACTATGGAAATATTTGAAAGGGATTTAAGCAAAGACATGACATAACCACATCTCTCCTAAGATCACTCTGGCTGCTATGTTATAGCAGGGTTAGTTATGCTAACTGCTATGTTATGAAGGGTTATAAGAACAGATGTGGGAAAACTGGTTTGAAGGCCACTTCATCATCAAAATTAAGGACCAGTGGTTTGAACTAGAGTAAAGGTAGTGGAGATTGAGAGAAGTGAATGTTCCAAAGTATGTTCTAAACATAGAACAAAAAATACCTGGTGACTTTAACTTACTGCTGGCATAAGAATTCTCCCTTCTTAATACATAGTGTCTAAGAAAATACACAGTGTCTATGGAAACAACTCTTTGGCAACATAATGACAGACACTAGAGCATGGTGGTTCTGAAGATTGACTATATGGGTTCAAATCTCAGCTCTGGCACTTTCAAGCTATATGATCTTGGTCAAGTTTTTTAACTTCCCTGTGTCTCAGTTTCCTCATCTCTAAAATAGAGATGCTAACAGTACCTATCTCACCTGTCAGGATCAAAAGAGATAGTATCTACCAAGTGCTTTATACAGGCCCTTAGGAAGTATTCAAGAACATCAGCTATTATTATGAACAATTATATATCTCATAATTTGCTTAATGATTCCCCCACCAGTGACACTTAGATGTTTCAATGTATTTTACTGTTATCAATAGTTTCACGCCTACATGTTCCCTATGTTCACCCCTACTTCCATAGCCTGGGTTCTTTCCCTCCTTTGAGTAGAGTCGGAAAAGGAAGAATAGTGTGATAAAAGGGACAGAAAGAGTTTATGGTCCCTGACATCTACTTTTTAAACCACTGATACATATCTTCCTGAACACCATCAAAATGTTTCTGAAAAGTTGTGAATAAAATAAAGTTACATCTAATTGAGAAATTGTATAGATGGGCTGAGTGTGCTTTCTCCATAAAGCAATCCTGTAGCAAAAATGTTCATAGTATGAAGAATTAAATAATAGGTATTTACTAACTGAGGACTCTCTATGGTGTCACTCTGAACGGGACATAAAAAATGTATAAATCTTGTTCTCTGTTCTTGACATACGTTTAGCCTAATTAAGGAAAAATAATTATACTAATATATATTATTAGTATTAATATAATAATATTATATATTAATTAATAATATAATATATTTATATTATATTAATCTATAATATATATTATAGATTATATACATTGTATAATATATTATATATTATATACTATATAATATATTATAATTATACAATATAATGTAATTATATTTATATAATATATAATAATAATATATATTAATATAATAATTAATATATAATATTATATATTATTAGTATAATATATATTATACTAATATATATATTTCATCTATATGATATGTGATATTTTATGATATATTATACATGTATATTAATATATTATACATATATATTCATGTTTTGCATATATGTATATGTATGTGCTATTTTACATATATACACAAGTGTGCATACGTATGTATACAAAATATGTCAATGTGCAAAATATGCACAAATATATGATGCAGAGAAAGATTGCCTGAGGATTTAAAGGAAAGAGGGTTTCTTGGGCAATAGCTAAAGAATTACCACCTATTAATTTAGGTTTTGCAAATAAAGAGCCACCTAGTGGAAGCTGTTTACCTGGCCTCACCTGGCTGTCTCTGTGGGTGAGCTGGGGCTGCCCACTCCCTCCCTCGTTTACTGAGCGCAGAGTCATCTGCACCACCCTGCTGTTCCCATGTTCTCATTCTCCCATCAGTGGGTTGAGGACCCAGTTTTTTTTATTGTTCCATTTAAACATTTTTAGCTTGTAGGCCATACGAAAATATGTAACAGTCCAGATTTGGCCCATGGACCTTAGTTTTCCAATCTCTGATCTAATCTAAACACATTTTTCAATTAAGCGGGGACTGAGCAATGTCTGGGGAAGACGTGGGACCAGGACCAAGCCTCATGGCCCCCATAGCCTGGCCCTGTACTTTGACCAGCACCAACTCAAACCCCAGACCCCACCGAAGCATGGAAGGTGCCTAATACACTGCCTGCTCTAACCCCCTCCTTTTAAAGATGAGGGCCCTGAAGTGATCATTTTGAGACTTATTTCAAAGTCATACAGGTGAGATTTTACCTTTATCTCCATCCTGTTCATTGGAGATTTTCTTCAGGTCAATGAAATGGGTCGCCAGCACTATGTCGTTCATGCTGCCTTCGTCCCACACCTGGATTTTCACCCTCCGGCACAACGGAGGGAACATTTCCTTGAAGACCACCTGCTCGTGCCACACAGGGTCAGCACAGTTCTTTTGCACTGTGGTCCGCCCCTAAAAGCACAACCAGGAGGATGTGAGCCATGCTAGGGAGTCGCTGACTAAAGAAAACCCTTCATGGTGCACACCTGTAGTCCCAGCTGCCCGAGAGCCTGTGAGGGGAGGATCACTTGAGCCCAGGATTTTTAGACAAGCCTGGGCAAAATAGTAAGACCCCATCAAAAAAAAGAGGGGGAGGGGGAGAACAACAAAAAAAATCCTCAAACCAGTTGGGAATATAAAGTGAATTGCTAAAAAATAACGAACCTGCTTCCCCCCAACACACATGAAAACCAACTGCACTCAGCTGACATTGCCAATGAGCTGCTCTGTGCTGGACACTGTGCCAGCCATAAGACAAAGGTAAGTCATGGCCCTGCCCTGGGAAGTTCTAATCAATATTGGGGTTGGGTTGAAACTAACACCCATGTTACAAACAGGATTGTTCCATGCCTGTCCAGGAATGCAGTGGATATAGTTAGACTCTGAGCTTATATATTTTATAAAAATATGACTTCAGGTGAATCACTTCTCCAATCTGGACCTCAGTTTCCTTGTTGTAAAATGGAGGTGATGTCTTACATGACCTCTGAGGTCAACTCAAGTCAAAAATACTCCAATGTTTATCCCTGCCAAGGGGAGGGCATCAGGGTACATGCATATTTGAATGGCAGAGACAACACGTATGTCAGCTGAAGCTTCAAAGTCCAGCCACCCAGGATTAAGCTCTGACCATGTACCCAGGCCCCAATATTTCCAATTGCTCTTGAGCAGGAAAAAGAGATGTCCAGGCTTACATATGACCAGCTGGGACCAGAAAGGGAGATGGATAGTAATTCTACCGGGCCTGGGGCCTGGGTAACAGCTCAGAGAAGTAACAGAGGTGAGGAGGGATGCCTGCCAGTCTGGGTCCTGATCTCCAATGAAGGGTGAATGGGTTACCATCTTCTACTTTCCTGCCACATGCCTCTGCCTTTTTGTGACAAGCTTTCCCTTTTAAGATGCTTCCTACTTTTTATTTTAACTTCATTTTGTTTGATTAAATATGTCCTGAATAAAGAGCAGAGCTCTGGCCCAGGCCTGTCAGTATTGGCGACAATGGTTCCTCACCATCTGCCCAGCAAAGGAGACCTCCACGAAGGGATCCACCAGGTCCTTGCTGTCACCCACAAACGCTTTGGTGACGTTCGCCATGATGCTCGAGTTCATTTTGGGCAACCCTTCCGCCTTGTAGAGTCTCACGTAGAATCGGGCCCAGGGTCTCTCTGATGGAAACCCTTGGGGAATCAGAAGGTTCCTTAGAGGGGGAAAAAATAAATTCATAAAGCTTTCTCACTTGAAAGAAAAAAGAGAAAAGGTAGAAACAATTTGGAGGCAGAAAGAAGGATCCCGATATATGAGAAAAATCTGAAAAGAGTAGCACTCATCTTCCTAGTGTAAATGGTGGTGAAAGGTATAAATAGAGTGAATGCAAACTTGTTCAGGCACAAGAATTATAGAATAAACACTGTCTCCCACACTGCACCTTAGAAGAGGTGCAGTCAAGTCTTCCCACATCATAAACCAGTGGTTGAAATTATAATTCCTTCAAAGAAACATCTACTATGTTCAGAAAAATCGACAGGCTCAGAAATAGTTTATCTATATGGGTTATGATAGCATAACAGACTGTTCTTGTCCTAGAAGCCGACCTCCCAAGAGAGGGACACACCTTTGACAAGACATATCCTGGGGCCTCTGATAGAATGCCAAGTGGACAGGCCATGAACTTGGCAGTTCCCATACAGAACAAGTAGCCATACAGAAAAGGGTAGAGGGAGGGGAAAGAGACATAAAGTTGGGACATATCATTCATTTCTCTTGCACAGCCCTGGATGAACCCATCTCACTTTTCTATTTGTTCCTCAGCATCGGAGGTTTTGGGGTTGGGCTTTAAGACGTCGCCTTTCCCGGTCACACTGATATCACACTTCAGGTAGCCCTTGGTGCCGGTCCTGATGTCGCCAGGGTCTGTGAGCACGGCCCACTTGTCGCAGAACTGATGACCTGTCAAAGCAGCCCTGCAGCTCAGATCTGCACAGACGCGCGCAGCGGCCAGCCCCACTCCCCGTGCCCAGGGTCTCCCGCGCTGCCGTCCTCCCGTTGCCCTGGGCAGCAGCTCGGCTCAGTAATTTCCAAACCTCATGCTGCCCCCTCTCTCTTCCTTTCTCTCTTCTCCTGTGCCTTCCCACCAGTTCTCCATCTTTCCCCACAACCCACCATAGGCATGTGGGATGCCTTCAACCAGGCAGAAATCACCTAGGCAGGACTCCAGCTTCGACCGGATAGGGAGATATTAACGGAGTGTAGAAGTCACTTATTATTGGCCCACAGGCCATATGTGTGGCTCATAGAGCTTTTTGCCTGGTCTGCACTGTGAATCAAAACTTCAAGATCACTTACAAAATCTAGACTTTAGGCTTATCTTTAAAAAATAATTTGTTCTGGCAATACTGGCTTTACATTTCCACATGACAGCAAATGCTAAAGGAGCTGAGTAGCCACCTTTTATAAGGATCATGAGCCCTCCTGTCCTGTCTCCTTTCCTGCAGTTTCTGTCACTCCCTGATGTTTCATGCCCAGGCTGCTGCACTCAGCTATGCTCACTGCCTGGCCCCTGTGGTCACGTGAGTTGGAATCCCTGCGGAAGATAAGGGCCCTTTCATAAGATGATCAATGCCTGTTGCTGGCTCTGTAACTAATTCGCTCTTGACCTCGGACAAATTGCTAAGTTTCTCTGAGTTTCACTTTCCTACAAATCCGGGATAATAATAATTACTATAGCAAACCCTTATATGAAATGCCATTATGTATGAGGCTCTCTACTAAGCACTGTATGTGTATTTATTAACTTATTTAATCCTCCAACAACCCTATAAAGGAGGTATTATTTTATCCTCATTTCTACAGATGAGGAAACTGAGGCACAGAAAAGTTAAGTCATTTGCCCAAGGTTGCACAGCCAGGACATAGCAGAGTGGAATTTGAACCCAAGCAATCTGATGCTAGAGTCTATATTCTTAGTCCTTATACGTCTAGTGCCTGTCCTGCCCAAGTCTCGCAGTACTCAGACAGAATTGGAGAAAAAAAAATGCTCAGAAGTAAACATATAAAATAATGTTATCATTAGATGGTAAAACTTTTGAGGGCAAGATCCATGTCTCATTTGATTCTATAATTGTTGCTCAGTTTTACTGGATGAGTGAATAAATGGGCTGGACTCTGGGTGTTGCAAACCAAAGAAGAGTGAGCGAGAGATGGGGAGGGAATGCTTTCTTACCAGGTTGGTTGTACACGGTGCCCAGATCTACTTTGAAGGAGCCAATCAGAACGCTTCCTATCAGCTTGTGGTGAAACACCTGCGGAGAGATGGAGTGGCGAGTCCAACAGATTTATCTTTGAGGATAAGAGGCTTTCGGCCTCGACCCTTGTCTGGCTTTGACCCTCATCTGGAGCACAGGGGAGTTTGGTTGCAAAGGGCCTCCAGAAGTGTCTCTCTGGAGTCTCTTCTACTAGCACATTTTCAGCTAATCCACTATGCCTGACAACTCTCACTGCCTGGAGTTTTTCTTTGGCCAGAATAAACCCTAGTCCAGCCCATCCTTCAACACCTACTTCTGCTTCTTGAAACTCTACCCATCTTTCCATACCTAGAGCAAATGTCACCTCCCCCAGGCAGCCCTCACTGATCCTCCACAGCTGAAAGTGTTCTCTTCCTCCCCAAAACTCCCACAACACTTTGCTCACAACTTTCTCAGAGAACTCATCACATACTGCCTTGAGTCATTTTGGACATGTATGATAACCGGAACAAAGAAGGTAGCTGTCAATATTTGGCCCGACCAGAAGCCACATTGTATGAAAAACTGCCAAAGAACCAGGAATAGTTTAGCCTTTATCCCAGAAAAGAGAAAACTAGGGGGTGTGGAGAAAGGGTAAAATGGTATCTGAGGTGTCTTCAAACCTTGGAAATGCTGCCATCTAGAAGAGGGAGCAGGTTCCCCTGTATAGTTCCCAAGTAACAGGGTGAGAGATTTTAGCTCAGTATAAGGGCAATGTTTATAACCGTCAGAACTTCCCAGCGAGGCAATGGGCTTTCCTAGAGGTAGTGACCTCCCAACCACTGGAAATAATCAAGTTGTGCCCCAAGAACCCCATGTGATGGAGAAGGTGGAGAGGGATTCCTGTACTAGTTGGAAGTGAGACTACATGGCCCTAGAGCTGCTTTCTAACTATAAAATCCTGTAAGTTCATTGCACAAGGACTGTTTCCTACTGTCTTCTACCTACCACATGGCCTTGTTCATGATAGATGTTCAATAAACATTCAGTGAATTAATAAATGAGTGATTGAATGACGGATGAAGGAAAGCCTTTTGAAGCTTCTAAACAGCTCCTAAACAGCAGAGGCAATAAAAAACAATAAACTTTCCATGGGTGTTAGAGAACTGAGGGGAAGTGAGGACAGCCTGGCGTGAGTACAGGAGCTATTTAAGGCCATGCAGATAATGCTCACTTCAGAACCTTCCACCATGCTTGCAGTTGCTAATGTGGCTTCCCAAAGGCTTGAGAAAGAACAGAAGCCAGTCTCAAGTTCTCTTCTCAAGTTGAGGGTCCCTGTGGGCAAGATGGAATGCAAGAACCCCAAACAAATCTTTAAATAACACAGGACGCTTCCTCAAGTCATCCATCCAGTGCCCGAGTGCCAGGCAACCCTGGTGTGGTCAAGCATTAGATTACCAGGACTCTGGGGACATCACACACGAAGAGTGCTGGCAGCCCTGCACGTCTGGGCCCACTGTTAAGGGAAGATTGGCTTTGGCACCACCAGGGCATGTTGTCCCAATAGCAACTGCTTACAGCTCTCTCCCCCTTCTTCTCCCACATTGAATTTATCCTGGGAACACTCACTTTCAGTTCGTGAACTAGCAGGAAAGTTGTATTGAATATTCCCCTTTCAAGGGGAGTTCTTTTTTAAATCTTTTGTCTCTCTTTCTAAGAGTCTTTTAGTGACACCAAAGTCTTCTCCTCTTCCAAGTTAGAGGAACAGAGATAGGCAACATAAGCTTTGATCTTCTGTCTAAAACTCTGCATGTCCCACTGTCGTGATCTTGTCTTTAGACAATATAAAAATCTAGTCATTAACGGTTTATTTGCAGTCCAGATAGTCCCTGAGGAGCCCACTACAGAGCTAATTTCACAAATAGGTTGTTGCTTGAGCAATGGAACAAAGTCCTGGGCAATGTCCCAGGTCCCAAAATATCTCCGGCACCACTTGTCATCATGCCTGAAATTCAAACATGAAGAATGCGTGGCTCTTGATGACTTTTCATTCTTCAAGTGCTTTTGGAAAGGATAATATCATAACTTCATTATTACCTGTGCCTTAAGGCAGGACTTTCCTGACAGCCAGCTGTGGTTAAAGGGACCATATTTTATATAAGTTTATAGTAATATATAATATTGAGTGGGTGATGAAAACAGGCAAGAAGGGTAAAGACAGGAAAGGAATCTCCAAGTCATGTTTTGTCTTTCTCACAATTCTGATTAGTGTCGGTGTGACTACGGCAGAAAACATTCACTCGCTCTCCACGCTTCCTGCACTGACGCATAAAGTAGGAATTCTGTCCTTTCCAAACTATTTGGAAGACAGCACTTACTCTCCAACCGCTCCACTTCCCACACCCCACCCCACCCTCCAAGGCGGACGCTGCAGTTTCTCAGATTGGTGAGACACACGCTGTCTGTCATCCACTGGTCCCCGTCCCTTCGCTGAATGGTGTGACGTTTGTAACGATCCCAGTTGCCCTGCTTCTCTCTCAGTGTGGCTTCCACGTGGCCATGCTCCTGTCCTCCAGGTGGTGGGCAAACCTGAATAAGGCACCTGGCTAGAGCAGGAAACTGTCTCTACTCATCAGACTGGATCTGCGGAGGCAGCAATTCCCCTGGCAGGGTTGAGGAAGGGTCTATGCAGCAGACCCGACTCCCCACGGGCAGGTCCTGAGGTCTACACTTGGAGGCAGCTTTTAAAACTTCCAATGGCCACCAATTGCCCCAAATCATATTCTCCAGTCAACCATTACCATTGATGAGACTGATATATTTTGGGATTTTTGCCTGATTCTTGTTCCTATTTCTCTATTTATTACCAGCTAGGAGGGGAAAGGGATGTGATAAATGATCATTAGTGTGGATATCACCCGGAGGAAAAATCACTAACATTTGCTTAATAGAAAGAAAGAAATCAACTAAAACTGGCAATCCATTAAGATGTCATTTGAAGCATATGTTTCACATTCCCACTCCAGTAAACTCTACAATTTAATCCATAATAGCATCACAGCAGCTTACGGGACTTGCATCCGAGCAGCATAGGTTTTCTTGAGATGATTTTCCTTCCCAAACTAGTCTATACTGGTGATTTTGAGTTCTGTTGTTGGTTTCAAATTCGCCAACCCACATTCACCCTCTTAGGTCTATTCTTTCCTAAGCATGCTGAGTTTCCCTAGAGAGTTCCCAAGGCCCAGAACCTCTCCCCCCATGCCCTCAACTACCACCACCAATGTCATACTTACTGAGATTTTGATGATCTTGTCAAAAAGATGTGCTTGGGGCCCAATGAAGTCGAAGACAAAGTACTGTAAAACATAAAGGTCATTCCAGGCTTGCTATCAATCCCAGGCTATCAATTCCAGCTATCAATTCCAAGCTTGCACCTAAGAACCCCATTTCTGGAGTGGATTTTGGCCTGTGTTATTCTAACCAACTGCAGCTTAGTCCTCAATGGCATGAATATACATCATCAATGGATTGACCATCCCCTATTGAAGGTCATTTATGCTGTTTTCAAATATAAAAAAGAAGAATGCTACTAATCACATCCTTGTATAGGATATGTTTGTGCATTTCTATAAACTGGGCATGAGAAGTGGAATTGCTGGATCATAGATTATGGGCATGCAAATTTTTAATAGATAGTATGAAATTTCTTTCCAAATGGGGTAGGCCATTTTACATTCCCGGCAGCATATGAAAATAGCCACCTCTCCATATCCTTGCCAACTCTTGATATTGTCAGTTCTTTTAATTTTTTTGCTTTTCATGATGGTTGAAAATGGTATCTCAGTGTGGTTTTGATTTGGAGTCATTAAAATATGATTTCCCCAGAATTTTTCAGTTTCAAACATCCTTGTTTGAAGATTGACCAGGGAGAGAATAAAAAGAAATTATGGGCATGGGAGATTTTTAATATTAAGAAAGTGATGACATTGTACACTTAGAGAAATTAGCTAGACCAGCCTCATATTTTACAGATAAAAAGACTGAAGACTAAAGATTTAACAGATGTTGCCTAGGTTAATTTTGCTAGTTATTGCTGAAGCTGAAACCAAACCTTAGTTGGCTTGAAGTTATCACGTGAAAGGTTCAAGTACTAGATATTTTACCATCTGACTTTTGAGTCAAGATCCTTCCAAATTCAAGATTTTATGATTCTAAGCTGCAGAGAACTAGAGTGCTGTTTTGTTGTGAATTGTGAGCTTTGGTGGGGAATGATCCCTTAGAAATGAATATACAGCAGTAGTAAAAGGAGGAATTGACCAGCTGTTAACTGCTACCAGCCTACTTTCGAAGGTCAAAACAGAAAACCCACAATGTGGAAACTGAAAGATGTCATTATATGCCATAAAAAGAGACCTTCAAAATGGTAGTCCTTGGATACAAATGAGAGAGTTCAGTATGTCCAGTGTCTTCTGTTTCAGAACATAGGAAAACATGCATAATATTTCAGGAATTTTTTCATATATATGCTTAAACTTTTAAAGCGTTTCGGTGTTCAAAATGGATGTGGAAAATTCGCTTACACAAAATTTTTCCTTTTCTGATAAGGCTGAATATACGAGGTGCTGTGGGTTCCTTTGGTCCGACGAATCGCTCGCAATGTCGATTGCTTCTGCTGAGTTTCGTGTTTCAAACTCAACTGCTTCATGTAGGCCACCGAGACTTCGGCGCCCACACACATTTTTCTAGCTGGGAAATATTCCCCAGCCCCTACTAACTGGCTCCCTCAACATCTGATGAGCTTTGGGCTTAAAACTTCGAGTCAAAAAAGTTGTAACAAAGGTTTTTAGTTCCATGTCTGTGTTTTTACTTGATTTTCTATTGATTATACTTAGGCCCAATTTAATGTCACTTAGATCTAGGACTTGTAGGCATAATTATAATAATTAACAAATCTGTCAAGCTTTGCAGTTTTAAAGCATTTTCATACATTATTTCATATCGCGTGCATGCCAGAGGCTGTTCTGGGAGTGAGGAATGGAGCAGGAAGGGAAAAACTACTGACATTTTCACTCATGGTAAAAAAAAAAACTTAGAGGCAGGAATTGCAGAGAGGAAAGGAATTATCAGCTCCAGTGGGATTTGGGTGTTTTCTGCTGATTTCATTATCCATGCTCTCCCTGCCTTCCTTTGCAATTACCACTACCATTAGGATAATGATTAAGAGTACACTGCATTATTTTTTCAAAACTCATTGTATCAAAATTCCTACAGCGGGGGTGGGGGGGAGAACAAATATATCTATGCACTTATGAAATTTATAGTTTGAGTGTAAATTGTTACCTCTTTGGAAAGCAATTTGATGATTCAAACTTTTAAATGCACATACTTTAAATGACATAAATGCCCAGTTATGCCACTATAAGTAGTAGCAAGAGGCTGAAAACATTTAATATCCACTGATGAGAGCCTGATTCGTCTAATAATTAAGTATATCAAAGCAACGGAAAACTCTTCAGCCATAAGGGCAAAATGAGATTGAACTGTATGTCCCGATATGGACTGATCTCCAAGACACATTTTTCATGAAAAGAGCAAGGTGCAGAACAGTGTGTATAGAATGCTACCATTTGGGAACAATATTTCCTTGTATTCTGGCACATGCTTGGAATATCTCCGGAAGGGTTCACAAACGCCTGGTGAGAATAGATGGCGCCAGGGAGGGGACTAGAGAATTAGGGCTCAAAGATTAGCAGGAAATATATTACTGTATATCATGTTATACTCTGTCCTGTTTGCTGTCATTTTTTTTTTACTGTGTAATATCTTTATTTTAAAAAATAATTTAATATGTTTAATACTTGGAAGCTTCTCTCTTTGAGATTTTTTTTACAATTTCTCCACAGCTTAGAAGGTATTTATTACCTTACTTTCCAAGGTGGTATGCCTATTTCAAAACCAATAATTAAATTTCCAGTGTCTCCGCCAGGAAAAAGAAAGTGTACCTGCTCCTTACCCAACATTCAGTACTGTTACGAATATAAACCCAGAGCTTTTAATGGATGAAAATGAGCTGATAAGAAATAAGAAAAGAGATCTGTTGAAAATGTAGCAATGAATTTAAAATCAGGAGGAATTCCTTGCCTCTCCTTCCCATTATCTTTCTGTTAAAAATTTTATAGAGCTCTCCTACTAAGTGAAGTATCACAAGAATGGAAAAACAAGCACATGTGCTCACCATCAAATTGGTACTAATTGATCAACACTTATGTGCACATACAGTAGTAACAGTCATCAGGCGTAAGGCAGGTGGGAGGAGGGGATGGGTATATTCACCACTAATGGGTGTGGTGCGCACCATCTGGGGCATGGGCATGCTTGTAGCTCTGACTAGGGTGGGGCAAAGGCAATATATGTAACCTATACTTTTGTACCCCTGTAATATTCTAAAATTGGAAAAAAAAATTTATAGGGCTATGTTTGTAAGGAGGCTCAGTGAGTTTGCCATGGGCTTAACCAAAGGGCTAGGAGGGAGGGAGGAGGGGCAGAGCTCTTCTATGTGACTGAAGAACACTGCAGAAAGGTGGAGGAGAGGGTGTTGACACAGAGGCTACTGGTGATCTCCATGACTTACTTCATTGTAAAATGGGCTGTTGGTTCCTTCCTTCACAGTGCTTTGCTTCTTCTCATCCCCGACCTCAATGGTCACGACTGGGTCGATGTTCTCCCCCACCAGCTGGCGGGCCTCAGTGATGGTTATGGCGATCTACAATACAGAGCAGGGCGTGCGCCATTGTGGCCATCGCTGTTCATGCACACAGGAAGAACTGCGGGAGGCTGGCGGGAAGAATCCTGTCACTTACTTGGTAGCTTTGGGATTTGACCTCCCCATCATGGATCTTAGCTGATAGCTTTGATCTATCAAAAGAAAGTTCAATATATTTGTTTCATCAAGTAAGAACATACTTTTCATCCATAAGCCATGATAATATTTTCCCAAGTATTTCTAAGTTCTCTCAGTTATATCATACTACACATTCTCTCTACATCTCTGGGGGAGATGAGTATAAATGGACAAGTGACTTGACCTCTCTACAACTCAGCTGTCCCATCCTAAAAATGGAGCTCACGGGAGAGCTTATCTCATGAGGTGATCGCTAGAGTTAAATGACATACTGCATATAAAGGTTTAACCCAGTGTCTGGCAAGAATTAAAGTCAGCTCTTATTATGGTTATGATTATCAGTACTATTTATTTTTTAATTTTAAACAGAATGAGAAACTAAGATGCCTCAGCAAATCTGTGACAGAGCCGAGTATAAATCAGGAACTCTGCCTGGTCACAGGGCCACTTTGCCATTTCTTGTGGAAATAATAATTCTGAGTTTCATGACTGCTTTTGAAAGAATTGGTAAAGGAGAAAATTGGAAAGAACAACCAAGATACCATCTCAGTGAGATTTCACGTTCGAGGAGATTTCATTTATCGGGACTGTCACAGGTAATTGAAAACAGATGTGCAACACCTGGGCATTTGGAGATTGATAATAGCAGAAAGAGATGAAAAATCCCTGTTGTCATAGAAGCAGAAATCAGAGGGAAATGAACTGACCTCGAGTTCCTATCAAATTTTATGCTCTTGGCTTTCAATAACACCATCTTGCATTTGACTCCATCTCATTTCTGGTTATAGTTGCGTCCAATAGAGAACAGATTAAGCCAATAAAAATCTCAAGGCTTTGTGGTCAGACTCATTTAAGTCATAATATTTGTTCTCCTTAATTTTGGACTTTAGCTTTAATTTCCTCATCTGAAAGCAGAAATACTAATTCCTACCACACAGGGCTGCTCTGAGGACTAAAGGAGATAATGCATGCAAAAAGGATAGATATCATTTAATATGCTCACCAATACAATGGTAAATTCATACTGATCATTTATTACATGAAAGCCCAGTGCTAGGCTCATTAGAGGAGAAATAAAAATGAAAGAGCCATCTTCTTGGCCTTTGTGGAGCTAACAGTCTCTATGGGAGAGAGAGCCAAAGCATATAAAGAAAGAACTAGTATGTAAGTATAAAATGTGCAGCAGGAAAAACAACACAACAGAAAAGCTGTAGAGAAGAAATTTCTGAGGGCCAGGGTAAGCAACAAAGACCTCACTGCAGAGGTCGGATTTCAATTGAGCATTGGTGGATGGTGGATAGAATTTCAATGGCTGGAGAATGTTCCAACCAAAGAGAAAGAAAGGACTGTTATTCCTTACTTGTCTTTCTCCTGCCTTTATTCATTGAGTGATATCACTCTGATAAAATACATGCCAAGGAGGGGTGCTTGGCACATAGGATGTGATCACCAAATGTACGTTGACCACCTGCATTCACACTGTACCTTCTCTTTGGAAGAGCTGAGGGGACAGGAGCAACAGAACCATTATCATAAACCAGATCTGCTCTTGGTCCTTCCTGGTGAGAAGGTCCCTCCTGTGGTGCTTCTGCTTCACCTTGAACATCTGGAGAAGCAAATAAAAGAGAAAAATCCTGTTAAGTTGGCACACAGTGGCGATCGAACCTCCCCCCTCTGTCCAGCACCATGGAAGGCACAATAAGGGGTCCAAGGAGACTAGAAGAAAGTCCCAGCCGGCAGGAAACTTACCATCTGATTGGCAGAAAAGCCAGACACGGCCTTCATGTTTCTAAAAAGATTGTACATCTTCTGTTTTCAAAAAAGAGCAGATTTATCCAGATGGGGTTGTAGAAAGAAAAGCTGGATTATGAATCTCAAGACATGCTTTCAAGCCATGACCTTGCCACAGTGGAACTTTAGACAAGTCATTTATTCTCTCTGAGCCTCACCAGCAAAATCTGACATGCATAAGAATCACCCAGGAAGCTGTCGAAATGAGGATTCTGATTCAGTAGGTCTGGGTGGGACCCAACACTGCATTTCTGACAGCAAGATGCCAGGTGAGGCAGTTCCTGCTGTCTGTGGGCCAATTTAAGGTAGCAAGGAGCCATAGTTTCAAAGATAGGTTCTAATCCGTGGAACCTGGAAATGTTACCTTATTTGGAAAAAAGATATCTGCAGAGGTGATTAAAGTGAGGATTTTGAGATGAGGGCATTATCCAGGTGGACCCTAACTGCAATCGCATGGACCCTTAGAACAGGGAGGCAGAGAGAGATTTTGCACAGACAGAAGAAAAGACCGCAATGTGGCCATGGAGGCAGCGATTACACTGCTGTTGCCACAACAGGAAGCTGGAAGAGACAAGAAACAGATTTCCTGGTGGAAGTAGGCCCCTTGATTTTGGCCCAGTGACACTGATTTTGGGCATCTGGCTTCCATAACTGGGAGAGAATAAATCTGGGATGCTTTAAGTTACCAGGTTTGTGGTGCTGTGTTTCCCCAAAAATAAGACAGGCTCTTATATTTCTTTTTCTTCAAGAAGACACCCTAGGGCTTATTTTCAGGGGATGTGTTATTTTATTTTTTAAGTACGGTACAACAATCTACATTTATTCAAATATAATTAAGTCGTCTTTTTCTGGAACATCATCATAACTCTCCAAACCCTGAATTCCATCATGAATTTCTTGTGACTCTATTTCCTTTAGAATCATTGGCCCCAATCTCTCATGTTGAGCAATAGAGCTCTCATGGGGCAGATGAGAAGGGCTGCTCATCTTCTCTACTGCTCTGCGACAAAATGCATGGGCTGTGCAGATGTGCTGCGTAGCCACAGCCATCACTAGGTCTTATTTTCGGGGTAGAGCTTATATTGCCCAAATGCTTAGAAATCCTGCTAGATCTTATTTTATGGGTAGGTCTTATTTTTGGGGAAACACGGTAGTTCGTTACACAAACTATGCTAGGAAGGGCAGGCTTCCCAAGAAGCCCTAGGAAACAAATACACAAGCGTTTAGAAAACCTAAATGAATGGATAGTAAACATGTTCTCCAGACCCTTTCCTCCCAACCCTAGATTCTGATTTAGTTCATCTCAAATGTTGCCTGGAAGATGAGATTGTTTAAATTCTCCAAGTGATTCTAATAATACAGCAAAGCTTGGGAACTACTTCTCAACCAGGTTTTTGGTAAAAACAAGAGTGGCTGGGTCTCCCTAATACACTGAGAGACACTGCATAGTGTCATTCAAAGACCTGAATCCAAAAGGTTTGGGTTCAAATCTCCATCCTAGCACTTTTTATTAATAGTTCTATGATTTGGGCAAGTTACTCAACTTTGCTCAGCACTGTTTTCCTCCTTTACAAAACAAGGCAAGGTTAATGTCATCTACTCCCCAGGGTTGTTAGGAAAATTAATGAAATACATAAAGTCCCTAGCACAGTGCCTGCCTGGTACACAGTAGGTGCTCAAGCCTGTGGAGTCCAAGGTGGATGACTTGAGCAAGTCACCCAGGATTTTCTGGCATTTTTTTTTCTTTTCCTATAAAATGAAAGAATTGGGCAAGAAACGTGGTTTTGAACCTTTTCAAAGCAACAGGACCCTTTTATAAATGTAATCGTATACCAAACCCCAATATATAACACAAGTCCGTTCATATCAAACTGTTTCGTGTGCCGGGATGGGATGAGGGCAGGGGCGTCCCACGGGGCTTCACCGCCACCGCCACCCTCTTCAGACGCCCCTGAAGCCATTTCTCGAAATCCCCGGTCTCCATGGGACTTGATCTATAAATTCATCAGTTTAATAATTCTAATATACCTCCCAACTTTGATGCATTTTGGTTCTCTGATTTTAATCAGCAACCCATGCAAAACAGTACTGAATTGGAAGAGAGGTGGAGTCATGCAACCATGTCAGGGGAGCTCGTGCCCACAGGGCTGGCCTCAGTAGTTGTTTGGTAGCTATAGATGATCACTGCATGAATGGCAGTCACTCAGGAAATGAGACAAGGCCAGCCCTACAGAGACGCCAGGAGGAATGCTGGCACCTGGTGTGCTCCTTGAAGTAGCGAGATAAAATAAATACTTGCTCCCTACCTACTTGACTGCAAGGGCCTTTTGCAGCCCTACTGTCAGAAATTCAGGTTTCCAATGAACATTCTAAGGCACCTAACATGTGCTAGAAACTGTGCTAGGGAAGATGCTAAGAATGCAGGAATTAACAGATCGTGAACCTCTCCCGCTAGGGGTTGGCATTGTGGAGGACAAGACTCCGAGGTAGAAAGGCAGTCAGCTAAAGCTTCTTCTGTAGCTTCCATTCATTCGTTCATGTATCCATTCCTTGAGTTTCTGCTTGGTTCTCTCTAATGTACTCACCATGGAGCATCCAGGGTGATTTTCTACAAAAATAAACCAGATCATGTTGCTCTTCTTCTTAAAACCCCTCAATGGCTTTGCATTGTACTAGAATAAATCTAAAGTCCACGTGCAACTCTGGATTAGAGTCCTGATAGCTCTGCCCCACCCCTCCCCATTTCCTGCTCCCTAGCAGCCTGTTTTCAGTTCCTTCTAAGCTAGCAAGCTCTCTGCTGCTGGGAATTTCTCTTTGCAGGCATCTCTCTGCCTCAGCCACTCCACTCCCTGCCCACGCCCAGGGCCTTCCTGTCATCCTTGGAATTCTAGCATAAATGTTATCTCCCCAGAGACTCCCTCTCTCACCACACCAAAAGACTGTGCAGTAGTCTCCATTTCAACCCACTGTCTGTTAATATTTTCTTTACAGCATTTTTCCCATCTTGTCAAGCAGTCACCTTAGTCAGGGGCCCAATGGGTAACAGGTGGCACAATCAGAACAGGATGACATGGGGACATTTTATAAAGGTGCTGATGTAAGAAAACCACAAGCCAAGCTGTTGCCACCCCAGGCTCCCCAAAATGAGGAGAGAGTGTCATCACCAGAACCTGGAAGGAGAGGAAGTCTGGTGGAGTCAGCCTCCCGTTAAGGAGCAGTGACCGTTCTTCAGTTGGGGACACAACCAGCTGGAGCCTGAGCCACTCCCACACCTCCCACCAGGATGTCCCATTGGCCAGATCCAGCTCGAAGGCAGAGGGGGAGGGACCTGGGTTATGCAGCCACAGGGGACAGAGAGCAGGTAGATACGGGTGGAGAATAGATCCAGAGGGGGAGACAGAAGAGTCCTACAGAGAGCTGTTCTCCCTTCAGACTGTCCAGCATCTATCTTTATACACCTAGAACCTAGCCCAGGGCCCAGCACTTAGCAGACATTCCATCAATATATTTTGAATAAATGAATGAATGAATGAATGAGCTTGGGAGGTACCCACTATTTGTTGGGTAACTAATTAGTGGATGGGTTAGGGTAATGAAAATTTTAAGAATTTAAGAAATAACCACAATGCCTCAAAATACACATAAAAGAGCCAAAGACTGAGAATCTCTAAACATTTCATGGAGAAGAGCCCTAACTTTCCAGGCCAGGCCAAGAAGGAGAGACCCAAGTCTCTGGTCTGTGGACTTTGTCTTGCCAGTCTCCTGCAGGGCTGGCCTCGGCCCAGCAGGACAACACTATTTACTTTCTAGGAGGGACCTGGTTCCTCTCTGCCCTGTTTGCCTTGTGGGCTGAAGACTCTGGAATGAGCCACACAGGAGCCAGCTCCTCTGAAATGCCTGTGGTGACCGCCCTGAGGAGGTCACCGATGGGGCAGGAAAGCCAGGCTCTGGTGTAGGTCTGGCCTGGGCTTGGGAGCCAGCATCTCTGCTTGTTAGCTGTGTGACTTGGGGCAAGTCACTCAACCTCTCTGAACCTCTGTGTAAAATGGCTGCAATAGAGTCTACTTTTCAAGGTCATGAATGATGTACATCAAGTAAAAAGCAGCAGAGACTTATTATATGTGTCATAAATATTATATTTCATAAGGTCCTTGAGAGAAGGGACTATACCTTATTCAACCTTGTGTCCCCAGGACCTACCACAGTGTCATAATTTCAAAGACATCAGGAAAAACCCCAAAGCCTTTTCGACTCACTCCCTGATGCAATTTGATTGAATAGACAAGTACTTCTATTAAGCTTTAAGCCTCATCCTCACTGAAAATGCAATGTCCTCCCTTCCCGTGCAAGACTAACTCCCTACCATTGTTAATGTCTTAGTGTGAATGAGTTTCCATATTTTTCTAGCATAAAACTAGGTTTTACCTGAGGAAAAAGAGGGGAATGAGGCAGACACAAGGCCACAGGACACTGTTGTAGATGGCAGCAAAGGAGGCCCCCCAAGGAGACAAGAGGGATGGAGACTGGCCAGACCCACTGCTCCATTTTGGCTTAGGAATGGTCCAGAAAGCTAGCCTTGAGCTGGTTTGTTATCAAGGCCAGGCAGCAGGAGAAGTCTCCAGGGGACCACCCCAGACCTGTCCACTTGGAAGGCATCAATGTAATCTGATTCAATAAATTCCAAGTGTCCACCCAATGCAGGGCCCGGTTTCCACTAGTGTGGTTCACACTCTCACTCGAGGCTTTGCTCTTTTGGAGAAGGAAGTAGTGTGTTCTAAGGGCAGAAAGCCAGACAGCCTGGTTTACATCCATTTCTTCCTGACGCTGTACCTCCCACACTCAAGGCCAGCCGGCCTCCCCCGTGTGCGATCTGTGTGCCATACAGGGCCCTGAGCTCTGAGGGACCTCGTCACATTCCATTTAAGCTCTGCTGTCACCACCTTGAAATTCTTAATAAGTTCTTAGCAGCAGCTTTGCATTTTCACTCTCCCCTGGGCCTTGCAAATTCTGCAACCCGTCTTTTCCACACTTTATGTACTCTCTCCGCATCTCTGTAAGCTCATTTGTAAACCAGAGTGGCTGCACCTACTGGCACGATGGTGGCAGGGCTCAATGAGACAATGTATGTAAAGCCTCCATCATGGTAGCTGTGACACTCTTATTTTCAAAATCGCACTTGATTGTCCCCACGGCCATGTGAGATCACCCCAGCATCCCACATAGTGCCTATTTGACAAAGGAACTCGGGGCCACTAACTGAGCTTGCACCCCGATGAGGACCCCTTTCCTGGCCTAGCAGGTGCCCACCCAGCCCTGTTTGGCCCAATGACCAGGGGTCCTGGGGGGGTTGTCCTGGGCCCACACCTCTGATCAGCAAGGACTGCAGAGCCAGTGGGCAGCGCACTCCCCCCTCCCTCCTGCGGAGACTGAACCCCCACCCCGGGCCCCAGGCTAGCAGGCAGTATCCACCCCAGTCTCACCTTGTGCACCCTTGTTGGCTAGGGTTAACCCCTTCTCTGCTTTATTTTTCTTCTTCTTCAGCTTCAGCCCAAACATCCCCTTTCTGAAAAGGAGAAGAAAAATTAAACAACACAGTAACAGAAACGTGAAAATGCACTGAACTCTCCTGGAAGCCAACTGGCCTCCTCATGCACCCAGGATGGGGGCAAAATACAAGTGTCAGGGAGACCCAGCGAGCTCTCCGGATAGCTCTACTTTCACTGCAAAACCCCACCTGAATAGCAACCATGAGATCCACCTGGAAATTGCCCTTGGATAAGGCAAACTATAGATACTAATAGCACTAGCTGGTAGTTCTCCATCTCTCCTGGCTCACCCATGCCAGGCACTGTGCTAGGCACAAAAAAGGAATTACATCATTTAATTATCACAGCAACCCTCTCCTGCCCATCTTACAGATGAAGAAGCAAGGCCCAGAGAGCTTGGGCAGTGTTCCTAAGGTCACACAGCCTTGAACATCAGAGCTATCACTGGAACCAGGTTGATCTGACCTCAGAGCCTAGGCTGTAACCGCTGGGCAGCTGAGGCTGGCCACAACACTCTCACCAGACGTAGGCTTTCGGACCATTTCCAAGGTCAAGAGGTCCTGGGGCTTACAGAGTTCACGCCACAAGTGCATAGCTCAGCTGACACATGGAACATGCCCCAAATATCAGCTACTATTGTAATTGTTGTTATTAGCCACGAGCAGGAAACCATTTCTCAGTCTCATTCTCATCACAGGAAAGCAGCCCGGTCCATCATCTCTAACCGACAAGAGTGCTCCTGACATCTGCCAGCTCCCGAGAGAACCCCTTCCCAGAGCTGCAGGACCATGGAGCATGTGGCCCTGGGTGGAAGGATGGGTGAAGACAGTTCAGGGGAAAGTCCTGGCTTGGAGTCAAGAAGGCTGGGGAGGGGGGCGGCCTCCTCCAGGGAGGAGGAGAGGAGCAAGGACATGTGCCTTTGGAGAAGGAGGGAAGGGTAGCAAAGGCTCAAACCCTATTCAGTGAATATCTGTAGAATGCACAAAGCAGTGGAACAATCACCATACTCCATTTCGCTTACATTTTAGCATTTGTGATGTATGGAGTGCCATGGTTAGGATCAGGGACTCTGCAGTCAGACTGCCCCTGGGCTCTAATTTCAGCACTATCTTTGCAACTTTGAACAGGTCACTTAACCTCTCTAAACTTCAGGGTCCTCATGTGTGAAATGAGGTAATATATGTAAAGCATTGAGCATAGTACCTGGAACATGCTAGTTGCTCAATAAACTTTAATTATTTGTAAAGGATTAAGGGATAGGATTAGGATCAACAAACAGAAAGTACTAGGAGACAGATGTCCATCTGATTCATTCACTTATTTATTTATTCTGCTTATGTCCTGCTTTGATCTAGATGATGGATTAAGGAGCCCCCACTGTCTGAACAGTGGGATGGACTGCTTTGGGAGGGATTGAGGTCCCTGTTCCTGGAGGTGTGCAAGGCCTGAGGACCACTGCTAAAGGATGTTGTAGAGAGGACAGACACCGGAAGGAGGGACTGGCCTAGGGGACCTCACAGGTCCCTTGAGACCCTGAGATATAAGTAGGATGGAAAGAATGGGCTCTGGAAACACCCAAACATGGATGGGGTTCCCCACTCCTTGGGCAATAACAGTACCTCTCTGAGCCTCAGTTTCCTCCTGTGTATAATGGAAATAATAATAAAACACACTTCACAGGATTGTGAGAATGAAATAGGGTAATATAAGCAAAGCCCCTAGGACAGCGTCTGGGATACAGAAAGTGCTAAGTGCCTTTTGGGGAGGTGGCATTTTCCCCTTTGATGTGCCTCCATTCTCTGATAGATAAGACCATCAGCGTAAGTCTTCCAGAAACCTCTGGGGAATGTACACCAGGGGCACGCCCCTTTTCTGAAATTTTCAAGAGAGAACTTCCAATAAGAGTTGTTACTGTTCTGTTTTTAATGGATCATTACCAAGTGGAGGACCCAAGGCTGGCACCTCCCAAACCCTGCATTGGCATTTGTGGTCCCCCAGGGCTCACTGCCACGATCAGTTCATGGAGGCAGAATCTGATGTTCCCGGGAACTTGGCCAAGGGGTTGTGCAAGGCTGAGTAACTTCCATCCACAAATAGGAAGCTGCTACTAATAAACAGCAGTATCTACCAAGAGAGACATAATGGTCCTTAGGGAGCTGACGTCCTCATCATGGCTGGCCGCAGCACTCGGAACTGTCCTAAAGGGAAGCCGGTGACTGAGGCATTGGGCACGACTGAAGATGCTGTCATGGGTGGGGGAGGAGAGAGAGATGCCTCAGCCCCGACAGGCACCTCCGACTTCTGCAACCAAGAGCTTTTGCCCTGCTGCCCATAAGAGTCACCTAAATAAGTTCTCAAAAATACTGAGTTTGAGCTAGGGCAGACCCAATGCCGACAAGCCTTGGTCTTGGCACAGCCTAGACCCTTATAACAGAGTGAGCCAAAGAAAACTCTCTGGAATGCCCAGAGGATTTACAATCAGCTCAGGCTTCTTGGGTGGGTTGATGTTAGTTTCACAAACACACACGGTTGTTTGCCTGAAACCCTGAGTCAGTCATCAAAGGCACACCCAGCCTGACTCCCAGCATGAAAAGGCTTCTTGATGAAAATTGATTTGTCCTCCACAGCCTGCGACATCCCGCAGTAGGGAGGAGGCATAGCTCATCAGCCCAGAATAATCAAGCCACCTGCAGAGTGGGCAGTAGAAACTGAATCCGTGACTCAGTTCAGGGGCTGCCTGAGTCCACCTGCTAGCTCTAGATTTGGGAGCTGGATCCTTAATTCAGATGAGCGTATTTCTTCGTATGTGACACAAGGACATTTCTTATCCAGTTCACAGGGTGATGTTAAAATTGGAATCAATGTTTATGAAATGTGAAGCAGACTACAAATTATTATAATGCAATATCGATAACAAGGAAATGGGAATTTAAATGATGCGTACACCTGTACAAATCACTCCCTGAGGGTCAGGAACATCATTTTATACACATCGTCTCTGGGATTTCTACAACATACCGCAAGGAAGATGCTATTATTTTCCTTTCACACAAATGAGAGGCTTTAAAGGGTTTCTAGGCAATACATTGGGATTGACCATCAAATCAAGAAGACTTACCTGATAAGTCTCCAAGGCAGCTGCCGTCACACATGTCTCTACCTCCCCACCCGCTTCCCACCCCCGGTTTGCAGAGAATTCCAGCGTGGGAACTCGCCTACTTCACAAAAAGGATGGGGCTTTCTGGCTTAGGATCTATTGAATATCCCCCCAGGGTCACCCCAAGATAAGTCAAGAAACACATGGGAACCCCCATACCAACCTGGTCTCCTCAGGGTGAAAGCTACCGCGACTCCGATATCTGTATCCAAACAATGAGAATATTAAGCAAGGCACGTGTCAGACTTGCTCTAGCACATCTGTTCAGGCGGCATCGCTCTGGGTTGAACCACGAGGCCGGTGCTGCCAGGAAGGCAGCCAGACTGGCACATAGAGAGAGCTGGACTGCTGCAGTGTGGGCTTCATCTACACCACCCTCCAGCTTGGTCACTGGGGCTTGCCATGGGGCTTCTCTGGGCTGCAGGCTCCTCTTTTCTTCAGGAAGTGGCCATAAAGTTAACTCTGCTTTCCTCACTGGGATGTTATACAGACAACAGCACTTAGCTCTCATGCTGAACTGTTAAAAGCTGTACAGATAGCTAATTTAAAATCCTGTCTGTGGTTCAGTAGAGCAGGATTAGGAAACTGCTGCAGCCAGAGTTGCCATGTGGTGTCCCACTTGTGTCACCAGATTCCCCTTCTGAAATCACGTCTCTGCCTTCATTGCAGAGTAAAAGCAGCTCAGGCCAAACACTGAGCTAATTGTTTCAGTGGTGTGCCCAGGACTGGCCAACACTGCTCTCTTCTTCCCCTAAGAGGGCACAGGATGCAAATTCATTGTGCCCCTCATCTTTCAAACCCAAAGTCATAACACCCAGCATAAAAAACTTAATAATAGCTGAGTTGTAAATTGCTAAGAGTTTATATGAAAACTCTTACAAATGTAAAAAACTATATGTATTTATATATTTAGTAAACTTTTTTTCATCAAAAGAATGAATTTGTATATAACCAGGTCTATCGTAAAGAAAAAAACAAAAACCATAAGATTTTACCACCATGCTAAGGTTATCCAAAGAGCCTTGGGTAAATTCCCAGTTGCCTGCTGGGAAATACTTTCTCAGGAAGAGCCTATCTATGTACTCCCTGCTAAGACTGGGATATATTCATTAAAGGCAAACCATTAAATATAGAAACAGTTGTAGTGTGGGTTTTCATAGAAGATTGTTAAGATATAAACTCATGTGACACACTGCCTTGTCAAGCCCTGAAACTTTTCTCTTTCCCCATGATCTTCTTGCCAAAACTCACCTATTCAATGTTCTTTTTTCCTAAGGTAATGATGCTCAACTTTGACTACACTTCAAGTCTGTATAGGGGGAGCTTTCTAACACTGTGGCCAGAGCCCAACCTAGACGCTCTGATTTTGTTGGCCAGTGATGGAACCAAACAACCAAGGCACAATTGTTTTTTCAGGTGATTCTAACGTGCAGCAGGGTTGCAAAACCCTGTGTTAAGTAAGCAGTGCCAATAAACTGTCCTCTCAAAGAGAATATTTTTTTGTTTTTGTTTTTGTTTTTGAGACATAGTCCAGTTCTGTTGCCTGGGCTACAGTGCAATGGCATCATCATCATAGCTCAATGTAACCTTAAACTCCTGTGCTCAAGCAATCCTCCTGCCCCAGCCTCCTTCGTAGCTGGGACTACAGGCGTGTACCACCATACCTGGCTAATTTTTCTATTTTTAGTAGAGACAGTGTCTCACTCTTGCCTGGGATGGTCTCAAACTCCTGGCCTCAAGCAAACCTCCCAGAGTGCTAAGACTACAGGCATGAGTCACCACACCTGGCCAAAGAAGGCTTATATTTTAAAAAGAAAGTTTAGAAAATAATTTCTTCACCAAAAGAAACAAGGAAATTTATTAAATTCAGAACATGTGGTGGATATATTTAATATTTGGGCAGGCTACATTTTATAACCCAACCCCTACTTCTCTTCCACTCAACTCCCATCCCTACAACATATGGCGTTACTTATGCGAAGGACCAGCCCAGCCTTGGAGGAAGAGAATTGTCTGGTTCAAAAGAAGAAGATCAGTCCTCTGTCGAATCAAAAATGTCCCAGGCAAGGCTAACAGCCTGAACAGATTGGCCACTGGCTCTCAGTCTCATGGGAAGCAGCTCATTCTTAACTGTAGTGATTTAGAATCTCCCACCTCACTGTGAAGGTAGATGGATGTTTCTGTATCAGGCCCTTATTTTATACATTCCAGCTGTCTTGGCTATCATAATGAGATTCAAATGTCACAACACTGGTGATCGAGACAGTGATTGAGAACCTTAATATTTCCCCTGCAGGAGTCAGCTGAGTCCAGGAAACACAGCTCCAAGGATGCTAATTCCTCCTCCTCTGGCTTCTATGAACCAAGGATGACTCAGAGCCACTCTGTGCAAAGCCAGCCCAGGTTAAGCCAGCCTCTCAGAGTCCTTCAGAGAAATCTGCCAAGTGTTCCAGGGCAAGGTGGCAGGAGGGTATGGCAGCAGGACTGGCCCAGGAAAATGGAGGCTTTCTCCTTGCCTGCTTCCCCCACCCTGTGAAACACCAACAGTGTCCACTATGGTACCATGCTCCAAGCATTGGGGGATCCTTTGTTAGCCTGGGGTCACCAACCTCCATCTTCTCCTGCTCCTCCTCTACGGCCAAGTGTCATCACATCACACATGACCTGGCTGGTTAAAGCGCAGGGAAAACAGAGGAACAAATATTGGCAGGTCATGTCAATAACACGGTGTAGTCAGGGCTGCTGGAGCCTTCCCCACCAAAAACCCTCCCTTGCTGGGCCCCTGTGAAAATGTTCATCTTTCCCATTCCATCCTCTTTGTACCCAGGCTAATCAGAGACCTGCTCTCTGCTCTCCTACACACCAAGAAATCAACTGTTAAGCCAAAACTAGACTAGAGGCAGCTTCTCAACACTTGGAACAAGCAGCTTTCTCTCCCTTTGTCCCTGCATAAATGAGTCTTCAAACTCCCATCATGTTTAGGCCTCATGCTTTTCTTTACTTCCCAAACTTCCCTCTTCCCATATATCTTTTGTTGGCATTATGAGAGTACAGCATCCACCTGTTCACATTCCCTCTTGGGAGGGTTGAGGTCTGAAGCTCCTATTCTCCGTGGTCTTCCTTCCTTTGAGTCTATTTGCTCACAGCACAGTTGTGTTCTACTTTCTGCTCTACTGCCCAAGTGGAAGGAAGCCGCTGGGCAGGGCTTCTCCTCCCCGTAGTGGGCTGGGTGAGTCCATCTGATCCAGAGCGAAGAATCTGAAAACCAGTCTGGACTCCAGTCTAAACAGCTTCCTCCAATCTAGCTTCAGCAGCACTAGAGGAGATATGCTGATCCTTATTTGATGCTGGGTGGTCTATTTCTCAATCAGTTTTGAACATATGGGGGAAAGAAATGGGTGTGGTTATAGTCTCAGGAACACCGACACACTGGCTCCTAACAGGTTTTGTTACAAATGCAAATCAGTAAGCTTCATAATGGGTAAAGATAGGATCTATGAGGTTCCTTCTGAACCTCATTTTCTGATGTAGGGGACACTGAAGATAGAAGAATGAGTGCTATGATAAATTAAATAATTACTTTTGCTGCCTGATTCTCAGAGCCTTTGATGGGCTAATGTGCATTGCGACTCTCCAAGAGGGTGATATAGTATACAGAATTTTCCAAATGGATTTGACCACCACACCTTTATCACAAAATATCTATTAATATCTTCAGGAGCACTATTTGGGATTCCAGAGAAAGAGAATCCTGGCAACTTTTAGTGTTCTTTCCTCTTTTAAAACTTCCATGGGGTGAGCAGTGATCAAGTAACAACCATTGAGGAAACAGAGCACCGAGAACATCTCTCCCATGTGTTCCCTGCTACACATTCACACGGCGCCAGCTCTAGTTCAGACTTAAGTGGTCTTTCTGCTTCCAGTCTCTCTCCCTGCTGCAATATATTTTCCACTCTACAGCCAACTTTGCAAACTAGAATGAACAGATAGTTTCCTTAGTCTGATAAATAATATCTGCAAAAACCCCATAGTTAATATCATAGCAATAGTACACATTAAAAGTCTTCCCCTGAGATTACAAAAACAGAATGAGACAAGGATGTTCATTGTCACCACTTTGTCCAACATGCACTGGGGACGCTCACCAGTTCGATAAAGTTTGACTAGTTGAATTACTAAGAGAATTTAGCAGGGTGTCTAGAAACTAAGTCAATATACAAAAATCAGGTGTACCTTTAAATGAAAAACAAAGAATCATAAATTAAAATTGTACCTAAAAGATATTATGATAGGATTAAAAAAATTGAAAAACTTAGGACTAAATCTACGAAATATGAGCAAGACCTACACACTGGAAATTCTAAAATGAGAAAAAATGGAGGGATATTCCATGCTCATGGATTGGAAAGTACAATATTGGAAAGATGTCAAACTTCTCCAACTTGATTTGGAGATTGTTATTTCCTACATTCACTTTGTGGAAAATTTCAAGTCATACCCACTTAGGATTTGTGAGTGGGTTTGTTTTCTGTGTATATGTCATGCTTCCACATTTAATTTTTAAACAACATAGATTTGGGGATTGAAAACCCTGGCTTTGAGAAGATCAAATGAGATAATAGAAGCAACATACTGTTTGTAAACACTGAAGTGCTATACCCTACACATTAAATTAGAAAACAGGATCAGCCTTCTGTGAATGTCCCTTAGGGCTCTCCACAATGTAGACTTAGCCCTCCAGTCCTGCACTTGACCCTCAAACCCTGCACTCCAGCCCGATGGGCAGCTCATCCTCAGATCGCACTCTCTTGCTCACTGGAGATCTTCCACTGAAGGTGACTTCTCCCATCTTCTACCTGCCAACACTCAAATATATTTCTTCTAGTCCCAGCTCAACTACCTCCTTTGATGTGATGTGTTCTGTTTTGCAAGGAAGAAAAGTCACCCATTCCTCTGGACTCCACTTGCACTTTGTTCTCATCTCTAGTATAGCACTTATCACATGGATCATTGAAAAAACATCATTCTCCTTTATTAGATGCTGAGCTTTTGCAAGCAGCAACCGTGCCTAGTTTGTGTCTGCACCCTTGGTGTCTAGCACCATGCCTGGCACATAGCAGGGCTCAGTGAATGTTGGGTTAAGGATAGGTGGATGGACAGATGGAGCCTACAGAGAGAAAGCTCCACAAGATTCAGCAGAAG